ATCTGACAGTTCTCTGGAGAAAAGCTATTCACAACAGCTCTGTGTTTTTTTAAACTCCAGCAATAAGCTCTCATTATGAAGTCTTACAAAAAGCCACCAGATGGTATAATATTTTGAAAAATAATCAGTCTATTTCATTAATCTTCAAAACTCCAAAGTAAATGGTGTGTAAATTCCAACGACTGTATAAATCCTCTCTGAGCCATTTCATTGAGATCATCATCCATTGATAGAGCAGTGACGTGGTGTTTCATACACGATGGATGGTGATGTGCAAGAAGGTAAGTCTGTATTAAGAGAGATCGAATACGACACTAGCAATATTTCAGTCTGAGAACCTGTGAATAATCTCAATCGTGCTTTTTACTAAAATAGAATTGGTTATCAAGCATAACCGACTCGAAATTTATTGGGAGAGAGTCCAGTTGTCATGGTAGCAATAGTATTGTGAGCAGCGTGCAGATAGTACCATCGATGGTGCGCTCCAGGAAGCTTGCATTATAACCTGGGTTTGATTCCCGGGCAGGGCGAAATCTTAGGTACATGCCTCTGATTACCTAGCAGTAAGTAGGAACCCTGTTGTTAGTTGATTTGAGGATCACTTTTACAAGGGTAATAATCCCTTCAAAAAAAATGTAAAAAAAAATTGATCACTCAATCCATGACACTGCTATGGGACACTGCTGTATGCAATTGGCTGCCGCATTTCACCCACAAAATATACAGTCAATTCACTTTACAGTATATTCTGTGAAGCACTTTGAGACATCTCAAAGATGTAGTAAATCTCTATATCAAATGCAAGGATTATTATTATTATAAAGATTATCATTGACATACCAATGCAGTGCTGGGTAGTGCTACATTGTCAGATGTGCCATCATTCGGATGAAATGTTAAACCCAAGACATCTACCTGTTCAGTGGAACTGAGGAACCATCTACTTCTTCAAGCGTATGTTGAAGATCTCTCTTAATAGAAAGGAGAAGAGATTCTGTATTCTGACTAAAAATCCCATAAATAAAAAGAATTGGCCATTCAGTTCATGTCTGCTTTGTGGGACATTACTGCAAATTGGCTGTACTTGCTTACAAGTGTATAGCACTAAACCTCACTGTGAAAAGCTTTAAGAGCACGATAAGGTCAATTACAAGGATCGTTATTATCATCAAGTTAATTGTCCTATTGATGGCTCAGTGAGACGTAATATGACTTTGTGCTGAAGAAATTAGGTCTTGATCCACTAAAGGAGAAACCTTTTCCCTACTTTGTTATGACCTCCTTCTATGCTGTAAACATCCTATGTATATTAATTAGTGGTGTGGAGAAGAGTGCACTGGAGGGTCAGCCTAGACTATGAGCTGAAATTCCCAAAGAGGGGCTTGAACCCATAATCTTCTATGAGAGGCAAGAGTGCCACCAACTGAGTCAGGCTGTCACCAATGGTGAAGCACGGAATGCTGAAGTGAATTTTTACTCACCTATTGATTTGTGCCATATAATAGGCCATCAGTCTCGAAACCATTCAGATTTGGGTTGCGATTCCCCCATTAACTACAAGAACTCTTGTGTATAATGTCTCGCAGTGACAGTTCATACCCTAGGCCTAGAGAATGAATTATGTTAAAAATAAGGCAGAGGAAAGATGTATGACAGTGAGCCATGTTCTTGTCAAGATTCAATATTTGGAAAAGGAAGAAATTAGTTGTTGGATCCAGGCTCCCAAAACCATCTTGTTTTGTCATGACCTGATATACAGGCTGCGCAACTGTCAGTGTAGATTGGAACATGTTTCCTTGTGCTCAAGGTGAACATTGATGGAGAGAATCAAGTTGTCTAGATTCTTAGTTTTAAGAGCTGACGGAAGCCTTTTCAACAGTGTGAAGTGAGGAAGGGATTGTCATCCACAAGCCATACTTAGCTGGAAAGAAATAATTAACATTGTCCTTTCACGTGGTGCTCGTGAGAGACTGTACTGTGGACCTTGATTTGCACTTTATGTATGTTATTAATGCAGGTGCATCCCTTCACTTGGGAAACGCAAATTAGCTGCCACATTCGCCTACAAACTGCAACTTAGTAATTTGTACTGTACTTTGTTTTGCATAGCATTTGGTTCCCACAGTAAATCTTGTGAAGTGCTTTGAGATGTTTCAATGACATGATGAAAGCACTATATCAAAAGCAAGGATTATTTAAGTTGTGAAACATTTGATGTAGGGATAGGAATTTCTCCCGCTGTCCTGGCCAACAATTCCCCCAATAAAATTGGCCATTCACCTCATGGCTATTTGTGGGATATTGGTGTGTGCAAATTGCTCGCTGCATTCATCCACAAAACAACTACTTCCATTTATATGGTGCCCTTCACACAAGGTGATGTCCCAGAGAGCCCCAGAGCGCCCCAGAGCACCAAAACATAGTCACTACACTTTCTATTCCTTCAAATAGTATATTTGGTACAATTTTATGTATCTTTTATCCAGTGCTTACTCCCAGGCTCATTGTTCTCCTCTGTACTAAGTGTAAGACCTCGGCATCTTTATATTATGGCAACCAGAACTGTCTACAATTTTTAGGTGCAGTTTGACCAGAGCACTGAACATCTCTGGAGATCTGAATTGCCCTGATTTGGCAATGTAGCCTGATATCATGTTTGTCTTTTTGACTCTATACTTTATGTCTTCATGCTGATGCTGTGCTTGAACATGAAGATGATTTAGAGCAATGAGTCAAAGCGGAATTCAGAGCTGCAGGATTAAGAAACAAATCCCATCCGTCACATATGTGCATCAGACCATTCATAAATAAAATCCTTATTGCATCTGAAATGTTTTCGAATGTGTTTCGCCCGCAAATTATTTTTCCAGAATCATCTAAGTTTTGAAAACTACATGATGGGAAGGGACAGAAATCTGATTTGAGGATATTTCCATCTCTCTCTGCGTGTCCTTCCCTAGATGCAGCGCTGGGGGGAGTCTTGCATTGTTCTAGGTGCCATCATCGGATGAGACATTCAACTGAAGTCTTGTCTGTGCCTGTTCAGGTAGATATTCAAAAAGAGAAGGTAGTTTCTCCTGGTGTCTTGGCCAACAACGCCCATGGGTTAAAATTGGTCATTTACCTCTCAATCTACGACTGTCTGTGGGGACACTGCCGTGCGCAATTGGCTGCTGCATTTCGCCCACAAAATATACTGTCAATTCTCATGATAATACATCCTATGAAGCGCTTTGAGCTATCTCGAAGATGTGACAAGGAGCGATATCAAATGCAAAGATTATTATTACGGCTGTCGTGGGCCATTAGCTGCCTCTTTCGACTACAAAATCCACAGTAGTCAATCCTGTGGAGTGAGTTGAGACGTCCTCCTGATATGAAAGGCGCTGTATCAGATGTAAGGATTGTTTATTTTATCTATTATTTATTCTTGATCGGAGTCCAGCAGTCCAACTATTCAACTCCCACTGCCCAGTATGTGCCAGGACATGGTGAGAATGAGAGCTCCACAGTAAAAAATGATGAAAGACGTCTTGGAACGGTCTCCCTGAAAATGTGCAGACTGGAATCTGGCAATGATTGAAAGACTTTTGCAGATTTGAGTTTCTCCAGAATAACTTAAAATGGTTATTTTTTAGTAAAGTCTTTTGGAGTTTTTACCTTCGAGCTTCGATCTGTTCACATTGTCATGCTCAGGTTACTTGACTTTGATCGCTAATCAAAGAAAACAATTACTGAATTCAGTAACTGTATATTTTTTATCGTTTCAGCTGAGTTGTTTTCAATGTCTTTAGGTAAAACTATAATAATAATAATCCTTGCATTTGATATAGGCTTTGCCACGTCTTTGAGACGTCGCAAAGCGCTTCACAGAATATACTGCAAAGTGAATTGATCGTGTGATGTATGGGCGAAACATGGCAGCCAGATACAGCAATTTCCCACGAATAGCAATGAAGTGAATAACCAATTTTATTTGGGGGATTGTTGGCCAGGACACCAGGAGAAACTCCCTTCTCTTTCTAAATAGTGCCATGGGGTCTTTAAACATTCACCTTAACAGGCAGAAGGAACCTCAGTTTAATGTCCCATCCGAAGGACAACACCTCCGACACTGTAAATACCCCGAGCACTGCATTGGAGTGTCAGCTTAGACAATGTGATTCCAAGCCCCGCTTGGGGCATGAACCCACAATCTTCTGATTCAGAGGCAAGAGTGCTACCAACTGAGCCAGGCTGAAGGGTAGTTGAGGCCAGGACATTAGACTCATTAAGCAATGGCAGAGGGTATTGGTTGGTATTGGTTGGTATTCTGGGAGAGATTAGATCAAATAGAACCCTCTTCACCCAAATCTCTCTTGTGATCCTATATTCAGTCACCCCAGAAGTGCTCCGAAATGCCATCAGTGGCTAGTTTCAAAACAGTATTAACAGAGGGTTAGAATGAATACAATATATTGTCGTTGTTGTAGAAATGGTACATTTGGTTAGGAAATAGAAGAGCTAAATGCTCAGTGTGGCCTTGAAGAGAGGAAGAGCTTAGAGTCGCAGTAAAACTAACCCATTGAAGATTGGCATTGACCTTTTCATAATTCATGAGGCTATTTTGAGATGCATTACTTGAAGCAAGTCCAAAAGCTAGGATCTTTTTCTTCTATATCCAATATTGTGCAACAGTTTTTATGACATTAAAGCCAGCCTCTTCATCCTCTAACCCTGGCAAAGGGTGCATTAAAGTCACTATGGTTCAGTTCTCATTCACCACAATGAAAAGAAAGGGGGCAGGGAGACAACTTTGAAAGGACTGTGATTTCTCTCAAGAAATATAGAGAGATCAACATGTGATGTAGATCTGGTTTTAATTAGCCCATGTGAACTTCACTTTCCTCTCACATTGGTTGAGTAAATTTGGTAAGACACCTTCACAAGTGTGACATCTTTATATAAATAAGTCTCCATCCATTTCCTAACCAGCTCCTTAATTGTTGTTCTCCACACAGGCCCACATCAGAAATGCCTTTTGGCTGCATTACACTCGGAGATAAGAAGGACTACAATAATTCGTCCGATGTCACTGATAAATATGACCTGGGACAAACAGTCAAAACGTAAGTAGAAAACTCAGTACGTTTCCCTGAGTGATTCATCCAACGAGTATTCTCATCAGACTCTGTGCTACTGCTGTTGAAATGCAATATAACAAAATAAAATGAAATGTTGAAACAACTTCAATAGTTGGTAGTGGAAGAGGTCATTTTCCTGAGCCCTTTGAGAGGGTCTTTTACATGAATCTCACTATGTACCGTATTTGCAGCTTGCTGCTGAGGAGGGCAAGGGGTGGTGAGGTTGGGAAGATGACCAAAGGCAGGGTCGAAGAGGAAGGTTTTGACATACAACATTTATTAACCATTGGTGTTGTCACATCAAACCTTTACAAGGATTGCTTTCCTGATCAGTGACTTTTTTTTTGTAAGCACACAGCAAGGAACTGCATACAGCCATCTTGACTCAGTTGATAAAATTTTTGGTTGGAACTCAAACTGTATGCTACATTGTCTGAGGTCCCATCTGCCTGTTCAGGTGGATGTTAAAGATCCCACGGCACTACTCCAAAAGAGAAGAGAGTTCTGTCCAAACATACCCAGATAAAATTGGTCACTCACTTCACTAATGTTTGTGGGATATTGCTGTGTGCAAATTGTCTGCTGTGTTTGCATATAAATCTTGTGAAGCTATTTGAGACATTCTCCCAATGCAAAAGGTGTTATATCAAATGCAAGGGATTATCATTATTATCATCATTATGATACTATTACAGTTTAAATCACTCTGTAGAGATATTTTCTGAGTGGCTTTCATTGATAGTCGGCCAGATCAATATCACCTCCACGTTACATATGAATGAGGATTATTTTTTCTTAGTATGTTTGAACTTCCTAAAATAACTACTTTCTGCAAGAATTATTATTATATTTATTATTAATGAGGTTTAACCAGTGTTTTAACCAGTGTTTTACCTTTATAAAACACTGGTTAGACCTCAGCTAAACTGTGTTCAGTTCTGGTTACCAAACCTTAGGAAAGATGTCAAGGCATTGGGAGTAGGTGCAAAGGAGATTTACCAGGATGGTACCAGGAATGAGGGACTTCAGTTATCAGAGAGGCGAGAGAAGCTGGGATTATTCTTCTTGGAACACTGAAGGTTAAGAGGAAACTTAATAGAAGTTTTCAAAATTATGAGGGGATTCGATAGGGTGAACAAGGAGAAACTATATCCACTGGTGGGTGGGTCGGGGACCCGAGGACACCGATTTATAATAGTTGTTAAAAGAAACAGAGGAGAAATTTTTTCGCACAGTGATTTATTCTGATCTAGAATACATTGCCTGAAATGGTGGTGGAAGCCAATTCGGTAACAACTTTTAAGAGAGGAAAGTACATAATTATTTTGGGAGGACAAGTCTGCAGGGCTATGGGGAGAGCACGGGGGAGTGAGATTGATTTGGATAGCTCTTTTCAAAGAGCCGGCACAGACACGATGGGCTGAATGACTTCCGTTTGCTCCCTGTAATTCTATGGTTCTGTGAGGTGAATGAGTAATTTACCTGGAGGATTGTTACTCATGGAGGATACAGTTCAAGATCCTGGTCCTCACCTTCAAAGCCTTCCATGGTCTTGCTCCCACCTACCTCTGCGACCTCCTAACCCCCTACCATCCTGCCCGCTCCCTCCGCTCAGCGGGCTCCAGCCTGCTTCATAGCCCCCATCTCAACCGTCCCACCATTGGTGGGTGGGCCTTCTGCCACTCTGCCCCCACCCACCCTCTGGAAATCCATCCACAGTCCGAAACATTGACTGTCCAGTGCCTTGGGATGTCCTCCCGACGTGAAAGGGGCTATACCGATGTAATTTTGTTGTTGTTGTTGTAGTTGTTCAGGACAGTGGAGAAATTCCCTTTTTTAAATAGTGTCATGTGGTCTTTAACCTGAACAGAAGATCTCAATCTCATCCACTTTCATCCAGTACCGGAATATCTGTCCACACTGTGAGGTCAGAGTCCCTGTGACTAAAATTGAACCCACACAATCGCCTGATCCAAGACCAAATATGCTACCGACACAAACAAGTAAACACCTAAATATCATACCTCCATAAGACACCTATATATAAGGATTAAATAAAAGGGAACATTTCATTTTGAGTAGAATGGTTTAATTCCAGGACCTCAATTTGAATTATTATTATCACTTGGTTGAGACGTCTCAAAGCGCTTCACAGGATACACCGTAAGATTAATTGACTGTGTATTTTGCTCTGTGAGATCAGCGCTTATTGACAGGTTGAAGTCATCTCCCCCCCTCTCTCTGCCAACTGAGAGGCTTTCCAGCCAAATGAATTTTAAAGCAGCCAAATTCATCCTCCTGTGGCTAGGGTTTACATCATAACATAACTCGAAGCACTGGGCTGACAAGTTATATGCATGTATCCACAAGACCCACAAGATCTCTTTCTATTCAGCATGTTGTTCAGATATTTACTACACTGACCCTGTTAGTTCCCTACTGCTCCACTCCCCACTACTCCTCACCCTCTGTCCTCACCCTCATTTTTTGCCCTTACCCTCTGCTCTCACTTTCTGCCCTCACCCTCACCCTCTGCCCTCGCCCTCTGTCCCCCCTCTCTGCCCTCACTCTCTGTCCTCGCCCTCACTCCCTGTCCTCACCCCCACCCTCTGTCCTCACCCCCACCCTCTGTCCTCACCCCCACCCTCTGTCCTTGCTCTCTGTCCTCGCCACACTCTCTGTGCTCAATCTCACACTCTGTCCTCACCCTCACTTTTTGCCCTCACCATCACACTATGCCCTCACCCTCTGCCCTCACCCTCTGCCCTCACCCTCTGCCCTCAGCCTCACTTTCTGCCCTCACATTCTGCCCACCCTCACTTTCTGCCCTGACCCTCCGCTCTCACCATTACCCTTTGTCCTCACCCTCATCCACTCCCCTCACCCTCTGCCCTCACTCTCTGCCCTCACTCTCTGACCTCACCATCTGCCCTCACCCTCACCTTCTGCCTTCACCCTCACTTTCTGCCCTCACCCTCACCTTCTGCCCTCACACTCTGTACTCACTCTCACTCGCTGTCCTCACTCTTTGTCTTCATCCTCGCTCTTTGTCACTCTCCTCTCTCTCTCTTGTCTCAATTCTATCCCTCCCTCTACATTAAACTGGGAGCTATCGTGCCATTATTCACTACAAGGATGTACTAGATCTGCCGCATTTCGCCCACAAATATACGGTCAACTCACTTTGCAGCATATTCCGTGAAGCGCTTTGAGACGTCGAGAAGACATGAAGAGCGCTATACCAAATGCAAGGATTATTATTATTGTTAGATTGAATATTCCCCGGAACTCTCTCCCGAAATCCATCCTCTCACACTCTCCCTCTCTGCTTCCGACATCCTTCTTCCCATAAAATCTCGCACTTTGACTTTGCTTTCCAGTCACCTCACTCCCACCACCATCCCAACTACCATCCCACTCGGGCTCGCACTCTATTTCCATGAATTTAAAATATTTAACTTGGTAAAAGGAGCTATATAATTGTTGAGCTTGGAGCTGTGTAGTCTTTGAGAGGTGGACTAGTTTTCTTCAGCTGTCAATAAAAGGCCAAAGAGGGACATTGCTGTGGGCAAATTAGCTGCCATATTTGTCTAATAACACAGAACACAGTATTTGTGAAGTGCTTTGAAATGTCCTACTGTTGTAAATGGTACTATATCACATGCAAGGATCATTATTATTTTATGGAAACTTCCTTCCTTTTCTCTCTCCTTACAAACAGGGAGGAATTCTGTGAAATATTCCGAGCAAAAGAGAAATCAACTGGGAAAATGTACACCTGTAAGAAGTTCTTGAAGAAAGATGGAAGGAAAGTCAGGAAGGCGGCAAAAAATGAAATCATGATTTTAAACCTGTAAGTTGCTATCATTTATCTGTTTTAGTGTTAACTATGAAAAATGTTGCCATTTTTCCTTTTTTAATTTTTGACTGATAATATTCAAGATTATTCAACTTGTTATTTATATTTTTGGATTTTTAGCAATTTTCTCGACTACAAAATGGCCACCCACCCTCCAGAAACGGGCAAGCCAAACTTTGAGTTAATGGAGGTGTAACTCCACCAACTTAGCACTGACATTCAAAACCTTTAGTAATAACGTGTGGCTGTGTCATTTTTTCCATAACTGTAACTTTAGAGTCTATAATGTATGTTTCCTATATAATTGCCATATGATGCAAGTACTCTTGTGATACATAGAGATCTAGAATATTTTATATAATATCTGGGGGCTATTTACCATATGGAGAAAAGAATACAACCAGTACTGTATAGTGCCTGTGTTTATACATGCTAGGTGACTTACAACACAACTTGCATTTATATAGTGCCCTCCATGCCGGACGGCGTCTCAGGGCGCTTAAAGTGGATTGAGACTTAGTGGGTTGAATGTTAGACTTGGGACCACAAGATTCTGGGTTCAAATCCCAGTCAGTCCAGACAGTTCTTTGCTTTTCAAAGTCAATAGAATATCCATCTCGTCTAAATCCACAGCATTCAGAGCAAAGATTCAGTGCTTTGTTTTATAGAATTGACAGCACACAAGCGTATCCTGATGCTAGCTCATTCACTGGAGGTTATCTGTTTGAATCCCAAAGGCCCTAGCTACCCTTTTATATGGTTCCTCTTTAAATATTTATGTAATTTCCTTTTTAAAGAAAAGTTCTTATGGTTTCAACCTCAATCGTGCCATTTGACAAAAGATTCAATTTTCTCAAAACTCTCTGCTGTAAAAAATATTCTTCTGACCCACTCTACTGGACTGTTCCATTGACAACTCTGATCTCATGTCCTCTTGTTCTCTTGAATAAATAGTCAATTCACTTTCCAGTCTATTCTGTGAAGCACTTTGAGACGTCTAGAAGACGTGAAAAGTGCTATATCAAATGCAAGGATTATTATTATTAATATTATTATTGAGTCGAGCATAACCAGAATTCTACCCTTTGGGGCACCCACCGCCATATCCCACCAGGTGGCCCAGTGTTCAAAATGGTGGGGCAGCACAAATGATTGGAAGAAACAAGAGGCAATTGTTGATTCTTATCAGTACCTGGAGGTTGCAGTGCATACCAATTTTTGCTTGGACACTGTCCTGAATGACCACACAGAGAAGGGGCGAAGGGCACTCTGGTCATGCTCATCTCCCTTCAAGGACAGTGAGGTCCCAATGCAGGTGAAGCTTGTGGCATACAAGACCTGTGTGCAAACTGTCCTTTGGATACAAGGTCCTGGGGATGCAGAGGAGAAGCTGCCTTCCTCCTGTCCATTTGCAAAGTTCAGGATTAAGTAGTGAGGTGGATTTGTGGCAAACACAGGAAGCGGCTACAGAGAGAGAGGGCTCCAGCCTACATTGACCTGTCGCTAAGTCCCCTGGAGGCGAAGTCTGCTTCACAACAGGTACATCTATTTGCCAAGGTCCCTCACATGAAGACCTGGATTGAGCAGCTGATGCTAAGTAGCCTGGTACACAGCATTGAACTTGGTCCTTGAGTGGCTAACATATTGCAAGCTTTCCTTTATACATCCAGCTCCTGGAATCCACCTTATTTGGTTTGCAGAGAGGCAAGCAGCTGCTCTTTATACACCACACCTCCAACACATTCCTAAGTCAAATAGGCCCACAGTATTCCAAGGCATTGCTAATGACAGCCCAGCCTAGTCATCAACAGGACTTGGAAGGGCAGACTAGTCACTGGAGTCAGCGACTCTTCCACTCCTGTTAACTCTGCAAGCTAAAGCCCCTAAGATTTAGGACAGCCCAAGCTGGACAAGCAGCTGGAAAGCTTGCCAGACAGTGCTCTCAGTGGAAAACTATATGGTTTTAGCTGGGTAGACTCCAGCAGTACCTGAATGCACACTCTGGGATCCCCAAGCCTTGGCTCATGCCAACCTGTGCATAATACTTTCTGGAATTAGGTGCCAACCTGTGCATAATACTTTCTGGAATTAGGTAAGCGGATGCATCCTTACAGGGAGAAAGTGGGCATTCCGTTCCAATAAACATCTCTGGAAATTCCATATATAGGTGGGATGCTTGGAATTCTCAGTTTGGTTTGGATACTTTTAAGCATGGTGATGGGTTTCCTCATGTGTCAGACATCCGCCTGCCCCCCCAAATAGTCCTCTTGTTTCTAATGTGCTAAACAGCGGGAATAATCTCTCACTATTTCTCCTCTTCAGAAATGTTTGAAAACTTGTGTCATATCAATAACAAATAAATCAGCTAGAGACTTACCCCAGGATTTTATAACACTTCACACTCCCTCACTGCACTGAGCTTAAATCGCTCATAATTGAAAAGGTTATTATTGAACTCCTTAAAACAGTGTCTCTTCTTTCCCGATCCACTCCCTAGAGCAGGATGTTGCCTCTGAATGTCCCTCTGATCTCCTTCCTCCAAATTCCAATTTCCTGAATCTCGAATCTTGACATCCTAAATGGTTTAACTTCAATCCTACATATGCAGGAGTATTGGGGCGAGCGTGTGTGAAGAGTGAAGGCACTACCTATGGAATTAAGAGAACAAACCTTGCATCTTGTAATGGAAATGAGTATTAATCTGAAGCTCAGATAAAAAATAATGGACTCCAACTGTGCCTGAATGAACACTCTGGGAGCCCCAAGCCTTGGCTCATGCCAACCTGTGCAAATACTTTCTGGAATTAGGTGCCAACCTGTGCATAATACTTTCTGGAATTAGACACAACGGAATTGTCTCAGGGATCCAACCTGGCTGAGTGACGTCCAAAATAAGTCTTTTGTCTCGTTTTTCTCTCGGCATCTGCTTTGAAATCAATCCCTGCTATACATTAATCTATGTCTACATAATAGCTGTGGTTATTGCGATCAGCCAGCACTTTATTCAACATTGTGTGTCTTTTCTATTATCTCTCAATGAGTAAAAACTGAATCTTGGTATAAAAATAGTCAATATTTCATTAGTTTCCAGGTTGTTGCTGTAGGCAGCTGTCAAGCCCAGGCAAAGCATTTCTCTTATTAACATTGATGGGCTCAGTATTGAAGTTCCAAAAAAAATTCTATCCTCTGTCTTGCAGTGATTGCTTCTGTGAAGTTACATGCGACCAGAGTAAATCTACTGCTAATCCCAAGTGGCTGAACTGCAGGGCATTCCAGTGCATTGCCCAAAATTTCACTTAGCCTGTGAGAAGCTTTTATCGTAAAATATAAGATCGTTAAGAATTATGGAAAATTCAAAAATCCCGCCTTAATTTTGAAGCTTTTTGTTTAAGAATCGAGGGACAACTGGCTTCCAAATTCAGATTTATTAACAAGATCCATTTTGAGAGACTCGCAAAAGGATTTTTGAGCAGTGAGCCTGCCAGGTACCAGGATGAGTCTCAGACAGATGCTGTGAAAATAGCTTGGGCATTGATCTCAGTCCAGGCTGCCATGAAACTTTTGGATGGTCAAAGGGTGTTGCTGGTAATAAATCAACTGCTGAGTGGAACTCTAGAGGGTAAACTTGAGACACATCCGGGTATGTGAAGCAACCGCATTTGCATACCCCATTTGCAAATCTCATCAATTAGACTTGAACTAACCATTATATCTCACTTTTAGGCTTAGCAGACCATGTGTTACCTGCATCAGGTGTTCACTTTTATTCAGAACACTTCATGTTTTCTTTTAATATATTCTGCCTGGTGGCCTTCAGCGTAAATTTAGCGTTAAAAGTCAGACTTGTGGTCGGCATAAAAAAAATTAATATTGAAGCAAATTCAGCAGTTGGAGCAACATCCAATAACTTTTGGATGCATCACCGATGAGTCAAGAAAAGGCCTTGAAGGAAGCTTTGATAATAATCTGCTTGTCAGAGTGCATTTGAGCTCAATGTAGCTGTCCTGTTCTAAAAGTATTGAAAGGTCACTTCCCTTTATGCTAATTGTGTCCAACTCCAGTGTCCAGCATGGGGGGAGGAGGGATGGGAGTGCACATTGTAACTTGTATTCTGGGAAGAAACTGTATGAATCTGAGTTTGAAACTGGATGATATTCTCTTGCCATTTGTCTGAGAGATGATAATGTTAGGTAAACAAGATATTTCTGTTGCAATCATTTCCTAATTGCAACTGATGGATACTGTACTATGTTCAAGGCGTGTGCTGAGATTTCTAGCTCTGCATGTTCAGGGATTTATCATCTCACCATAGAAATCTATTACACCGCAGGAGATCATTTAAGCTATTGTATTAATATTTGCTCCTCCATCAATCTGGCTCATTTAGCAGGAATTGAAGGGCAAATTGATCACTGAGGGCAGGGCTAACAACTCAGTGCATGTTAGCCTTGCAAGCCAAAGCCTTAATGAGTAGTGAAAGGCTGAACACAGTGCTCTCAAAGGCACACAATGTGGTTTTATCTGGTTAAATTACAGCAGTTGCCCCAGTACACATTCTGGAATCCCCAAGCCCTGACTCTTGCCAACTGGCGCCTAATACGTTCCAAAATTAGGTAAGTAGAGTATGCCCTTCCAGTGAGAGAGTGCACATTCCAGACACAGGGAAAATTCCATGTGTAGATGGGATACATAATAATAATAATCCTTGCATTTGATATAACGCCTTATCATGTCTTCGAGACGTCTCAAAATGCTTCACAGAATATACTGTAAAGTGAATTGACTGTATATTTTGTGGGCGAAATACGGCAGCCAATTGTGCACAGCAGTGTCCCACAAACAGTTGTGGATTGAGTGACCAATTTTTTTTGAAGGAATTATTATCCCCAGAAAAGCAATCTGCCAATCAACTAACAACCAGGTTCCTACTTACTGCTAGGTAAACGGAAGTGTGTGGAGTAAGGAAACTTGCCCAACGTTTTGCCCTGCCAGGAATCAAATCCAGGTTTCTCGTTTGCCAGGCGAGTGTTCTAACCCTTGAGCTACAGGACTGCACAAAACATAAGTGGGGACCGTCTCAATCTGGTCTGGATGCTGTTTCACATGGTGATCGGTTTCCACGTAATTCAAACCCTCAAAAAAAATTCCGGATAAGTTATTGTTTTCCCCGTTCCCAACAACATTTGTGGAAGCAGAGGGTGGCACCAGACTAACAGACTGCAGGCACAATTTAAAGATATTCTGTAAAAAAAAATCCTTTCCATTGAAGAATATTCGACCTTGACTTCCCTGCATTTGCACAAATTTCTTCGACAAGGCAGCCTAGTGATGTGCTATCAGTCTGCTCGCAAACCTGGGGTAGAAATTCCACTAGGGTCTAGATTTGCTCAATTAACATAGCGTTTCAGTGTGTACACAATTGCAGAAAATTCTTAAATTCAGTCTTAATTTGAAAGCTAGTTTTCAGCAGACCTTAATAATAATAAACTCTACATTTGATATGTTTCACGTCAGTAGGACGTCTCCAAGTGCTTCTTCTTAAGATACAGTGCAAAGTGGATAATTTTGATATAAAAAGGACTGGCTTCCAATTAAGAATGGATTTAAGAGTTTTCCATAGTTCTGCATGATGTTAAATTTGAAATGTCATGCCCACTAAAACTAGGTGGAATGTCATGCCTATTATCATGCTCTCCTTCAGATGATCAATTAAATCATATTAAATTGAGGGCCCATCTGCCTATTCAGGTCACGTTAAAAACTCCATAATAATAATCCTTGCATTTGATGCAAGGATCCATGGCATCATTCAAAAAAAAAGGGAGTTTCTATAGGTGTCCTGGCTGACAATCCCCCAAATAAGATTGGTCATTCACTTTTTCATGGCTGTTTGTGGGACATTGCTGTGTGCAATTGTGCTGCAGCATTTGCCTATAAATGTACAGTCACTCCATTTTACAATATGTCCTGTGAAGCACTTTGAGAGGTTCTTCTGACATGATAAGACTCTATATCAAAAACAAGGTTTATTATTATCATTATATTATGAAGCGGTTCATTATGTAGAGCTTTGAGATCACTGTTTGCATCCCTAGGACAAGTTCTAGAGCGGGACAGATTGTTAAATGTGTTTAAAATTAATACAAATAAAAAATATGTGTGATCTAAGAAAACATTTTCTCTTAAGGCTGATGTCAAGTGACCTTTTAAAATGCCTGCAGGTGGCATGTGTTGTTTTCTGCTTTAACTATCTTACTTACGTAGAGTTTACAAGTTTGTTGACTCAGACATGTGTTATCCAGAATTGTATCTGTTTACATACTTCATCAAAACCAATTGTCCACTCTTATGAATATCTCAACTATGTGAAGGCAGCAGAAGGGTGTTTTGGGCCCACATTGGGACTGTAAGCACCTTTGCATCATGTATCACATCGACGAGACTGAACGGCTAGCCAGACTATAGGGTGGAGGGGTGGGGGGGCATTTCCGGCTAAGTGTAATTACTACCGTTAAATCATTTTCCGGCACTGTAGTTTTATTTATGCGCAAATGTTATGTTAAACTTAGCTATCTTCTGCTCACTCACCAAAAAAGGCCTATGCGTGCACAATGCGAAGGCTGGTGAGGCAGGAAGCTGTGGGCATCACGTGGGCTGCTCAGCGTGGCCATGGCATACGTACTAAGAGAGTTGGGTGGGAATCTAAACACTAAATTTTTAACCGCGGAAATGTTTTTAAAAAATTTTGGTTTCAGGCCTGGCCCGAACTAAAACTGCATAGCCTTCCATTGAGAGCACTGCCTGACATCTTCCCTATACTGGTCCTGATAGCTCCCTGATATCTTGCCTCTTTCCATTGCACGTTACTGGCAGAGTTTTGATAATTTCATTGATCTTGCACCATTGCTAAGTTTGAATTCCAGATTCCCTGATGCTGTAAGTCAGGGGTTTACTGTATATGAATGTATGTTGTTATTATATGTACGTCACTGGTTAGGCAGTTAGTTATATGGCTGTGGAATTGGCAGTGACTATGAAAGGCTATTGTTCGGTAATCACAAGCTGGACCTGGACCAGACCTGGAATAGCCACACTCCTATCCATCCCAACTAGCGATCGTGCTTCATCCTTCATTGTAGCTGTATCAGCAACCGAGGTGAGACATGTTGGATGGGTTGTGAACAAGTGGTAAATGGAATAGACCACATGAATGCATTCACAACAGTCAGATCTGACCAGGATCAGCTACTCATTTCCAGTTGGAATAATATAAATGCATCTGTAATCCTCAGAGCGTTCCTCACATTGTCAGAACACATCTGGTGCTGTGCAAATGATGCACCACAACTGACACAAGGAAGAAAGAATCAAGTTGCAGCAGATGTGCTTCTTTGACAACATAATTGCCTTTTTTTGAAGCTGTACATTTTTAACTCATTCTATTTTTCCAGCCATTTTCACTGAAATCCTTTGTCCTCATAAGACGACGGATTGAAATCCTTCAATGGATTTAGAGCTAGCAGTACTCCAGTGGATTGCTAATGATGGACCAGCCAGCCTGGTTCAGCGGGAGGATTTGGAGGGACAGACCAGTCACTGGAGCATAGGTTCTTCACACTTGGCTCCTGTTAACCCTGCAAGCCAAAGTCAGATGTCAGGGAGTTAGTTGGACCAGAATAGGGAAGCTTGATACACAGTGCTCTCAATGGCAAAGCTTTGCAGTTTTAGTTAGTTAAAATCTACCAGTACCGAAACATACACTCTGGGGTCCCTAAATCTTGCCTTTCGCCAACCTGTGCCTACTAAACTCTGGAATTAGGTAAGCAGGGCCAGTCTCTCCAGGGAGAGAGTGCATATTCCACAAGGAAATTTCACTGTGTCTGGAATGGAAAGCACACGCTCTCCTTTGAGGGTTGCACCTTTCTTTACACAAATCTTGAGAGCATGAGATGCAGGTTGGCAAGAGTCAAGGCTTGGGATAACTGCTGGAGCTTAACCAGCTAAAATCATATAATGTGCCATTGAGAGTCACTGCGTGGCAAGCTTCCCTATGCTGCAGAGCTAGTTCCCTGACATCTTGCCCCTTTCCATTGAATGTTACTGGCAGAGCTATGATGGTTTCATTGTTAATAAGATGTTTATCAACATTGTGCACCTTTTTCCATTGGTGAAATTCTATCATAATGAAATCGCTGTTTTCTTTTCACAAGCTTGTTTCTTTATCAAGGTGGTGAATTTAGGCTTAATTATCCTTTCAGTAGCTGCCCTTGTATCAAAATCTGGAAGATTTCTGATGGAGAGCAAGAGAGGGAGAAAGAATTTGAGAAATGTATATCTCTGTCTTACAGTGAGACTGGGCTTGTGTCTTCAGTCAACAATAAAATGCTTTGTTCTCTCTCCCAGGGTGAAGCATCCGAACATATTACAGCTGGTGGACGTCTTTGAAACACGCAAGGAATATTTCATTTTCCTGGAGCTGTAAGTCACTCGAACAAGAGGGATTATGAGGACTGCAGGGAGGACAGAGGATGGGGATATATTTGCTATTCGAACCTAAGGCTCAAAGCATTTGCATTAGAAAAATAACATTGACTATTCTCAGGAGAATTGTCATTATTTGGGGGAATTTGCTCGGCAAATTCCATGCAAAATTGTGTTGGGATTTCAATGCACCATTCTAATTCAGTCGCACACTCTTCCAAGCACTTATTATTTAATGGAGCTGTGGTAGACGACATAATTTGAATCAATTGTGTTACAATCATAAAAATTACAGCACAGAAGGAGGTCATTTCAGCTCGACAAGTCACTGCTGGTGCTGAGTGCACTATTCAGTGGAGTTCTGGCCATCATCCTTATTTCCTTTCTTTTTCCTGCTGTTCACTTACACTCATTTATATCCAATTCCTTTTCAGGGTGCTGTGGTCACGGCCTCAGTAGTCACTTGGGGGCAAAGCCTGTAGAGTCCTGTAGCTCAGTGGTTAGAGCACTCGCTTTGCAAGCAAGAGATCTGGGTTCGATTTCCGGCAGGGTGAAACCTTGGGCAAGTTTCCTTACTCCACACGCCTAATAATAATCCCTCAAAAAGAATAATAAGTTGATCATTTCAATCCACGACTGTTTGTGGGACACTGCTGTGCGCAATTAGCTGCCGCATTTCGCCTACAAATATACAGTCAATTCACTTTACAGTCTATTCTGTGAAGCGCTTTGAGACGTTGAGAAGATGTGAAAATCGCTATATCAAATGCAAGGTTTATTATTATTATAAAGCAACCGAGGCTCCTAGCCTGTTTAATTATTTTGTCTTAAACTCCCTTCTCTTTTCAAATGTTTTGTATAGTCACAAAGAAGAGGGGGAACAGACTCATGATTAGAAGAGGAAAGATGACCAGATTAACCACTAACACAGTGGTGAATATGTGCAATAGAAAATCCAGTGGAAGCAGCTTTGATGAGCAAATTCGAGTACTATTAAGCGAAGAAATTACAATAAATACCATTTACATTGATGTAGTGCCTTTCACGACGATAGGACGCCTCAAAACACTTTAAACAGCTGGATAGGCAACTGAGCTGCGAGGGGGAAAGGAGCATGCACTTGGAGAGAACGTCTCAAAGATCTTCAGTTTTTCGCTAAAAAGCGCAGTGACTGTTTCAACGGTAGATATGAGATCTGGTGTTGAATTACCGTTTACCTACAAATATGCAGTCACACTTTAAGGTCAATCTTGTGAAATGCTTAGACATTTTGATGATATGATGAGGCACGATATCAAATAAAAGTATTAATAAAATTATTATTTAAAGGGTAACCCTGTTAGATGGAACATTATACACGAATCCTGGTCCATGCTGAATTTGCTGGTCTCAGCCTGTGCAGCCTAGGGAGATTAAATTGGCCCTTGCCTTCCCAGGGTTAGGGAGGGGAAAACCAGCCAGTAATCCTGCTCTACATACCCTCTGTGGCCAGGTTCCGCTGTGATGCACTTTAGTCAAGTAGCCTGCTGACACTCACTATGAAGCTCACTGATAATAATATAATAATCCTTGCAATTGATATAGCAGCTTATCACATTGTTGAGACATCTCAAGTGCTTTACAGAATACATTGTAAAGTAGATTGACTGTGTATTTTGTGAGCATAATGTAATACACATTATGTGGAGTCCTGTAGCTCAGTGGTTAGAGCACTCGCTTTTCAAGTGAGAGACCTGAGTTCAATTCCAGGCAGAGGGCGAAACCTTGGGCAAGTTTCCTTACTCCACACAGAGCCTAATAATAATCCCTCCAAAACAATAATAAATTGGTCATTTTCAATCTACGACTATTTGTGGGACATTGCTGTGCGCAATTGGCTGCCGCGTTCGCCCACAAATATACAGTCAATTCACTTTACAGTGTGTTCTGTGAAGCGCTTTGGGACGTCCTCCCGACGTGAAAAGCGCTATACCAAATGCAAGGATTATTATTATTATTATTACACAATTGCACACAGCAGTGTCCCACAGATAATCGTGGAAAGAGTAGATTTTTTTTAATTTGTGGAGGGATTATTACACCCAAAACACTATCCGCCAATCAACTAACAACCAGGTTCCTACCTACTGCTAGGTAAACAGGGGGGTGTAAAGGAAACTTGCCTAAGACTTTGCCCGATCGGGAATAGAAACTGGGTCCTCTCACTTGCAAGGCGAGTGTGCAAACCACTATGTTATGACACCACATTGAATCATGACCATTGGCTACTTGGTGGGGGGAGGTTAGTGGGAGACAACCAGTGGCTGTGGAGCCACACCTCAGGAAGGAGAGCAGACCTGGAGCAGAGTGGTACATGCCAATGGGGAAAAAAATGAGAAAAATAATTGGACACATCAAAATGAAACAAAAATCTATTCAAACATTTCCCATTATTGCAAAAAGGATTACCATAATCTACCCAGGGATTTGATCATCAATTGGAGGGCAATAGCCCTGACCTGCCCCCTGTACCTTCTATACACTGAGACCCATTTGTAGGAAAAATAACCTGGTGGGATCAATAACCGTAAAGGAGTGAAAAAGGCGTTTGAAGTGTCCCAGTGACATATCTGCTTCGGAAGGCGGGAGGAAGTATTGATGTGACAGAGCCTTGATGTATGATTCATTGCAGTTTCAAAGTATTTTCTGCTACTCAGCTTTCCGACGCTCTTTCTGTCCATCTCTCTTATAACCACCTTGCAGGGAAAATGAAATTGTTTTGGACTCAACTACAAATGCGATTATGTTTGAATATAAATTGTGATTTATTTTTTCAAACTGTAATCTCCATCACTCCCATTGCCCCAAATTATCATAATTTATTTTTTCCACAATGGTTATTATAAACTGACCTTTTCAATCTATTTTTGTAACTAATTGAAGCCCCTTCCGCATGTATTTAGATGCAGAGGCTATTTTGGGGGGAACAAGTGATTTGCCTGTATCCAGACTACTATCCTGGTGTCAGTTGGTAGCACTATCACCTCTGAGTCAGAAGGTTGTGCATTCAAGCCTCATATTAGGACTTGAACTCATATAGTCTAACGACGCCAATGCAGTGCTGGGGTGCACTGCATAGTTGGTGGTGCTGTCTCTCCAAGTGTCCTGGCCAACATTCCTCCAGATTAACTTGATCAACAACAACTTGCACTTATATAGCGCCCTTCATGCAGGGTAACGTCTCAGAGCACTTAACAGTGGCGGAGCCTGACTCCGAGCCGGGGGATTTTTTTATTTTAGAGGTTGTTCTCCCCCTCCTCCACCCCCCCCCCCCCCCCCCCCACCTACTCACTCTTCTCTGGTTTTTCTATAGGGGATGGCTGTACCAGGACACCGTTTCCATGAGCATCCACAGCTTTCTGATGCCTCATCTAATTGGGGATTCATAATGTGTGCGTCTATTTGACAATCAAGGAAATTGCACTTGATTCTCCCCTCCCCCAGTGTCCAAATGCAAACAGATGTGTGCGTGTATATATATATATAAAATATATATGTTCAGAGCAGGACTCCTGGCTTTGATTTCCTCTTTTTCTCCCACTACCCCTCCTCCCAAGTGTCACCTTTCCTCTCATTAGCTCGGATTGCAGTACTTTCACTGCAGCCTCGGCTGTGATCGCAAACTCGATCCAGATCTGGGATCAAATGTGGAATCTTAGTATGACTCCATTTAATGTAATTTCCCTTCAAGTCAAATGAGCTCCTTAGAATCAGTCAAGAATGCTGATCTTGAGCTGCTGTGATATACTCTGTAAAGCATTTTGTGAGGTCCCAAAGACATAATAAGGCACTATATCCTTACTCCACGCGCCTAATGATAATCCCTCCCAAAAAACAAAACAGTAATAAATTGGTCATTTTCAATCTACGACTGTTTGTGGGACATTGCTGTGCGCAATTGGCTGCCGCGTTCGCCCACAGATATACAGTCGATTCACTTTACAGTGTGTTCTGTGAAGCGCTTTGGGACGTCCTCCGTGAAAAGGACGTGAAAAGCGCTATATCAAATGCAAGGATTATTATTATTATTATTAAGGTGGCCGTAAGCACGGTCAAACAGGAAAGTTTTCAGGTGGGACTTGAAAGATGGAGGGGGGGGCAAGACGGAGGGATTGAAGGAGAGTGTTCCAGAGTTTTGGGGCGTAATGGCTGAAAGCGCAACCTCTGATGGTAGGGCGGAGGGTGTGAGGGAGAAGTAGGAGACAAGTGCCAGTTAAGCGGAGGGGCCGGTTGTTGGATTGGGGAGTGAGGAGGTCAGAGAGGTCGGAGAGGTAGAGGGAGTGAATGGATTTGAACACGAGTGTGAGGATCTTGAAATTGATCCGTTTGGTGATGGGGAGCCAGTGGAGCCTGGGCCAGAACTGGTGAGATGTGGGTACGGAGTTTGGTCTGGGTTAGTATGTGGGCGGCAGAGTTTTGAATGAGCTGGATCTTGTGAATTGTGGAGCTGGGGAGACCGGCGAGGAGTGCACTGGAGTAATCCAAGTAGGAGGTGACAAAGGCATGCACAAGGGTTTCGGCAGCATTTGGGGTAAGGTACGGTTGGAAGTGGGCAATGTGGCGGAGGTGGTAAAAAGCGGTCCCGGACCGGATGTGGGGGAGGAAGGACAGTTGGGGGTCGAACTGGCACACTGGTTCGGTGAGTCCGAATTATAATAACCCGGAGTCTGATCGGTCACTTCACGGCTCTTTGTGAGACTTTGCTGTATGCATATTACTGAGTTCACCTACAAAATTACACAGTTACTTTACAATATATCCTGTGAAGTTTGACTGATTACTGTTATTATTAATAACCAATGTTATTGAGACCCACCACTTCCCTGGCCTCGGGGATCGTGAAAGAAAGGATTACAAAGTACACAGAGAGAGATCAATGGCAAGAGTGTGCCAAGACAATGATCACTGGGCTAATGGACATTCATTGTCAACAAACCAGTAACTTCAATGAGCTGAATTGTTTTGATCTGGTGCCAGCCTGGGCTGATACCAGATCAGATTAGCACTGTCACCTCCTGGCAAGAAGATTGTGGGTTCAAGCCTCACTTCGGGACTTTTAAATTGATGGAGTAGGCTGACTAGGCTGTGGGAGCACTGTTGACCTTTCGATTAAAAACGTTAACCAGAGGTCCCTTTTGCCTGTTCAGCCGGATATTAAAGATCTTGTGACACTCATGGAAAAGAAGGAGTTGGTGTCAGCAACTAGAGAACTTGGCAATTTCCTTCATGGCTATTCGTGGGACAATTGCCTCCAATACACAGTCACTACTAGAGTAAAATCTTATGAAATGCTTCGAGACTTCTCAGTGATGTGTTTAATAATAATAATCCTTGCATTTGATATAGCATCTTATCATGTAATTGAGAGGTATCAAAGCATTGTGGAGTACTGTAGCTTAGTGGTTAGAGCACTCGCTTTTCAAGTGAGAGACCTGAGTTCAATTCCAGGCAGAGGGCGAAACCTTGGGCAAGTTTCCTTACTCCACACAGAGCCTAATAATAATCCCTCCAAAACCAAAAACAATAATAAATTGGTCATTTTCAATCTACGACTGTTTGTGGGACATTGCTGTGCGCAATTGGCTGCCGCGTTCGCCCACAAATATACAGTCAATTCACTTTACAGTGTGTTCTGTGAAGCGCTTTGAGACGTCCTCCCGACGTGAAAAGCGCTATATCAAAGGATTATTATTATTATTTCACAGGATATATTGTAAAGTGGATTAAGGCATTTGATCAAATGCAAGGATTATTCTTATATTATTTATCGAGTGAGATGATTGCCTACTAAAACAATAACTACACTTAAAAGCTCTCAGCCTGGTTTGGACACTCTTCACCATGGTTATGGGTTTCCGATTGAATCAGACACCCAGCTGACAAAAAACATTTGAGAACAGTTCCCTGCAAAGTGCTTTGAGACATTTTGTCATTATAGGCTATATCATTATATGCAAATTGTAAACGTTATTTATTATGGGGGGTGGAGGAGGTAGCCTGTTAATTTATTCATTAACTTGCCATAAGATGGTTATCCTTAATCAAAAGATATTTATCTTTGAATAACAACCAGTAATGTAACTACAACTGACCCTGACAAGATTATTTGAGAGAGAGCAATAGTCACATCAATATTTATCTTACCACAGATTAGCCGTGATTTGTTCCTGTTATTTTCCCCTGCGTTTATTTAAAATTCTTTATTTTATTTGAGAACTTTTGTTTTGCTGGTCTCTCCATGGTACCCACTCCCACTGCTGCTCTCTTCGCCTTAACCTTAATCCTTAGTGTGCCAGCCTGGCTCACTGGGTAGCACTCTCGCCTCTGAGTCAGAAGGTTGGAGTTCAGGCTCCCATGAGCTCAGGACTTTGAACTCATCTACTCTGGGCTGACACTGCAATGCAGTCCTGGGGATGTGCTGCATGGATGAGATGTTAAACCGAGCTCTTGTCTACCTGTTCAGTTGGGCGTTAAAGATCCCGTGGCACTATCCAAAAGAGAAGGGAGTTTCTTCCATTGTATTGAGCGACAATCCCTCGATTAAAATTGGTCATTCACTTCTTAGCTGTTTGTGGGACATTGCTGTGTGCAAATTAGCTGCCGTGTATCAAAATATATTCACCCAAGTGCTTTGAGACATCCTCCCAACATGAAAAAATAATAATTGGAGTTTTATCAAATTTATCAAAGGTTCATTATTTATAAACCAATTTGAGGTCAACAAAATTTTCTTAAAAAATCTTAAATTCCAATGTCCAAATTAAGAATGTCTGTTATAATATACCTAGCATTTGATACTGTGTCTTATCATCTCAAGATGTTTTGCTGTGTATTCTTAAATGTACGTCATTTGGCACATAGCAATGTCCAACAAATCCACAACCTTCTGATTCAAAGGCAGGAGCGCTACCAACTGAGCCAGGCTGACACCTAAAGACTGAAGAATGAACGTAAGGCTGAATTTAAAGCAAATTCAGATTTTCTAATGTTCTGCAAAATCTTAAATTTGAAGACAACGGTTTTACAGCTTACACAATGAGGCAATTGTAGCTTCCAATGTTGGGGTTAAGCACGGTATTAAGGTGCGGAGGGCAGGGCCAGACTGCTTTGACATTGGTCATGCCTTGATGAACACTGGAAAAGTGTTCCACTCCCAAGGATGTGATGAGGACAAATGTAAATTTTTAAAAAAATCTTTTCTGAAGTGCTAAAATTAAAGCAGTGTTGCCATGGAAACTGAATGCCGGCTGGTTGAAAGCCCAATTTCTAGGCATCTCTCCTTTCCGAGAGTTGATCGATGATGCTTCTAATTAGCTACGCAGGTTCTGATGATTTACAAGGTATATGCACTTCTTAAGGACCTTCTGATCTTCCTCCGTTGTCTAAGAACAAAAAATCATCTGTTCACAAGAAAGGCAGCACAGTACTTCAACAGTTATAACCATTTAGTATCCTCCAGATATAGCAGACATAGATTTCCGGCATGTATAATAAATAGAACTTGATGCCAGTGACAGTAAAGGTTCTTTTGCTGATCAACCTTATGAAAAACTCTCTCATAATACACCTTGCCTAAGACATTATTGAAGCGATTATGAGAAGTTCGGAGCCCTTCGTCTTATTTAATTACATAGAATGATACGGTATGGTAATAAACCATTCGCTCAACTACTACATGCTGATATTTATACTCCACATGAGCCTCCGCTCTTCCTATTCCCCTTGTCCATTCCCCTCTTTTCTCATATATGCTTTATGTTTCCTCGTAAACACATTCATGCTTTTTGCTTGAACCAAAACAACATGACTCTTTCAGTAAAATCAATTTTTATATCATAACATAGCCTGTAATTCAATAATATTACATTTTCTTAAATAGATATAGTGATATACAGTTGATGTAAAGTATGCATTTAAATGGGACTGTCATACATATTCCAGAGAAGGCAATCTCTTCTCAGTTGACAATTTCTCCCACTTAAGTTGCTTTTTGTTTTATGAACTCGATCACAGTAAGAAAAATGGTTATAGCATCTTCAACACATTTAGTAAAAGATCCTTTCAAACAGGGACACAGCCTCTTGTAAAATAGCTTATCAAAATTCTGCTAATGTTTTCTTTTAAATCGTGCCCACGCAATTTGTTCCATTTTTACAGTTTTATACTTATTTCAAGAAAATCCACTTGAGGTGAACTTCACTTCTGAAATGTGATTGGGTTTTGCTGTGAAGGAATAAACATTATTAGGCAGTTCTGGATATTAAACCATTGAGCTACAGAAGCTCAAAGCAGGTCAGCTTGTTCTCTATTTCCCTATGGAAGGAAACCTTTGTACAGGGTTTTGTGGGATTAACTGGGGACGGTCTGTTCTGGTCCTCTATGTTACTATTATTGTGGGTCAGCATTCCTTTTGCAAAGATTGAAAAGACGACGCGAGAAGCAAAAAGATACATTGAATAATGATGGTTAGGTTTTCCGATTGTACAAAAAAAGGAAATGGATGGCGTTAGGGTTCTCCTACGGTCCTGGGAATAGGGGAATTGGGTTGATGGGGGAATGGATTTCAACACCATCAGAATGCGAGAAAGAGGATTGCACTAATGCCCTCCTCACTCAACTCTGCCCTGCATTAAGCTCCTCCTCAATATTAAGCCCCTCCTCCAGCATTAAGCTCCTCCTCAATATTAAGCCCCTCCTCCAGCATTAAGCTCCTCCCATGCAATAAGCTGCTCCTCTGAAGCTCCTCCCCTGCATTAGACTCCACCCTTACATTAAACTCCTCTCTTGCATTGAGCTCCTCCGCTACATTAAACTCCTCCCAGCATTAAGTTCCTCCAATGCATTAGCTCCTCCTCTGATTTAAGCTCCTCCCCTGCTCTAACCCCAACCTTCTTTAATCAAATTATTTTTCTTATTCTGTATTTTTTAGAGCCTCAGGTCGGGAGGTGTTTGATTGGATTCTGGATCAAGGTTACTACTCTGAACGAGACACCAGCAATGTGGTCAGACAAGTGTTGGAAGCTGTTTCGTACCTACATTCACTCAAGATTGTACACAGAAACCTGAAGGTAACAGAGGCGTGATTTGACTTTTGCCTCGCACTGGACTTAAGAGCTTGTTACCAAGAACCCTTTAAGGAGAGTCTCACCACCAGAACCCTTTTAAAAAAACAATTGCAAATCATGAATATTTCTACCATCAGCACAGTTGCTATCTATAGATTTGCATAAAGATTGGGTTGGTATCTGATACCACATGAGAAGGAACAAGTTAAATGTTATGTACCGTGGTCACTCTGACACTATGATCTAGTTACAAAACACTGTAATTTCAACTGTAATATCATTGTATGAATCATAAAATCTTACAACACAGAAGAAAGCCATTTGGCACTTCGTGCCCCTGCCAGCTCTTTGAAAGAACTACCAATTTCCCCCGCTCTTACCCCATAGCCCTGCAAATTTTTCCTTTTCAAATACATAATCAATTCCGTTTTGAAAATTATGATCGAATCTGCTTCCATCACCCTTTCAGGCAGTGCATTCCAGATCGTAACAACTTGCTGGGTAAAAAAAATAGTGTGTGTTATGTTACCATTACTTATAACCCCATCGGCTGTGCACATTTGCCAGTAATGTCACACTACACGTGATTGAACCACAATATTCAAACACTTCCCTGCTCCACTAACAGGAGTTCCATATGGCTCTAAGATGAGCTCTCGCTCGCTCCGTACATAGCTGTCGTGCACATGAGGCCTGGTGTCTGGAGCTTTAACCCCTACGTTGCCAAATGAACAGTTGCAGAACAGCTTTGATCAAGCACATTGAATTTAGACAAACACACGTGTTTTTGTGCTTTTATCTTCGAATTTGCAAAGCAGCATTGTGTTCAGCTGTTGCCAGCTCTATGCCCAGAGGCACATGTTTGGTGCTGCATTACAGAACTATCACTGACGTTCACACTGCACAGAAATGTTTTTGCTCACTCAGGTCTAATTTCACAAGATCACAAGAGAAATTCTGATGAAGAAGACCCTTAGGATCATTTGATCCCATCCTTCAAAAAGTACCATCTCCCATTACATAATGTGTCAGTTGGGCTTACTTGGTAGCACTCTCCAAGTCAAAAGGTTATAGGTTCAAGCCCACAACAGGTTCTTTGAACTCACGTTGTCGAGGCTGAAAATCAGTGCATTGATGGGGGAGAGCTTCATTGTCAGAGCTGCAGTCCTTCAGATGAGACGTTTAACCAAACCTATTCTGTCTGCCTATTCAAGAGGATATTAAAGATTCTGTGGCACTATTTCGAAAGAGAAGGGAGTTTATTCTGATGTCCTGGCCAACGCTCCCCACCTGCCTTCGCCACCCCAAGATAATATTGGATATTCGTTTCATGGCAGTTTGTGGGACTTCCTTCGTGCAAATCTTTCACCAACCAAATCCACAGTTGCTACACTTTACATTAAATTCTGTGGAGCTCCTCTAGAACTCTATCCAGATGCTAATCACATCTGCAACATCTGCTATTTATACATCTTTTGTGAATCACACAGTATTTGGCTCATTTAAATCTATTTTGTTTTTATCCTACACTTATTTTGGCAGTTGGAAAATTTAGTTTACTTCAATCGTCTAAAAAACTCCAAAATTGTCATAAGTGACTTCCACCTCGCCAAGCTGGAGAATGGCCTGATCAAAGAGCCCTGTGGAACTCCAGAGTATTTGGGTAAGTTACTGTGGGCATTTAGATGGGATTTATATTTTATTGGCTTGCAAGGGAATTACAAAAACAACATTACATTTGTATATTGCTTTTCATGTCGGGAGGATGTCCCAAGACGCTGGACAGTCAGTGTTTCAGTCCCGAGCTGGGGTCGGGATTGGGGAGGGTGGAGGGTAAGGGGGGAAGCAGGGTGATCGAAAGCACGGTTGAAGAGGAGGGTCTTGAAGGAGGCAAGGGAGGGGGCGAGACAGAGGGACTGCGGGATGGAGTTCCAGAGGGTAGGGGCAGAGTAGCAGAAGGCCCACCCGTCAATGGTGGAGTGGGCGAGGCAGGGGACATGAAGCAGACCGAAGCCCGCTGAGCGGAGAGAGTGTGCAGGATGGTAGGGGGTTAGGAGTTAGGGGAGAGCAAGACCATGGAGGGCTTTGAAGGTGAGGACCAGGTTCTTGAACTATATCCTCTGTGTGATGGGAAGCCAGTGGAGTCGAGCGAGGATGGGGGCTGATAGAGCCACGGAGCCTGGTATGGGAGAGGACACAGGCTGCAGAGTTCTGGATGATCTGCAGCCTGTAGAGGAAGGAGTTGGGGAGGCCGACAAGCAAGGAGTGTGCATAGTCAAGCCCCGATGTTATGAATGCACATATGAGGGTTTCGGGGGCCTGCAGTGTGAGACAGTGGCGGAGCCGGGCGATGTTGCGGAGGTGGGAGAATGCAGAGTGTGTCATGGCGCAGATGACTCTTAAACCCTTTGTAAACTATGGTTGATTGAAATGAAAATGAATGAATGTTACAGAGGCAAATGAATCCAGCAGCTAAGCTCATGAATGAGATGTGTAGAATTTCGGGGTAAATGTTGCTTGAGTTTAAGGGTAAATCTGGACGAGGTGGGGAAGGTAAACCAGGATAACGGGGAGAATGACTCGGTTTGTCCCTTCATATCTGCCTCAATCACAAGGTAGATGGAACCTAAATGAATAACTATCAAAAATTGTGATGATGATCTGGAAATTATTAAACTTGTGCATAATAACCACTGTGCAATGTGGGACTTTCAAGTTACATAACAAGCACCAGAGATTTACAGAGACCTTTTATGAGTCTGTACTAAGTACCTGTTTGGTTTAAGTTGCATAGACAGCCCACATTGGGACTTGTGCCCAATATTTATATTGGAAGGGAAAGAAACTGAATGGTTGCGATGTGATTGTCAGCTGGGAGAAAGGATTGCAGAAGGTTTACGGCACAGAAGGAGACCATTTCTACCATGGTGTCTGAGATGGCAATTCACTGTTAAACCTGAACACAAGCAGGGCATAAACCCCCCACCCCCATTCCACTGCAATACAAATCTGACTCACATAACTGGTCTGAATCACATTAAGTTCACACCCACCAGTCTGTCCAGATCTGTACCTTGGTGGGGCACTGCTGTGCGTAATTGGCTGCCGTTTTTTCGCCCACAAAATATAGAGTCAATTCATTTCACAGTATATTCTGTGAAGTGCTTTGGGATGTTTCAACGACGTTGTACAGTACTAAAGGAAATAATATATATACAGAATATACTGTAAAGTGGATTGATTGTGTTTTGTGAGTGTAAAGCAAGGATTATTTTTTTTGTTAACTATGAACAGAACGAGCAAGCCAAACTCATCGACAGTCACATTCTGGCATTGATTTCCAATCATTTCTAAAGTATAAAAATAAAGATTAAAGTCTGTGTAAAACAGGACAGCGAGTAGAGTGAAAGAAGTAGTGGGACAGTATTGTACACAGCTCCGTTGGCATCTAAACCAATCTTACAGCGCCCCCTGCTGCTATGGTATTTACATTTTCCATTTCCATTCTTGGTGACTAGTAAATGATACAACTAATAACAATCCTTGCATTTGATATAACGCCTTATCATTGTCGTTGAGACATCTCAAAGCGCTTCACAGGATATTTTGTAAAGTGAATTGACTGTATATTTTGTGGGCGAAATGATAGACTGTTAATAGATCCCAAACAAACACATTCACACACTTACAGTATACACACACACATACTTACACATAATTGCATCTACATATTCCGCTCCCCAATCTTTTCAGCATCACCACCCACCCCCCCCACCCCACCTCCAGTTTAGCTCGGGTGCCAAACAGGTGTGTAAAGCACCTTGAGATGTACTCCTGACATGCAAGGCACTATATAAATGTCAATTACAGATACGCAGACATATTAAGTATCCATATAATTAACGCTGAGCTCCAGCCTATGTGAAAAGTCAGCTATTTGTACTGTGGAAATGCTCTTTTAACAAAGAAAACACAAGCCCTAACATCAGAGTGTTTGTGCAGCACCGTTTCCAGGGTAACATTTCCCTGAGCTATTCAGGTAGAGCACATAATGTTGTTAAAGTGGCATTTTCTATTGGGTAAAGTACTTGATACAGTGAGTCAGAATATATCCCATGACTTCCAAAGGCAGAGTCTGAATGCAGCCCAGGCTGATGGAATGACATCTTATCGTAATTTTAAGCTCCTAAATAAAATCTGGTGCAAAATTCACTCTCTCTCTCTCTCTGAGGATAGCTGGTGGATAAATCTCTACATAGTAGGGATGCTTGAGGAGGTAAGACAAGTTATTGGGTCAATGCATTGACGTCTAGAAGACTTGAATAGCGCTATATCAAATGCAAGGATTATTATTATAATGCATTAAGAGGTCTTCCTGTGTCTAACCTGTGATACATCAGTCATGGGAGTGCTTTATAATCACCATTTAGTTTTCCATTCAGGAACATAGGAACACAAACTGGCTATTTAATCCACCAGAATGGTTCCACCATTTTATTAGATTGTGCCTATTCATAGATTTTCTCTATTCACCTCAATGTCAGTACTTCCCAGGACCCCCCAAAATCTTTGTGAATGGTTTTACTGTAATAAATGAAATTGGTCATTTGATTAATTGCTGACACATTTACCTACAAAAAGAGCAATCGCCTTGCAAGTGAGAGACCTGGGTTCGATTCCCAGCAGGGCAAAATGTTGGGCAAGTTTCCTTACTCCACATGCCTCTGTTGACCTAGCAGGGAGTAGGAACCCAGTTGTTAGTCCATTGGTGGATTGCTTTTCCGGGGATAATAATCCCTTGAGAAAAAAAATAGTAATTTGATCACTCAGTCCACAACTGTTTGTGGGACACTGCTGTGTGCAATTAGCTGCCGTGTTTCACCCACATATATACAATCAATTCACTTTACAGTATATTCTGTGAATCACTTTGAGATGTCTAAGACGTGAAAAGCACTATATCAATGTAAGGATTATTATTATTAGAAAAATACAAAATCACTCTACAGTAAATCCTGTAAAGCACTTTGAGACATCCTCCCGCTGTAAAAGGAACTTCTGTACGTCAAATATGGGTGGAGATTTATCCCATTTGCTCTGCATATCATGACTATCTATTTCATGTTCGTTCTCAGCTCCAGAGGTGGTTGGACGACAGAAATACGGCCGACCAGTTGACTGTTGGGCCATTGGTGTGATCATGTATATACTGTAAGTGCCGATTCTTCTAGGATGTGGAGGAGTCTTTGTATCTCTTTGTTTTTGATGGTCATTTTCATGGTCGGTGAGACAGTGACTTGATCGGTCTGTCAGTAACTAGACCACGTCAATATAAGATAGATAGTAAATGGCAAACGGGCAAGTTAGCAGACATTTTTTCACACAGAGGAGTTAGGATGTGGAGGCAAAATCCATATTAGCTTTCAAAAGGAATTAGAGAGATACACAAAAGAGGAGTAAAACATAAGAGTATAAGGGCAAGTAAATGGGACTGAAAGGATTGCTCTTTAATAGAGCCAGCACAGCCACGATGGGCCATGTGGCCTTCTTCTGTGCTGTAAATTTCTGTTATTCTGTGGTTCTTCTTTGATTCCGATATATTAAAAAAAAGGCAACTATCGCTAGCTTGCACTTATGTCTGATCATCTCTACCTTAACATTTTCCTCCTTTTCAAGTGGATCAAAGATTTTATGTCAAACATTATTAGAAAAAGAAGCAAGCGTGCTGCGGGCAGAACTGTCCTAAAGAGCAGAGCAATTGCAGAGGATAATATGCACAGTCAGCAATCTATAATACACAGAAAGCTTTGAGGCACGTGTAAGTTCTATTTTGAAAGGCAATTGAGAGAGTTTCATTCGTAAGAAAATATAAATGCGGTTTAAATGGAAAATGACCGTTTGCTCTCAGATGAAATGATCCTAAACATCAGAATCTAGGATCCTGAAACTGTTTATCAGGGCCTTGTGCCTTAATTGTGGAAAATTCTTAAATTTATTCTGTTGCCACTTTCTTTTAAGACTTGCGGAAAAGCAGCTTCAAAACTGAGGCTCGGTTTCAAGAGCGTTCTATAATTCTTCACAAGATCTTGGACACAAATATAAGACAGCTAGTAGGAGATTTGATAGATAGCAACTTCTTCAAGCAGAGGGTGGTGAGAATGTGGTGCTGGAAGCAGTGATTGCATGCAAAAAAAGCATCAATGTATTTAATAGGAGAGAGGAATAGGATTCTCCAGCTGGTGAATAGCTACCTCTCAAATCCCAAGCTATCTTCTTCCTCAGGTTATCAGGTAACCCTCCTTTCTACGATGAAACTGATGATGACGATTATGAAAACCATGATAAGAACTTATTCCGAAAGATCTTGGCCGGGGACTATGAGTTTGACTCTCCGTACTGGGATGACATATCAGATGCCGGTAAGTATTTAAGTTTCAGGGCAGTGAAACATGGGTTTCAGGTCTCCTGCAGTGCAAAGATTCATGTGGTGTTAATGTTAGTAGCCAAAGAGCTCCCTGTTATGAGCCTTTCATGTTTCCAACCAAATTAAAGGTGGGCAAAGCTCCAACAGGCTGTGCCACAGAGTATATGGCTTCGGAAGATGTCTGAGCTTAGCCTGGTCTCAGCCATGCATTACAAGAAGCACCTTCAGCAAAGGTGAATGATATTTTCTGCTGCCAAATATATAGAGCAAATCCACTGGTGTGTGGATTGGTAACCAGAGGACACAGATTTAAGATAATTGACAAAAAAAACAGTGGGGAGATGAGGAGAAATTTTCTCACACAGCAAGTTGTTATGATCTGGAATGTATTGCCGGAAAGGGTGGTAGAAACAGATTCAATAATAACTTTCAAAAGGGAATTGAATATATACTGAAAAGAAAAATATTGCAAGGCTATGGGGAAAGAGCGGGGGAGTGAAACTAATTGGATAGCTCTTTCAAAGAGCTGTCACAGGCACGATGGGCCGAATGGCCTCCTTCTGAGATGTATGATTCTATGATTATCTATTCCTCTGGTCCCCCAGGGAAATAGTGTTTGTTTGGAAGAGTGAATCCCATTATCCCTGTTTAAACAATCCTTCGGGCTCTCCTGATGACCAGGTCATTAGAGGCATCCGTAGAGCAGAAGACTGGAAGTATTAATCTAATTCCTTGTTGTGTTAGCTGATCTCAAGCTAGAGGAGCAGCTGGGGCTTCAATTGACCACAGAAATCCTGAAATAAAGAAGGGAATACACTGCTTGCAAACCAGGAACAGCAGAGGGATTCTTAGATGAGATTCAGTGAGAGAAAGTACTTTCTTTTAAAGCATTATAACATTATGTTAGAATGTTTTAAGAGGTGTAAGAGAATATGTGTGTATAATTATGATGAAACTGTTAGTGGATATGGCCAAAGATGGTTAACAGCACAGGTCATTCTTTGTTCTCTGTAACCAGCTAAAGATCTGGTGGGCCGGCTGATGGAGGTTGACCAGGATACGAGGATAACAGCACAAGAGGCTATAAATCATGAATGGTGAGCAAGAAATAACAACTTATATTTATACAGCGTCCTCCACGCTGGACAGAGTCCCTGAGCGCTTAACAATGGTGGAGCCCGATGCCGAGCCAGTGGGAAGGGGAAGGTGACTATAGGCGCGGTCGAAAAGGAAGGTCTTCAGGTGCAACTTGAAAATGGGGAAAGAGGGGGCAAGGCAAAGGGATTGAGTGGGGGAGTTCCATAGCTTCTGGGCATAGTGGCTGAAGGCATGGCCACCGATGGTGGAGTGAGTGAACAGCCAAGTTCTTTCATACCGTTGAGTAGATGGTGATTACAAACAACTTGTTCTTTTATTCCACTGTCTAGGATTTCAGGAAACGCTGCTTCAGACAAGAATATTAAGGATGGTGTTTGTGCTCAGATTGAGAAAAACTTTGCCAAAGCGAAATGGAAGGTACTTGAAGTAAATATTCCCCTTTATTATTTTTTATCATTGGTGTGGGATCTGACTGGTCACACTTGAAGTCGAACATTTTCTCACCTGACCTGCTCAGTAACCTAAGGGAGAAGAGAATAGAAGGGTCTGGGAGGGGAGTGAGGGGAAATTCATGTGGAGTATATCCACCAGCACGGACTGTTTGGGCCAAATGGCCTGTGTTAATGCTGGACAGTCTATGTAGATCTATGTAACCTCATGAGTTGCTTGCAAGTCAGAGAACGAACCAATCACAACCAGAATACAACAAGATCACAGGTCCACTTGATGGTAAATCACAAACAAGGGGTCACAAATATAAGGTTTCAGATCTAAATGGCAGTTTAGGAGGAACTTGAGTGTGGTGAGAATGTGCAATTCACTGCTGGAAGTTGTGGATGAAGCAGAAAGCATCAAAGTATTTTATAGGAAATTTGATACATACATGAGAGTTAGGATCAGGAGAGTTTATTCCCATGTGAGTATAAATACCGGCACCTACTTGTTGGGACGAAAGGCCTGTTCCCATGGTGTCACGTTTTGTATAAAAGACCATGTTCCAAATGACCATTTGTGTGGGATAATACCTTCGAGCACTGTACAGATGTAACAGCTTTACTACTCAACCATCGCTGAGCTAAAGATAATTGATCCCAGAAAATGAAAATTGACCATCCCAATTCAAAATAATTACACAAATGAAAGGAAAATATAAATGTCAATAATTTGTTATGAATAATGAATTATTATTAATTACTGCCTAAAATGTCTCCTGATGTGTTTTGAGATTAATTTCCTTTGGTCCAGTAACTCAATAAATAATCCTTGTATTTGATATTTGATCCATCAAAGTCCTTCTCCCCATGATCAATGGGTTTGAATCTAGATTCCCACAGGGAGACGGAGAGTGACCTAACCTCTAAGATCCGTCTAGGGACAGAAGTTTTCTCTATTTTCAACTTTCCCAAATGAACACCATGAGGATACTAGTGTAGAAAATATTATTTTGCTATCTTTAACCTTGCACAATTGTGGTTTGTGGTGTTTTTAAAGTCAGTGTGTGGTACAACTAAGGTCTCAGAGCCCAGTGATTGCACCAGCAAATCCTGACACCCATCAACATGCCAAAGTGGGCAAGAATAGTATCACCTCTCTGCAGGGAAAATTAACTGTCAAGCCCAGATGTAGTTCTGGGGGAATGCAGCATTGTTGGATGCACAGTCCTTCAGTTGAGATGATCCCTCTGCTTGCTCAGGTAGACGTTAAAGAAACCAAGACATTACTCGAAAAGAGAAGGGAGTTTTTGCCAGCGTCCTGGCTAACAAGACTCCAAATAAAATAAGACTTTTATTTATTTATGAAGACATTAGCTCTGCACAGGAGTTTATACACTTGAGAAACTTGTGTCTGGGCACAGTGCTGCATTCTAAATAATATTTCCTCCCACCCCTCACTGCTTCCGCTTTGTTTTCTTCTTCGTATGTCATGCAGAAAGCGGTGAGAGTCACAACGATCATGAAACGTCTTAGGACACCAGAACCGAGTGCGACAGCCATAGCCACGGCTCCAGTGCCCGCTCCTCCCAGCCAGCCAGAGGACAAAGCCCCCAACGAGGGCACTGAGACACCCAGCCAGTCGGACAATTCGGCCAAAGTGGGTGTAGAACCCGAGGCCTCACCCAGGTGTAATGGGGAAGTGACCAGCCCTCAGAAGCCAGCAGCTGAGGCAGGGGATGAACAGAACGGCTGAATTCCAATATACGCTCACAAATATTTATTGTAAAAAAAATCATTAAAATGTCAGGCACGGCCAGATTGACCATATACAGTCATGAAAAATTAATAGACATCTTGCTATTCAGCTCCTCTTAATTGCCACCTTCAGACAAGTCAAATTATCAACGGTATCAATAAGTTTAGGAAATAATTAAGCAATAATTGGCACTTGTGGGTACTGTTTTGCTAAAATGTATCTATGCTCAGAGAATGGGAGGGGAAATCAGACCAAAGGTCTAGCCTATGAATAGAAATCTCAAGACAGTACGTACTTGGGCTTATTATTTCTTTTGAATTGCAACGCTTTAAAAACTATTTCACATCTCAACTCTTGTATAATAAGGAAACAAATGCTGTGCTTGTTTGTATCTAACCCCCTCCACCTCACTCACACGTCCTTGCAACCCCCTCCAATAAAGTACTGTGTGTGGTTGAATGTATGTAATATAAACTCATTTAAAACCCTTCATTGCTAAGCCACATTCCATGCTTCCATCTTAAATCTCTTTCAGAGTAAAACTATGTACAGTACAAAATATAACCAGATTGAAACTCTGTTTAATTGAGAATCCTGGGATTATGACCTTATGTCCTTACAGTTTCAGATATTTCTCAATCCCGTGCCCTGCATTACAGATTTTAAAGAAAATATTTTTGCCAGATGTTATATGATAGAAAATGTATGTATTTTGGAAGTTGAGAAAGGACATTCAGTGCTTAATAGCGTTAACTTTATAGGCTGATATAGTTGACCATTATTTTAAGAAATCTCTGTAGTCTAAAATTCTAGATGGCTTGCTGGGAATATTTAACCTGTCAGTCTGTCAGTAACCATGGACAGATTGACAACATAAAAGCAGAGTATAAACTGTAGGAGGTATTCTATGCTTGCTTAAAAGCTGCAAAAATTCTTACAAAACAAATGTTAAATAGGCAAAAGCTAAATTTGTAATGTGTGCGTATTTTGAAACCTACGTGTGAAATTCTTCAAAATATCAGTGGAACAAATGTGAGGAGTCCTCTTGTCATGTGAAGAAGATGAGGAGGGTGCAGAAGGCAAAGCCGTTGCATGTGGGTGACCTGTAATATGTTTGCGTAGTTGCATGATCATAGGTGCACACTTTTTGTCACATTAACACAGTGGGGTTAACAATGATGTCATTTATTGTGCTGTACTATGTAAAATAATTAAAACCATATTTTAGAAAAATGACAATGACCTTTGGGCTACAGTTTGTGAACTTGCATTTGGCAGTTGGGAGCAAAGGTATTTTGACTCTTTAAAAATAAAAATAAAATTAAAAAAATGTCTTTCTTTCTTCACCTCTGCTCTCTCAGTATTAGCCTATGCTTTCTACTTCCTTTCCCTCTGTGCTGACTGAAGAGACAGGTAAGCTCTCATTCTTAGGCAATCTTGAATCAGCCTTGGGTCTGACACGTGCAGAAAGCCATCACAATGCTTAAGAGTACCCAAACCAAACTGAGATTTCCCTGCATCCCACCTACCCAAGGAAATTCCAGAGATAGATTGTTGGAATGGAACGCGCACTCTCTCCCTGGAGGGATGCATCCTGCTTACCTAATTCAGGAAAGTATTAGGTAGAGGTTGGCAAGAGCAAAGGCTTGGGGACCCCAGAGTGTACGTTGGGTTAACTGCTTTAGTTTAACCAGCTAAAATCGCATAAGTGAATCACTTAAGACCAAAGTGTAAGAACCGCATTAATTCATGATAAGGCCAGTACATCTCTTACACTTATACTTTCAACTATATTCAATATGAAAAGTTAAAGTCCAGCTGACCACTGCTGTTATTTGACCTAATAGGCAAAATTTGTTTGTACAGAAACTGTTAATTTTATACAAAAAACACTTATATATAATTATATTATTATTCTATGTAAACAATAATCAATAATATTCTATATTCATATTCTATGAAAAGAATATACAGACTATTATTTCCCAGCAAACATCGGGTGATCGGCTATACTTACAGAGAATATGTTTGCAATTAATTTGTAAATATAATCCTACATCAATTACATTGACAGGTGTTAAGACCTTGTTAAGGTTATCAACAGGCAACACTGACCTCTGGCAAACCAAGCCCAAGAATAATATAAAATGCTCAAAAAAAACTCTCTTTAGTTACAATAGTCACACACAGGTAACTTCAAGGCTGTAATGTGTGGCAGACAGATTACTATTACTATCCACTTGACCTTTGCACTTTCAACTCAGAGGACCAAAACTCACATAGTCTTAGCCTGTAAGACAATTAAAGATCAAAAAAGCACTGTGGAATATTCTAAAATTCATCCTTAATAAATAGGAAGCCTGTCTTATGCAGTTCTTATTGAATAATCAACTGTCAAATGACAACTGATTTGAAGAATTTTCAGTAGTTCTGCGCAATCTCAGAATTTTAAGACAAAATGGTTTACAGGCTAAAACTAGTTAACATTTAACCAGCCTCTGACCCTGTGTGCAGTGAAACAAAGAGAATAGCAACCAGGATCTCAATGCAGAAGGGATGAGCAACAAGCAAAGGCAAATTTCTTCCCGACTGCATCAAGGAAGACCTTAGATGAGGAGACACCTCATTAAGGTGCGTAAAACATTCAATTATATAGACAGCGGCAAACCTGGGATAAAACAGCAGATCTTAGAAAACTATGAGAAGCACTTTGCAATGTTTCAATGTAATAATGTAGTGTATTCAAATGTGAGGGTAATACAAGAAACCAGGATACAAAGAAATCATGTTCAAATATGGGTAGCAGAAAATAGTTTTGAAACATATTTATTCAAAGGGCTTATATTATCAAGTGGGAAACAGAAGCAAAGAACAGCTCCATTTAAAATTGAACTAAGTACTTAGTAGGAGACACTGACTTTCATACAGTGTTTCAATGGTCTTTCTCATATCAATTGTCTGCTGCTATCCATTGATAACCGTGCTAATCAGCGAAGAATCATACTCAATCTATGGTTCTTTCTAATATAACTCGTCACTCCGAGGGAAAAGGGCTAAGTGCCGAGTTGTAGGAGTGGCAAATTAGGCATATGTACAAATACATAAATAAAGGTGGCCAGGATATTGGCAGCATGATGACACATGTTGGAGTGACAAGTGAAATTAGGATCGAGTTATCAGGAGTTTACAGGATATGGTATCTTAGAACTACATAGAAATCTAAGACAGCCCGAGGCCATTCAACCCATTGTACAGTATTAATGTTGATTGTTGCTCCTCCAATTAAGCAAACTTTTGCCTACAAATACACTGTCACTACACTTCACAGTAAAATGTTTTGAGACATTTCAACAACATGATAAAGTATAATATATCAAATCCAAAAAATATTGTTTATCCTGATACCAATTTCCTACTCTTTCCTGATGCGTGTTATGCCCTTCCTCCACACACATTATTTAGTATTTTGTATTAAGAACAAAATATAGTCATGAATGAAGTATTTTCAGCGGAGAATTAGTGAAGTGTTACAAGTTCACAGATGCTAAATTGAGAGGATTGATGGAAGTAGTGTACCACGGAACAAACGTATTGGAAAGCACCAAACATAGATTTTACTCAACAGCTAATTCAAACGCATTATCCAGAAGCAGCAAAAGATTTTTTTTAGCTCAGCAATTCTGACATCATTATCTGTTTTTACCATGAGAGCAGCAGTTATTTTGAATCATGTTTAGAAAGAAATTTCTAGTACTAATTTCTGCAAAGGCCGGGTTACTCACAGTCAAGTTGTTTCAGATTTTTGCCTTACCCATTGCTCTGACTCACTACAGCAACAACTTGCATTTAAATAGCACCCTTCACTTGGGGTATCGTCCCGGGGCGCTTCACAGTGCCGGAGTCTGACAACGAGCCGGGAGGATAGGGAAGAGGGAGGTGACCGTAAGGAAGTTCAGGAGACTGGACCAGCCAAGCGGAGGCACCGGGTGGTCGAGTCGGGGGTTGCAGGTCAGATAGGTAGAGAGGTGCAAGGGAATGCACCCTTGAAAACAAGTGAGAAGATCTCACTAATTTGATGTGAGTACCGCTTCCCCAGCTAAGCCCTACACCACTGTTAAGCGCTCCTAGACCCTAACGAAGCATGAAGAGCGCTATATAAGGATTGCTATATAAAGTTGTTGTGGAAATTGACAATAGTAACAGAGGAATCTCATGGTGAGAAAAACACCATTGACCAAAGTAGAATTATAAGTAACAAAAATCATACACATTGCTGTCTCTTGAACTGGTTGGCTAATTTTCTCTTGAATTTGAGGATACTATCTACCTCCACCATTCCTTTGGGTTGTCTATTCCTCATGTTCACTGTTCTCTGTGTAAAATAAATCCGCTCACTTTCTGTCTTCTGAGTTTGAGCCAGTGTCCTTGTAGATCTTTTGACCATGCTTAACATAATGGGGTTCAGCTTATCTATAAGCTTCGGAAATTTTGAATACTTAAATAAAATCTCCCTTACTCTCTTTCTTCTCTAGTTTAACCCTTCAAACTGCATAAGATCAAAACACAATGAAATAATAATAATAATTCTTGTATTTCATATAACGCCTTATCAAGTCGTTGAGAAATCTCAAAGCACTTCAGACATATTGTAAAGTGGATTGACTGTGCATTTTGTGGATGAAATGCCACAGCCAATTGTGCACAGCAGTGTCCCACAAACAGTCGTGGATTGAGTGACCACATTTTTTTTCAAAGGGATTATCATCCCCCGAAAGCGATCCGTTAATCGACTAACAACCGGGTTCCTATTTACTGCTTTGTAAACAGAGGCGTGTGGAGTAAGGAAACTTGCCTAAATGGTAGCTAATTTAAATCAGCATGTGGAAAAAAAACAAATTGAGCGTATTGAAGACTAAAATTCTCTCAATGATCACAACTGAGTAACAGGATTTGCAAAGCAAGTCATTATTACACATTGGGGGAGAGGGGCAAACAGGGGAGAGCTTTGTTCAGTTAACCTCTTTGATGCTTTCATTATGCTGTGTTAGGGACAGCAGTATTGGAAGTGGGGTGGGAATGGCAGTGTCGCTGTTGATGGTTAAGTGGTTGGTAGTTTTTGGTTGGTTTAAATCTGACCAACCTGTCTCTTATCTTTTTTATGGTATTGCAGTTGAATTATTCCTGCCTTAGAAACCCCAGGTGCTTAGCAACTAGCTAAATCTAGAGCTAAAAGTGATAATTCAGTCTCAACCTTCCTCGTGGTTGTTATGGTTACGAGTCACTGCATTTTTAATCTTTCCACTATCACTTCTACACAATCCAGCTGCCACTTGCTGTTCATATTTTGCATCAAACCAAAATTCTCTTAATTTCTAATGTTAAAGAAAATTCAGAATGCGTTTTAAAATGTGAGAATCTTCATGACAAAATCCCACAGCTTCCACCGTGCCCCCTGGTTCTCAGCAACATCTCCCTACACCCTTCTTGTCTGTGTCTACATACTTTCCTCCCTCCCTAAACCTCAAATATTGGTCATACTCTTCCTTCCTTTTGCTCTCTCCCTCCTTTTCTTCATCTAATTAAAGCGTCAGCTTGACTCAGTTGGAAGCAATCTCACCTCTAAATCAAAAGGTTGTGAGTTCAAGCCAATACTTCAGGACTTTGAACTCAGTCAAGGCAGACACTTCAATGCATTTCATTGTGTCGCCGCCTTGGTATGTCCTCCCTACATGAAAGGTGCTGTACAAATATAATTTGTTATTGTCCTTCAGATAAAACGTTAAACTGAGGTCCTGTCTGCCTTTTCAGGTGGATGTTAAGGATCACATGTTGGGACGTCCTCCCGACGTGAAAGGCGCTCTATAAATGGAATCTTGTTGTTGTTGTTGTTGTAGATGGGATGAATGGAATTCTCAGCTTGGTTTGGAAACACGGTGATGATTTTCCGCATGTGTCAAGACACCCGACTGACCAAATCAAAATTCTGTATTGGGCATGTACATGTGTGTATAAGATGGGTGGGGGTGGGGTGGTCTCTGTGCATTGATGTGTGTGCGGGTGGGGTGGGTGTGTATGTTAGTGTTTGGGGAAATGTGGAGTGGGAGAATTTGGGGAGGGGGGAGGCATTGGGTGCATGTGTGTGAGATGTGAGATAGGGTTTGCGGGGGAGAGTTGTGTCTGTGTTGGGGGATATGGTGTGTATGTGTGAGCGGGCTGTGTAATGGTATGTGTGTGTCTATGGAGGTGGGTGGGGGGTGAGAGGTGTATGTCTATGTGTGTATGGACGGGTGGGGGTGTGTGTCTATGTGTGTATGGGGGTGGGTGGGGGTGTATGTCAATGTGTTTATGGGGGGATGGGGGTGTATGTCTATGTGTGTATGGGGGGGTGGGGGTGTATGTCTATGTGTGTATGGGTGGGGGTGCATGTCTATGTGTGCATGGTGGGTTGGGGGTGTATGTTTATGTGTGTATAGGGGGGTGGAGGTGTATGTCTATGTGTGCATGGGGCGTTGGGGGTGTATGTCTATGTGTGTATAGGGGGGTGGGGTGTATGTCCATGTGTGCATGGGGAGTTGAGGGTATATGTCTATGTTTGTATAGGGGGGCGGGGTGTATGCCTATATGTGTATGGGGGCCGGTGTACGGGGGGGGTGGGGGTGTATGGGGGTTGGGATGTGTGTATGGGGGCCGTGTATGGAGGGTGGGATGTGTGTATGGGGGTGGTGGGAGTGTATGGGGGGTGTGGGGGTGTATGGGGGGTGGGATGTGTGTATGGGGGTGTGTATTTGGGTGGTGGGGGTGTATGCGGGCGGTGGGGTGTATGGGGGGTGTGGAATGTGTGTATGAGGGAGTGTATGGGTGTGGGGGGGTGTATGGGGGTGTAGGGGGGTGGTGGGGGTGTATGGGGGGGTGGGTGTATGGGGGGCTGGGGGTGTACGGGGGGGGTGGGATGTGTGTATGGGGGGTGGGATGTGTGTATGGGGGAGTTGGGATGTGTGTATGTGGGTGTATGGGGAGTGGGATGTGTGTATGGGGGGGTGGGTGTGTATGGGGGCTGAGATGTGTGTATGTGGGGGTGGGGGTGTATGGGGGGGGTGGGATGTGTGTATGGGGAGGTGGGATGTGTGTATGGGGGCATTGGGATGTGTGTATGTGGGTGTATGGGGGTGGGATGTGTGTATGGGTGGGGTGGGTGTGTATGGGGGGTGGGATGTGTGTATGTGGGGGTGGGGGTGTATGGGGGGGTGGGATGTGTGTATGAGGGGGTGTATGGGGGGAGATGGGATGTGTGTATGGGGTACGGGATGTGTGTATGAGGGGTGTATGGGGGTGGTGGGGGTGTATGGGGGGGTGGGATGTGTGTATGGGGGGCTGGGAGTGTATAGGGGGTGGGATGTGTGTATGGAGGTGGGATGTGTGTATGGGGGTGGGGGTGTATGGGGGGTGGGGGTGTATGTGTGTATGGGGGGAGTGTGTGTATGGGGGTGTGTATGGAGGGGTGTGGGTGAACGCGGGGGTGTGGGTGTGTGTATGGGGGTGTGTGTGGGGGTGTATGGGAGGGTGGGGGTGTATGGGGGGTGTATCGGGGGGTGGGGGTGTATAGGGGGCTGTATGGGGGGGCTGTGGGTATGTGTGTATGGGGGGGGTGTATGGGAGTGTGGTTTATGGGGGTGTATATGGGGGGGGGTATGGGGGAGTGTATGGGGGGGTGGGGGGGGTGTGTGTGTATGGGTGTGTGTGTATGGGGGTGGGGGTGTGTGTGTATGGGGGGGGGGGTGTATGGGGTGGTGTGTATGGGGGGTGTGTATGGGGGGTGTGTATGGGGGGGGTGGGGTGTATGGGGGGGGTGGGGGGTGTATGGGGGGGTGGGGGTGTGTATGGGGGTGGGTGTATGGGGGGGTGTGTGTATGGGGGGTGGGGGGGTGTATGGGGGGGTGTGGGGTGTATGGGGGTGGGTGTATGGGTGTATGGGGGGGGAGGTGTGGGGGGGGTGTGGGGGGTGTATGGGGGGGGTATGGGGGTGTGTATGGGGGGGGTGGGGTGTGTATGGGGGGTGTGGGGGGTGTATGGGGGTGGGTGTATGGGGGGGGTGTATGGGGGGTGGGTGTATGGGGGTGTGTGTGTATGGGGGGGGGGTGTGGGGGGGTGTGGGGGGTGTATGTGTGTATGGGGGCGGGTCAGGCTCTTGGTGCCGGAAGTGTTTAGTCGCTGAGCGGAAGTGACGAGAGTTTTTCAAACGGAGCGGCGGCGGCGCGAGCGGCAACAGTTACAGCGAGAAACACACAGACAACAGCCACAGGTACAGATACCCCCCACAGAGGGTAATACCTCCACAGACGGTATACCCCCCCCCACAGAGGGTAATACCCCCCCCCCACAGAGAGGGTAATACCCCCCCACAGAGAGGGTAATACCCCCCACACAGAGAGGGCAATACCCCCCCACACAGAGAGGGTAATACCCCCACAGAGGGTAATACCCCCACACAGAGAGGGTAATACCCCCCACACAGAGAGGGTAATACCCCCCACACAGAGAGGGCAATATCCCCCACACAGAGAGGGTAATACCCCCCACAGAGGGTAATACCCCCACACAGAGAGGGTAATACCCCCCACACAGAGAGGGTAATACCCCCACAGAGGGTAATACCCCCACACAGAGAGGGTAATACCCCCCACACAGAGAGGGTAATACCCCCCACACAGAGAGGGTAATACCCCCCCACACAGAGAGGGTAATACCCCCCACACAGAGAGGATAATATCCCCCACACAGAGAGGGTAATACCTCCCCCCACAGAGAGAGTAATACCCACCCCCCCCCCAGAGAGAGAGGGTAGTACCCTCCACCCCACTGAAAGGGAGGGTAATACCCCCCCAGAGAGAGAGAGAGAGAGAGGGTAATACCCCCCCCCCCCCCACCAGAGAGAGAGGGCAATAACCCCCACACACACACACACAGAGGGTAATACGCCCCCAGAGAGAGAGAGAGGGGGTAATACCCCCCCACACACACAACAGAGAGAGGTAATACCCCCCCCCAGAGAGAGAGAGGATAATACACCATCAGAGAGAGAGAGGGTAATACCCCCCCCCCCCCCCCCACACACACACAGAGGATAATACCCCCCCAAGAGAGAGAGCACAAGGGTAATACCCCCCCAGAGGGAAGGTAATACCCCTCCACCCCAGAGAGAGGGTAATACACCCCCCACCCCACAGAGAGGGAGGGTAATACCCCCACAGAGAGAGGGTAATACCCCCCCCCCCCAGAGAGAGGGTAATACCCCCCAGAGAGAGAGGGCAATGACCGTCCGTCCCCCAGCCCAGAGAGAGAGGATAATACCCCCCCCCCCGAGAGAGAGATGATAATACACCATCAGAGAAAGAGAGAGGGTAATGCAGCCAGAGAGAGAGGGTAAAAATCAGTCCCAGTCTAGATTTGTTATGAATAAACCTTGAGATATAACCATTGATGTACTTTTATCCCCTTCTATTTGTAGACTAAATCAAAAGCAGACACCAGTTTAATTACTCGTACAGGATTATAGAAGCTACTGATATAGGAGGAGGAAATGCCAATTCGCGCCTACTGTACCATATGTTCGGACTTCTTTGACAATATCAGGGATGTGGCAGCCATCCACTGCGGGCACACTTTTCATAATGAGTGGTGAGTGTCGCAAAAAGCAGTTGCACAATTTATCTTGTTACCCAGATAATAGATTATCTAAACTGTTCTAGAATAAAAAATTGAAGTCAATAGAAAAAGATTTAGTAATGTTACTCAGTCTGGCCACTTACTGGGTGCTGTTGACTTTCTCCTGGTCAGATTTAGTTTAGAACTATGGTGTTTCAGTTTTGTTTCTATATTTCTCACTAGAACATGTTTTTAGGCATATACTTGGTTCCTTTATTAAAGGAGTTAATCAGTTTCTTTTATTTTGTCTGTTGGCAATCAAGCTGTGGATTGCAGTAACAATATAGCACCCCTCACGCAGGGTTACCTCTTAGAGCACTTGAGAGTGTTACCTGAAGATGGGGAAGGAAGGAGCAAGTGGAGGGATAGAGGAAGAGAGTTCCAGAGTTTAGTGGCATAGTGGCTGAAGCAAGGCCACCGATGGTGGAGCGGAGGACACAAGGGGCATGCAGGGGACCGGAGCCAGTCGAGTGGAGGTAATGGGTTGGCAAGTAAGCAGATCGGAGAGGTAGGCCAGATGCCAGGGCATTAAGGTTATTTGAAAGTGTGAGGATCTTCAAATCGATCCTTTCGGCGATAGGAAGCTAGTGGAGCCTGGCTGGAACTGGTGTGATGGGGGTACGGAGTTTAGTATGGGTGAGTATGTGGGCGGCGGAGTTATGGATCAGTTGGATTTTGTGGATGGTTGAAGCTGGGGATACCGCTTATCTCTGACAACTCCAAGCCAATCTTTCCTAAATGGTTAACTACTCTGATGTAACAACAATAACAAATTAGTTAGCGCCTTTCACATCGGGAGATAAATCTGTAGCATTGAGGATCTGTCCAGTTCTGAAAGTCTTGGTAGCATTGCTACATGGAGTGGTGAATAGTAGATTTGAGTCTTTCATTTCAATACTATTTCTGTAGTGCACAGCCAGGTGCCTCACCACAGGGAATTGAGGATGTAGCTCCAGATCAATATCCCACTGACGGTTCAGATGCCTGGAAGCCACAACTTGGTTAAAGGTAGTGCATTGTCCACTGCATGTTTAAAAAAAAAAGTGTTGGGAAATTAGGAGGTATATGCCTCCAAAATAAATTTTTGTTCAGTATTTTATTGATACTTTCAAGGATTTACATTATTACCCTTTCAGGTGGTGCATTTTTTGTATTGACTTACAGAATACAGGATTGCTTAGTGGTACAATACCACACCAATTAGTGCAAGTCTGTACTGAATTAGTACAGGTGTAGACTTGATATAGATGTATAAAAAGCAGGTAGATAGATGCCTAGAAAATAAGAGTATTAAGGGAAATGGAGAAAAAGTGGACAAATACAGCTAAAGGAATTAAATGGCCTGTCATAATATAATATAATAAAGTAATAGTCTTGATTATTTATTCTTGAGGTAGAGGTAAAAATAAGGCTGGATTCTGCTCCTCACTGCTGTGCAAAGAACACTGATGGAAGGTGCATGTATATGGATGCCTGGTGAGGACTATATTAGCCTTAGTTTTGATGCTCCTCACAGTCATACCTCAATGTCAATGCTCATAGGTGAATATTGGTCACTTTGTCGTGGAACTATTTCCTGTTAGGAAGGAAGAAGAATACAAACAACTTCAGTAGAAGGCAGAAAATTGGTGATGGGGAGTACAAGGTGGAAGATTTTCTCTTTATGCTCATTTGGCTAGAATATACCTGTCTGTAATTTGCTATTCAAACCAATGAACTTGAGGTTGCCAGTGAAAGGTGATGGATTTATAGTTAGGATTAATTTCTCGAATGTGCAGTTTTACTAAAGTAAGAAGATTTCAAGGTTGCTGCTTCAAATCAAGGTTTTAATCCTTTTATGAAACATACTAGTTTTTTTTTAAAAAAATTATCATGGAAAAATAGGTTTGTATATCGTGGTGAGAGGAACACAACTACAAATCTCTTCAGATTAGTTACAAGTCCTTTTTCATCAAAATAGTAAATTATACTTTCTCCAAACGTTTCCACTATGCCTGTTCTGTAAGCGCTAGAAACAGGATTTTACTCTTAACAGAGAGAGATTGAATAAGTGCTTATTTACAGTTTCATTTTCTTAACTAATGTTCTTTTTTTTCCCCTTATCTTTGCAGTCTTGCTCATTGGTTTCACACTGCTCCATCTCGGACCTGCCCTCAATGTAGAATACAGGTAACCGTAACCAACAGTCTTACAAAATGTGGGTCCCAGGGCGGCTCCTTTCTAATAAGTATGAAAACATGTTAAGATATAATTCCTTCCCTCCTCCCCCCAAAAAGCCGCATTATTAACTAATATTATGCAGAGCCAATATTTTTCCATACTTGACATGAGAGTACTTATAATAATCCTTGCATTTAATGTAACGCTTTTCACGTCATGTAGACGTCTCAAAGCATTTTACAAAATATGTATATTTGTGGTCAAATCGCAGAAGCATACAGCAGTGTCCTACAAAAGTCATGACCAAATTGAGTGACCAAATTATTATTATTGGTTTTTTTTGAAGGATTATTATCCCCGGAAAAGCAATCAGTCAATCGACTAACAACCGGATTCCTACTTATTGCTAGGTAAACAGGCATGTGGAGTAAGGAAACTTGCCCAACATTTCGCCTTTCCGGGGTTAGAGCCCAGGTCTCTCACTTGTGAGGCGAGTGCTCTAACCACTGAGCTACAGGACTCAAAATTCAAAATAATAAAAACATTGAGGCTGATACTTTGGACTGACCCAAAAGTGAAAGGTATATTTCTTATTTATTGGGAAGCAAAAAGAACCCAAAAAGGAGAATAATGTACACCATTTAATATTGACCAAATAAACTGACAATTGAGGATTAATTCACAATTACATTTATATTATTTGGAATTGCTGCTTCAGAGTATTGCTTGAGATAATAAAGGATTTATGAACCAGGAGTATAATGGGTATTTAAAACACAGGTTTCTGTATTACAGTAATAATTTAATGGATTGAAGGACTATTCAAAAAGTGTAATTGACTAAATAATCAATGGCCAGTTTTCTCGAGTGAGTTAGATTAGGGTATCTACAACATGTATCTGTACACGTGGGACTAAAGATCCCATTCCAAACAAGATAAGGCAGTGGTCATTGTTGTAATAAGAAACATTCTTATTTATTTTTGCACTTTTATTTTTTGCAGAATTTGGCACCCCCAAAACTCAGAAGAATTGGAATTTAAATTAAGGAAAGCAATATATGTCTGATAAATAGTCAAAAGTTTTTTTTACAAAATAAATTTAATAATATTGTTTTTTGAATCTTGGACTATTTCATGATGTATATTTCAGGCCATTAAAATTGTGTAGGAAACCCAAAATTATTCTCTCAGTGCTGCAATATGAACTTTGCCATGAAATGGAATAAACTAAATCTTATTTTCTGTAGGTCAGTGCAAGACACATCATAAACAAGCTCTTTTTTGACATAGGAGAACTGGAGCCAGTTTTGGATCCAGAAAGCCTGCAGGTAAGACTCTTTTTTTATGGGATCTACAGCTTGGAAATTTCTCAATAATCGTATAGGATTAGAGGATTCGCAGAAGAAAGCCCATCAAACAAATTAAACTAGTCCTGTATTTGAAAGTCATCTTGAGGATTTTTCCAATGCAGGAATGTACTATATAGTACAATATAGTGGAATGTACTGCATCTTAGCAATTCTCCATATAGAAGAATTGAAGTATTCTCTAAATGAAGTATTTTTTAGATTTCGTCCAAAATAGTTTGCTGGCTGAGAGATGATTAAATTGAGGAATGTGTACACCCAGAATTAGCTAAACTTCACACCTCTGTCCTTGCTTAAGAAACTTTAGAAATTACGGATGTGATCTCTAACTTGTTTTGTTTTTCAAATAACTTTTCAAATTTTAAAATAACCTAAATTTGGTAATTAACATTGAAGGCTGCTTCCCCTGGCTTTCTTTCTTGACAAAACTGCTACTTTTATTCATCAGAAATAATGATTTCTAAGAACTGGAAAGAACTTGAATTACCACAAAGGAATGGATGCAAGCTTGAAAGCAATGAGAGAAATTGTGATACCCCAGCAATCTATATGATCTTCAAATTTCCAAAACGTGTAGAGCTTCTTAACCCACGTTTTCTATTGCCAGTGGCAGGTGTTATCTCCTGCTCCATTTAATGTTTGATATCCGTGCTGAAAGATTATTGATGATGATGATAATAATCCTTGCATTTGATATAGTGCCTTATCATGTCATTGAGACGTCTCAAAGCACTTCACAGAATATATTGTGAAACGCAGCAGCCAATTGTGCACGGCAGTTTATTAATTTATTAATCGATTTATTAATTTAGACGATGATTAATTGCTGTAATTTTATCAAGTGATAATCAGCATTTGGTTAAAAAACTCAATGTGATTATGTAAAAAGTCTGTTAATATAAAATAAAATCATGATGTATTTTTAAAAATTCAGTACTTCCCCCTGATATTTTACTTAAACAGTGGTTGTCTCCAAACTGTTGCAACTTAATAATGTAAATTCTCATAGTTTTATAACCAACTTGTAAAACAAATTTAGGATAAGGGTTTCTTTACTGTGCTTAGATCAACTGATTTTCTGTAAACGTTTTCAGAATGAATTGGACAGAGTCCAGTCTCAGCTGTTAATGAAAGGTAATAACTTATTTCATGGTTTGATGTCCTGGATGGTCTGACGGTTCCACAGCACTTTAGCAAAAGTAGATTTAATTTCAGATTAAACATAAAACTGCAGCATGAGCTCGCTATAGGTGGATTTGGTTATGTTTATGCAGAATATAGTAAATCCTATTTGTGGTAGTTCTCTTATGTAACACAAAAACTGAGGCATTTCCAGTTGTGTATTGGCTAAGGAAAAAACAGCATAAATTTTCAATCATTTTATTTTTAAGAAATTGTTCATAAACCAGAGTTCCTCTCACAGTTGTTGATCCTCTGTACATTCAAGACTGACGAACCATTCTTTAATGAGTCAAGATAATCAGTTGTCAAAACAACCAAGGGGGAAAGGCATCACAATGAGGCCTGATTGCCCCCTCGTTCTTTATTCACCTGTGCGCAATTTCCCACAGGAAATGTGCACACATACTGATATATAATGATCAGGAGTTGGAATGCTGGCAGATTTTTTTTCCCCCCATCGCCCCTCCTAAATCATAGGTGATGAGGTCAATTTCTCTCGAGTTGAAATTATTTGACTCCGTGTAGATGAAAAAGCAATGTTTCTGATTTGCCTGGCCCTACACCAAATGCCATACACTGTGAAGGAGACTAAGGCCACATTTGAAAGTATACTTTCAAACCTGAAATGATGTACATTGTCCAGCACCTTGGGATGTCCTCCCGACGTGAAAGGCGCTATACAAATGTAATCTTGTTGTTGTTGTATACTGCTTCTGACAGCTTTAAAAGTTTTAGACTAAATTAATCAATACTAGAAGAAATTGATGAATGATGGAAAGAGTATTCTATTCACAAGCTTAAAATATGAAATACTTCGCACAAGTGGCTAATGAATCATAAGACCATATCAACAATACAAATTTACATTTATGTAGTGCCTTTTTGACAGAAGGACTTTCCAAGATGCTTAACTTTTCAGGCTTGGCAACTGAGCTGGGGGTGGGAATAAATATTAAATCAGCATTTAAAAGTAAATTTGTTAAGTATTTTAAGAGAAACCATCTGAAAGGCTACAGAGTACGTAACTCCAAAGGATGAACCACTACCGTATGCTTGATGGCTAGAATGGTCTACTCTGTTGTGCTGCAAATTATGATCATAGTCATAATTTTTTGCATTTAGAGGTCAGAATATTATAGTGTTACATTTGTATCTTTATGCTGCAGTCTTTGTTTACATTTTATGCAATTTATAGAGTATTTTTAAAAATGTCTTTCTTTTTTCATCTGTTTACCTTCTTGCTCCCACCAAAGTTGGCATTGATTTTCCCAAGTCTTGGACTTTTCAATCTGTGTAATGGTGAGAAAATCTTGACTATGTCTTTATTGTAGGAATTTATAAAATGTAATCTACTCTCAAAATGGCAGAATCTGCATCTGTTACAAGAAAGGTTATGCCCAGAACTGAGAAGTTGACATTTTCTTTTCTTGACCGAGTAGTTTTGTTTCAGAGAAAGAGAAGAATGATTGTCAGTCAATAATTGATACACTAAGGGACACTTTGGACAAGCGCAATACAACAATTGAGTGTTTGAAGAAGGAGCTGAAAGAAACAGATATGCTATGCTCAGCTATAAAGGTAATTCATGCGTATTTCTATCTGCAGCTATCAGATTGAGTTGTGATCCACTTGCATATATCTAACAACAACAACAAAATTACATTTGTATAGCATCTTTCATGTCGGGAGGACGTCCCAAGGCACGGGACAGACAGAGTTTTGGACCCGGGGTCGGGGAGGGTGGAGGGCAGGGGGGGAAGCAGGGAGATCGAAAACACGATCGAAGAGGAGGTTTCAGAGATGGGTCTTGAAGGTGGCAAGGGTGGGGGCAAGGCGGAGGGGCTGCGGGATGGAGTTCCAAAGGGTGGTAGCAGAGTGGCAGAAAGCCCACCCGCCGATAGTGGGCGAGCGAGGCTGGGGACGTGAAGCAGGCCAGAGCCCGCTGAGTGGAGGGAACAAGCAGGATGATAGGGGGTTAGGAGGTCGCCGAGGCAGGGGGGAACAAAACCATGGAGAGCTTTGAAGGTGATGACCAGGATCTTGAACTGTATCCTCTGTGTGATGGATCTAATATGTAACCTGGAAGCTCACAATTTAGGTTGACAGTCCAGGCAAGTACTGAGGGGGTACAGTATTGTCAGAGGTGCTGCTCTTCAGTTGAGATGTTAAATATTTCCTTGTTCTGCTAGCTCAGGTATTAAAAATCCCATCATGCTATTTGCAAAAGAGCAGCAAGTTTCCCTGGTGTCATTTCCAGTATTACTCTCTTATCCAGATTCAACAAAGTAGATGAATCAGTCCTTCGTTTCATTATTGTTTACGGGATGTTGCTTGCTTAAATTAGCGTTCATATTTGTCGATAGAACAGTCACTGCACTTCAAAGTAATGCATTATATAAACTTTCAGACATTTTGATACTGTGATGCAACATTACAATTGTTCTCCCCCTTACACTGAGCTCGGGGTGTTATTTCTGCAGAAACAACTCAAGTATTTGGAGCAACAACAGGATGGAACAAAGGCTGCAAAAGAGGAGGCACGTCGACTACGACAGAAAGTCAAAACATTAGAAAGGTATAGTAGACATACAATTTTTTTGCCTGATTGACTATCTAAACATTTGATATTATCACAAGTGCTAAATTGAATTCCTACCTGCCCAATTTAACTCTTGTATTTCTAACTAACCAATCTAATACTATTACCAAGATTCAAGACAGTCACTATTCCCTACATTAGGCATACATAATTGCTACCTGCCTATCTCGTGCTGCAGCACCATAGTTGGGGTTGACACTTTATCGCAGTGCATTAAAGTACCAATGTGTTGTGGATCTACGATTGGAGCTTGTCAATTACCCTCTATTTCCAATGGCTAGGGAGAGGAAAAACCGCCACTTTCTATTGAATTATAAATCTCGGAAAGTCTGAAAATTATAATGAATGTTGGCGCTGGTGAGATCAGAATGGGGTTTGGTTTTGATAACTTCCTGCATCACATAGCTTAAAACAACTCATCTTTTTCGTTATTAAATCAGTTCTAACATTTGTAAAAGAACCAGTGGAAATTTACAAAATTCCAATAAGAAAACAATCACAGAAATTTCAACTAAGTTGCATAGAATTTTTGTTTAAAACGTTATTAGAAGTTGTACCACTGCTTTTAGCTGATCAAAACCTCGGATAACATTCTGATGCAGTTGAGAGATGCTTGAGTGTAAGCTGTCAAGTAGAAAGTAGCTTTAAGTGAAGAGCATAAGAGAAGGTCTCACAGGGACTATCAACACCGAATTAAGTGTCATCATATGTTGTAAAAATATCTTTTACATGGGGAAGCAACCTTCTAAGTGTTCTAAGTATATGGTTTGGGAAATCATTTGGATGATGATCACTCCTGAGGCTGAGCATAGCCCACTAAATTATCAGGTTGACTTTGTGTATAATTATAATTCTACTCTCACTATTGGTCAAAATGAATCTTCTACTACAATATCCCTAAATATATTGGTTTTTTTCAGTCAGTCAGGAACCCAGGTGTCTTATTCAACCCTCAACTGTATTTTCTTCCCCACATCCAACCTATGACCCGCTCTGCCTTCCCTCACCTCCGTAACATCGCCCGACTCCGCCACTACCTCACCCCTCAGGCCGCTAAAACATTTGTTCATGCCTTTATCACCTCCAGGCTCGACTATGCTTGTCGGTCTTCCCGACTCCTCCCTCCACAGGCTGAAGATAATCCAGAACTCTGCAGCCCGTGTCCTCTCCCGAACTCCATAACCCTATCTCCCCCACTCTCGCCCAACTCCATTGGCTCCCTATCCTACAGAGGATCCAGTTCAAGATCCTGGTCCTCACCTACAAAGACCTCCATGGCCTCTTAATAATAATAATAATAATAATAATCCTTGCATTTGATATAGCGCTTTTCACGTCAGGAGGACGTCCCAAAGCGCTTCACAGAACACACTGTAAAGTGAATTGACTGTATATTTGTGGGCGAACGCGGCAGCCAATTGCGCACAACAATGTCCCACAAACAGTCGTAGATTGAAAATGACCAATTTAATTATTGTTTTTGGTTTTTTGGAGGGATTATTATTAGGCGTGTGGAGTAAGGAAACTTGCCCAAGGTTTCGCCCTGCCTGGAATTGAACTCAGGTCTCTCACTTGCAAAGCGAGTGCTCTAACCACTGAGCTACAGGACTCCACCTACACCTCTTCCCACCCTATCTCTGCAACCTCCTAACCCCCTACCAACTCACCCGTTCCCTCCGCTCAGCCGGCTCCGGCATGCTCCATGCCCCCCGCCCCACCATTGGCGGGAGAGCCTTCAGCCACTCTGCCCCCAACCTCTGGAATTCCATTCCCCAGTCACTCCGCTTCGCCCCCTCCTTAGCCTTCTTCAAGTCCCGCTTCAAGACCCTCCTCTTTGACCATGTCATCGGCCACCTCCTTCCCCTCCTCTCCCTTCTCCCCCCCCCCCCGATCCCAGCTCGGGTCTGAAACTCTGTACACTGTCCAGCACCTAGGGACGTCCTCCCGACGTGAAAGACGCTATACACATGTAATCTTGTTGTTGTTGTTGACTAATTGAGACTCACCTCATCTGACATTATTGTTCTTGTCTGCAGTATTGAGGTACTGATTCAGAGCCAGAGACCAGAAGTGGAGGCGATGATCCGGGACATGGGCGTAGGGCATTCAGCAGTGGAGCAATTATCTATTTACTGTATATCACTTAAAAAGTAAGTACAATTTACTGAGGGTTGTTGTCCTGAGGTTGGCATTCGCACAACTTACATTTATATAGCATCCTTCACATAAGATAACATCTCAGTTGTAGTGGTGGGGTTAGATGGCGAGCAAAAGAGAGAGAGAGGTGGCCATAGTAGGGTCGAAGAGGTACGTCTACAGGTAGGATTTTAAAGATAAAGAGTGGGTGGAGCGATTGAGGAGGGAGTTCTAGAGATCGGCATGCTGTAGCTGAAGGTAAAGCCACCAGTGGTGGTGTGGAACAGTCGTAGGACGCACAGCTGGTCTGCATTAACTGAGTGAATGGGGCGGGCAGAGGAGTGGGATATAAGCAGGTCAGAGAGGTAGGGAGGTGATAGGGCATGAAGGGATTTGTATGTGAGGGTTAGGATTTTGAAATGATTTGCTTGGAAAAAGAGCCTGGTGAGGATTGGGCTGATGGGTGTGCTTCCTTAATTCAATCATTTGTGGGTTCAACCAATTTGCCTTGTGAGTAGTACTTGATACTTGTTGCTAGTGCACATCTGCAGAAAATGGTCAGTTCTTCAATCTCGGCATCACTCATCTCAATGAATACAAACACAAATATAACCAATTTTTAAAATTAAAAGTTACAGTGAAGATGTAAATTAAAACTACTTCTAGATATATGGCATGTTCAGCAAAAAGTGGTGCAAAGTGAGGGCAGGAGAGAAGAAAATCGGTCTAAAATAGGCTAAGCACTACCTGCATGAAAGCAGATATATTCCAGTAAAATTCTTCAGCCATCATTGCAGTGTCTATATCTCAGTGTTGAAGGGAACACACTGTTCTGTACCTGACACACGTGGCTTGTGTTCAGATAGAATCTTTCCTCACTATCTCATCTCGCCATTGTTTAATTCTCTGTAGGGAGTATGAGAACCTGAAGGAGACGTTTAAATCCTTCAGCGATATGACCGAGAAATTGAAAAAAGAAATGTTTACTGCTAACTGCAAGGTTTGTATTACACCAGGAAGTGACCAGATGTAAGTTTCTTTGTGGTTTTATTAATCTGGGTTCACTGCTTATTTAATAAAAATCCTAACGCAGGCTTTCATTATTGACGATAATTGCTTAAACTCGAGTACCAAAAAGCAGAATTGAACAGAATAAAGTTAATGATTCTCTGCAGTTGATACTTGCTCTTTTTTTAATGTGTTTTATTTTCTTCCTTCTCCCCTGTGATCTTCCATGCTGAATGGTTTAACGTAATGACGTACAAAATGACGTACAAAACTCCTGCTTTTAGGATTCTGTCAAATGCTATTTTACAGGGGGTTACTTGAAGGAGCTTAGTCTATTAGTCCAGTGCGTGGGAATTGCTTCAATTCCAGTAAGAAAAAGTCACTTAAAAGTTCTTGGCATTTCAACTTGCAGCCAAAGAACTTTTAAGGTGACAATTAAAAAACTGGTTAAGAACAACACAATTAGGAGAGGGTTGAGAGAAGTATAAATCTGGCATGTTGTTCCTACTCACTTTACTACTGGAGTGATATCACTGCATAACCCAGGCTTGAATCATACAAAGAAATATGATTCTTTGTATTGAAGAACATTAAGACTTTGAATTTGTAATATTCATGCTACACTCAAGTCAGTTTGACTAATACAAGGAGGTAATGCATATGATTTTAGTAATATCGAGCAGTTTGCAGCCTGGTGTAACTTTGTTTGGGAAGGAATATAATGACGTTGTCAATTGTAACCTGCCGGGCACAAGGTTGGAGAATTGAATTGAAACCATGTCATTAAAAAAAATCTCTAAACCCAGGAAGGAGGCAAATCCAAATGTTGCTTCTGTGCTTTTTGATGTAATAGGGTAAACCATTTAAAAATGTTACAACATTGTATATGTGGTAGAATACATAGTAGCAGATCTAAAAGGGAGTTTAGGAGTAAATTTTGCTTTTTGTTGGTTATAAATACTTCCATGCGTTTTTATGTGCAGTTCTCCCACACCACTCTACATTAATCTTTCCAATAGTCTGAAACTTTGATGCCTCTGGGTTTAGGGGTGTTTATTTTCTTCTCTTCCCCCTCCTTCCTGCTCCTTCTATGGGCTCTCCATTTCCAAAGAGGAGATTTATACAGTGTTGTATGTGATATCTATTGCTTAAACTGCTGGGTCCATGTTGATGTGATGCGCCCATTGGAACACAGACTATATTTTTTAACTGATTAGAAACCCAGGCATTCTGTTTTCATCTAGTTGGAAAAAACAGCATCCCAGCTGCAGAAAGCCAAAGATGACTTACAGGCATCGCAGGAGGATCTGCGTAATGCAGACAGAGAGATTGTGGTATGTTTGAAATAGTTAACCTGCTTTGGGACAGATGTCATCATTTTGACATCTTAGAGGTACTTTGATGTTGTGTTCTCCCGACTCAACTTATTTGTCCTAAATTGTGAAATGAATGTTATGCATTAATTGCAGTATTTAATTTATAAGTATAAATTATTTTATTTATAATTATAAATGAAATGCTGCAATTAATACAATTATAACTGGGTTGTACCCAGGATTATTCAATTAATTCTAATTATACTATGTATTAGTCACAAATTATATATATAATACAATTAGAATTCATGAATAATCCTGGGTAGAATCTTGAGTGAGATACTTCACGTGACCAAAATGTTTTCAGTTTGTTTTTAACTTATTCAGTATTGATTTTCTCGCAGGGCATTTTGCAAGAATGCTTTATGAGCGCTGTACATAGTGTGCTAATGACACCTAGTGGTGGATAACGAGTAGGGTAATGGCTTCATTACTGCTTATTATATGAAATGATTTAACGCATCCCTCTGTCCCTGAAGTTCTTTGTAGTGCTGGAAAATATGGCAAGTATGACAGCCCACGATCTTTATTCAAGCTATTATCATTCCAGTGAAGTTATTCAAATATCAGGGTGTAACATTTACCTGAGAGTTTTGATAGTGAATCTGTCAGTGTCAAACAATTACAAAATAAGTCTTCCCCCACCCCCCCAAAATCGATACGCATTGACAGATATCTGATGTCAGTTTTTCTATCTATAACGTGTATATATCAAAACCTGGGTTTTGCAGAGCTTAAAGAAGAAGGTAGAATTTCTGCAGAAGTCCCTCAGCACACCGAATCGCACCAATGAAGCAATCAGTCGCTTACTCTTTGAGAGGTGAGTAATCTCATTGTACTTCTAAGGACTTGCCTTGGTATGTTGCGGGTATTCACTGGGAGATGCTCTAGAATTGCAAATGCTTCTAGGGTGGACTTTTAAGAAACAAGCCAGGTGGCATTCCCAGTTTGGCCTCTCTCTAGAGGATGAGCTTAGTTCTGCCTTGGAGTCGTTTCTTAATAGAGAAATTGATTCAGAGGAGGGTAAACAGCACAATTCTATTCCTTTGATTGTGCTTCCAGGTAAGTTGATCAGTGTATCCCTGGAAAGACCTCAATGGTGCTTTGTCTACAAATAAAAGCATAAAAAGCTGGAAAGTGGCTGGATAAAAAGGGCATCTTTATGTTTCCAGAATCTGTTGTCAGGGCCAATGCTGGGTCCAGTGAGAATTGTTAGTTGTTACTCCTATACCTCTTAGTCTACAAAGTGCAATGAAACCCAGGAAAAATATGGACAAAAATGTGATTATGTGCATTTAGTAGCTCCTCCCAATGTCACAGCAGTATGGTAGGGTAATCTGCAGCTCTGACAGAGCAATACAATACAATATTGATCAAAATGAAAATTAGCTTTAGTCTAGAGTTTTCTCTGTTGTTGCTTTGCTGTATTTCTATGTTTATTTCCACACACTATTCTGACTGACTGGCTAGATAGTATTACTCCCTGGTGGTGTCTCAGGGAAGCTTGTGTTGATTAAAAATCAGATTTCATAACCTCCATTTGGCATCTGGTCCTTTGGTCACCTTCCTCTTCAAATGACCCAGGTGAGAAGAAAGGTTTCTTTCCATGTTGTATTCTTTGGCACAGTCCAGTGACATTTTAATTCATCAGCAGTGGAAAGAGGCTGCGTACTGATTTAATCTGTTGATAAATTTGTCTTTTGACCGAGCTGTTGTCAGTACATGGTAATGCATTTCCTGTGTTTGCAGCCCTGCTCCAGTCGACTTACAGCACCCTAAACTGCACAAACCAGCTGTGGGAGAGGACATCGATCTGAGTGTGGATCACGACATTTCCACTCCAGATTATATTCTTTCAAAATCCATCAGTACACCATCCAAGAAGATGAAACTAGACCGAACTGGGTAAGCACCGGTTTATTACTGGCTGTATCATTCACACACACGCATGCACATAGGCACACACACACAGTAAGCACTAGTTTGAAGCGTTCTGAGACGCCGTCCGGCATGGAGGGCGCTATATAAATCCAAGTTGTTGTTGTTGTAGTTTATTATTGCCTATATCATTCACGCACGCACACATACAGTAAGATAATTGGATTGTCTAGCCATCAGACTAGAAGTCCAGAAAATGACTATTTCCATTTTGTAATTTTGCTAGATTATGATCAAGTTTCTGATAACCTGAAGTGCAGAATTTTTTGTTTTGAAGACCTTTTCTGTTTTGAATTTCCCATTTTCATAAGTAGCAAGTATTTGCTTTGTGAGTTCATGTCTCAAGTAAAATGTGGCACAATTATTACAGAGTGAAAAGGGAAAACCAGTGTATTAAGAGGACGGTTCTGAATCAAGCAGATAGATAACAGACTGTTTACTTCCACTTCTGTTGTCATATTCTTCACTGTCCCAGGACAGGCTCCGCTCTAAATCACTTGCCATATTGTCTCTAATGTTCACAGCTGCAGCTCTTTTTGTAATGCATTTATTTAAACCCTAATAAAAACCTTTGGAATAGCCACAAGTTAATTCTGTCTTATCTCTTTCTCTGCTTTCATAGGTTGTTCATCCCACATAGGTCTGTTAAATCGCTGGAGGACTCAAAGGTGAACATTTTATATGTTGGGTTACAGAAAAGAGAAGCAGAATAACTAAAAGGTCTAATTGTTTGGTAGTTAAACAGTTACTAGAACTTTGGGAATAGTGTGGGATGAACCTCAAGTACTTGAGGTGTTCAGATGACTGAGTGCAAGAGTAAAACTTTAGTTTTACTCGCTTTGCAAGTGAGAGACCTGAGTTCAATTCCAGGCAGGGCGAAACCTTGGGTAAGTTTCCTTACTCCACACAGAGCCTAATAATAATCCCTCCAAAACCAAAAACAATAATAAATTTGTCATTTTCAATCTACGACTGTTTGTGGGACATTGCTGTGTGCAATTGGCTGCCGCGTTCGCCCACAAATATACAGTCAATTCACTTTACAGTGTGTTCTGTGAATCGCTTTGGGACGTCCTCCCGACGTGAAAAGCGCTATATCAAATGTAAGGATTATTATTATTATTAGTGTTTTAAACACTAAATCAATCCATTAGATTGCTGCTTTGTGATGCCTGGAACCCTTTCATATATTTTATAAACAGTACGAGTGTTTTCTATGATTTTATTGTTAGTTGATGTTAGTGCCATCATCTGGTTATTGAAAGTATTGTTCATGCTGTATAACTGTTGTAATTACTGCATAAAAATAATTTACAGTTTATTGCTGGGAAATTCCATGTCAAGAATACTATTAAGATGCAGGACTTGAAAGTGGAATTAAGTTGAATATACATTGTTGCTGACAAATGTATTCCCTCCATTTTAAATTGAAAAAAATCCATACGTTGGATTTTGAATTATTCACTCTATTATGTGCCTCCTGGAAGGATATTTGAGAACTAGAAACTCTGCTGATGGACAGTGTCTATATTTTTATATTTTATTGTCAATTTTTTAATACTTTTATGGTACTGTTTCTTCTCTCTCATCCCTGCCCCATCCCAATCTCAAACAACATTTGGCATAGTGCCTGATCATGTCATCAAACCACCTCAAAGCACTTTACGGATAGCTGCAGTGACTGTATTTGTAGGCAAAAGACGAAAGTAAATTTTGTGTTTGACCATGGAGCATCAACGCCCTGATGTTATAGGTATCAGATACCCTCCTTTGGCTGGGGACCTGGGCCTCTGTGTACAAGTTGGCATGGTTGGCAGCTGTGACGGTGTGGTAGACTGGTGAATAGGCTTCTAAGGGTACAAAGATGGGTGTGCTGAGCAATCAAATCAGATTGCTGTTTGACATTTGAATTATAATGATCTTACAAAGTATCTGTCTTGTGTTTTTAAAGGCAAATGAAGATAAAGGTGACTTTATTCTTCCATCGTTACTCAGGAACTCCATGTTGTTCAAAAAGAAGCCATGCGGGAGCTTCTTGGATTCACAGAAGGGATGTGTAAGTTGTCCGAGATGTTTTGGGATTGAAGCAAAACTTTAATAAACCTCCCTTTTGGAAGAGCTTTGAAAAACACTTCAACCTTTGTCTTGATATTTTCTTACTATAGTTTAGTCAGCCACTCAATATAGCTTCAATATGGCGGCAAAAAATTAGTCTTAGAAAAATATCTGTATTAATTTTGTAGAAGTATTTCTAAAATGAAATGCATGTACAACAGTACAGATATCTAGGTTTAATATGTTTGTTTTCTCCTTAGGTGAGAACGGGCTTTGATGGATTGGGAGGAAGAACCAAGTTTATTGAACCCGTATCCTTTACCGCAGTTGTTATTAATCAGCTAGTTTATGTGGATTGGGGTTAGGGGAAGTGGAGTCTTATATTTCATATCCTTTAAATTAATTTTGTTACTGTTGTATTTTATAAGTTTAAAATATAGTATCACTTATTCCCTGGATGTGGCATTGCTGAGTTATCAAGTAATGTCCTCAGCAGTTCAACCAGTAAAAATTTACATTTATTGCAACTTAGTACAGCAATGTGATTCATAGTTTAGACCTTAAATAACTCATTTAGTTGCCTGTCCTTATTTTTTACCATGTGATTACAAGTTGAAGAGGAAGCTGATCATTTTTTCAAGGGAGTTTGTACTCACCAAGGTGAAAGATTTCTGCTGGCATCCTGCACGTACATAAAGCATTCCCATGTCAAGTTTAGTGTGGGTGAGATTGCAGAGGAAAACTACCTCCAACCTAGCACCACACTCTCCTCCCCCCACATTGTCTTTCACTGACTATCATGGATTATAAAATGGCATATAGTAGGCTTTTGAGGTTGTATAATAATAATCATTGCATTTGATATATAGCGCCTTAATCATGTTGAGACGAGTCAAAGCACTTTACAGAATATACAGTAAAGTGGTATGACTGTATTTTGTGAGTGAATGAATTATGGATCTATATCATTTCCAGTTAAGACTGCTTGAGCCTTTTTTATTTTAAAAAAATCCTTATTTGGTGAAATTGGTGAATACATTGTTGTCGGCTAGAATTCTACCCAGATTCTCTTGAGGTTCAGCAGCAGTAATATCATTTGGCATTGTCAGTTCGCTGGGGTTGAAGTACTCCAGTTTTGAGTCTCAGTCATGAGGAAATTAGGATAAATTATGCCAGTATATCTCCGAACAGTCTGCTCAAGATTGCCATTGATGAAGTTCCTGGTCTATTTTTCGATGATCTAGGGAAAGAGATGAAAAGAAATTCCTTTTAAAATGGGGCAAAAAAGGTGTATTTGCATTTCTCTTGTATTTGAGCATTTTAGATTCACATATTTACATCTTTAAGTTATGCCGGTGTTCCAATCATAAATTAAGGTCTGCTGTTAATTACTGGCTTTGCAATTATGATCTAATAGAGGTAAATTATAGTTGTTCACAAATCTTCCATTGTTCCCTGTCATCTTTCATGTTGATTTATATTTTTTAAAATTCTTTAACCTTTTCATCCTTCAGACTAAAATGACTGAAATTCGGCCTCTACCATTGAAGGCAAAAAGGAGGAAAACATCACGACCAATTGGAAGTAACACAATCTCGAAACAACGCAAATTAGAGAATTTCCTTAAATAAAATTGAAATGGTTTCTTAGACTTTGGGAATGCAATTCACAGTAGTGAGCAGTACTGCAAGTAGTGGAACAAGATAAAGTTCAACTAACTCCAGGCCAAGGATAGTAACGTTTGGACTGGTGGTGGGGTCTAGAATAGCATATTAATACTTGGTTTGTTGTTTCTGAATGAATGCACCTGTGCCTGAACTGTTTGGCTTTGCAGGAATCTAATATACTTCATATTTGTCACGATGATTAAAGACACCATTTACCACTGCAGAGGAAGAAAGCCTGGTTTGTTATTACTTATCTAGTGTAACCTCTCCTGCAGCCATTCCATTCCCTAAGGCCACCTTACTCCTTGAAGACCTATTTGACACTAAAAGGAAGGAAAACCATGTTGTCTCAAGTGTTTTAACTGGGGTAAGGAAAGAGAAGGAAGAAATGGCTTTATTTGAAATTAACTCTCGACCATGAATAACCGTGGAGAGAGTCTAAGGTCTAAATGACAAGTTTTGGACAATGATTTTTGTATATGGTGAAACCCAGCTTTGCCGAAGGCTGATCTTCTGCAACTCCACTTGGTCCCCAATCAAAGAATGTCAAGTAGAGTTCCTAAGTTAAAACTACATCTGGGATTTGCTATTTATCAATCATTTTGTGAATGTTACAATTTAAACCCTTTGGAAAACTTTTGTGTTTTTAAAAACTGGCCATTTTTGTCTGAAAAGTTTTTAGTTTTAGGGAATACAATAAATTCACCTTCCTCAAGACAGTCTCATGCAGACCCAGCTCAAGTGTAGCATGGTTAGCTGCAAAGTTAAACTGTCTTTCCCCCTCTTAGGTCCATTCCTAGTTTGATTTGATTTCACTTCCCACACCAGCTGTTGAAACTTATCCAGGCCCATTGTGCTTCTAAATTTCTTCACCCATTAAACTTGAGACTAATCCGATTCAGGTGAAAATGTTCACTATTTACCTTTCTGTACCCATGGTTTAACACTGTTTGAAACCCTAAATGGAAGTATTTCTGTGACCCTGTGAAGAATCAGTATTCCCCTCTACTCCAGAGCTTGTTGTTTTCATTCTGAACCCATTTTGCACAATGGAACTAATCTGAATTGAAGCATATCCCCATGTATGAGTTTATGATTGAAAGGAGTCTTACCATCATGCTTAATCCATTAGACAGTCTAATCATTTTACAGGCTGATTGATATGCTGTTGTTTTTTTTCTGGCCATGTCCTTGTGTTCCCCATTAACTGTTGGAAAATTATAAATTAGTTCACCCTTCCAGACACACCTGGTAGCCAATACACGTACTGAAACTTTTCAAACCTAGCAAGTGGTTAGTTAGACTGTTAGAATCCTAGAAAAAAATGAAGTTTAAAAACAGGACAAAGAGAAAACAAGCTGACAAAAAGGTATGCACGTAACTGGGTTAAAATATTTTAATTCATAATTGTGTTTTTTGTATTTGTTTTAATAAGTAATGTTAATATTACTATATTGACTGGAAGATATGATATTGAGGCTGTTGAATCTATTAATATCCCACAGGGCTGTCTGGTATTTAGGGCCAGGGAATCTGGGATTTAGGGTCACTCTGCAATGACTAGAAATGTTTAGTTCAAGTCTTCCTAGCCCCAGAGAAGATGAAATGCTGGGCCTGGCTCCCAGTGGGATTACTAAGTGGTTTATGGAATCAGTTTGGAGATTCAGTGGTTTTTTGCCGCAGATTGATCATATAGAGGCTGTGGTTTAATTTTCAATACATTTAGCAATGTAACTCATGTTAGGTAACATTCTGGTGAGTATAACCATTTCGCTATTCCTGTTTCACAATAGGGTCCTGAAAAGCCCAGAGTGGCATTGAAAGCATTGACATTCTTTACCAGGAAATGTTATACTTCATTTGAATCTGGATTTCTTTAAACTGAATGAACTGTGATTCGGAAACTGGCTATTTCAAAAATTGTTTTGAATCAATTCATTACAAAAATATTATTTTTAAAAAGATCTCACCGTCTCTTGGTGAATCCTGGAAGTGATCAGTTAGAATTTGGTACTGCAGGAATTACTATTACATTTTACTTTTTGGATCAGAATTCTATTATAGTTGATTGATATCTTTGTCTGGATGAAACCTGAAACCAAGTTTTTTTTCAAGGGGCAGAGTAATGAATTCTCTCTCTTCTGATTTTCTACCTAGTGCTGTCTCTATGTTTGTCGGCAGTGCAATATGTGCAAAAACTATACTAAATCTCTTGAATAAAATCCAAATTTTTTTTGTTTGTATACTGGAGATGAGTGGACCAGAGAATCTAATTGATTTCTGTGAAATGTTGATTCTGGCACACACAAGTCTGTGTATAAATTTGTGTTACAATGTGAGGTTACATCGCTTACTTACATAAGGTAAGCAAAAGCAGGATTATTTCAGTGTTTTTCACTAAACACTTGCCAAATAATGCCAACCATTGGGGGTTGATTAAAGAGGTGATGGCGTCAAATAAGTTCCTTACTTTTTTGGTAGTTGAGCACACTTTTACTAGTGCAAAATGTAACCGCTAAACTCCTGAATCACAGTTTTTAATCCCTTGTTGCCATGTGCAGTAAGGAATGAGGGCTAAACTCCAATGTTTGTGAGTGCATCTTGATAAAACCCCAAATGATAGAATTGTCTCCTCTTTGCTTGTGATGTCTATATATTTATGTTTATACAATTCTTGGAAAACCAAATGGGAAACCTTTATATTTCTTGACCATGGAGGCATTTGGTAATGTATGTTCAGTGTCAAATACCTGAGACCATTAAATATTTTGTTATGAAAACATTTATTTCTCTTTGTTTTGCTTCCTAAGGAAAAAGTTAAGGATCTAAATCATGGCATCCTTTAGTCATGGAAGAATTGGAAGCTTCAAACCAAAGTTTAATTGAACTATATGACAAGCCTTGAGACGTCTCAAAGACAGGTTAAGGCACTATATCAAATAAAATGTTTTATTTTTTTAAATATTATTGATCTTTAATAGTCTGTAATATCAATTTTGGGAGTTTTTTTCTCCCCGGCCCTCACCTTGTACTACATGTGGTTCAGTTGACAGGTGCCTTGAACTGAAAAGCAAAACACTACCTCCTAGGATGAATGGTGTTGTTTGTAGGAAGTGGTTGGCACCACTTCCCTCTGATTTCTGGTTTTTATTTGGTTTGAAACCTCCAATTCTTTCATGACTAAAAGATGCCATGATTTAGATCCTTAAGGATCAACTTCCCTCATCATTTACATCCGGATCATAACATTCCGCAGCTAATAAAGGGCATGGTTTGAGCTTCCGAGTAACCAAACCAGACAGAATTTTAGGTATGCCACCTACACATAGAAACTTTTGCGTCTGAAATGGATACAGTTCAAGATCCTGGTCCTCACTTTCAAAGCCCTCCATGACCTTGCTCTCACCTACCTCTGTGACCTCCTAAACCCCTACCAAACTGCCCACTCCCTCCGCTCAGTGGGTTCCAGCCTGCTTCACTTCCCCCACCTTGAATACCCCATCATTGGAGCGCCTTCAGCCACTCTACCCCCATCCTTTGGAACTCCAGTTCCTCCGCTCACCCCCTCCCTTGCCTCCTTCAAAACCATTATCCAGATCCTCCTCGTCAACCGTGTCTTCGGTCACTCCATCCCCTACTCTCCCCGATCCTGACTCCCAGCTTGGGTTCAAAACACTGGTTGTCCTGCACCTTGGGACATCCTCCCAATGTGAAAGGCGCTATACCAATGTAGTTTTGTTTGTTGTAATCCTAAAAAGCGTATAAAGCGGGGAAGCGGCAATTTTTCAAAATAAAAAAAATTGAAGCGGGGTCAGTTAGTTGCACTATCTCGTTACTAACTATCAACTAAAACACCTGCCTATAAAGTCGCTCCATATCTCAGTGCTGTCCTCCACTTCAAATACAGTATTAATTCTCTTGTGATTCCATTTCTGATTGTCGTTTTATTAATTTTGCACTGATGTATAACAGTATCTATTTACTTGTGTACAGTAAGTCCATAGCCTTGCAGTGTACATGAAGATCAAAGATGTGGACTGATTTATATTTGAATTGTACTCTGAATGTGATCTGACTCCAGGGGTAAGTATTTCAGCATCAGTCACAGAGAATGCGTACCATGTTATGTTTTCATGTTATTTGGGCTGCCTTGTAATGGGATGTGCTGCTTGGGTTTTTTCGGGGAATTTGCAGTCAAGACAGAAAATGAAACTGAAACCAACACAAGTCGGTGTCAGTAACCTGAGTGAATACAGCACTTTGGGACTCAGCCTCCGACAGCGACAAGAAAGGTAATTGTGCTGTACTGTACAGCAGCCTGGATCTGGGCTGGATTCAGGACATGTAGCTTTTCTTTGTTTGTGTGTGTAAGGCTGAATAATGTGGGAGAGAGAATGCTACAAGCTAGTGAAACTGAACTAAAAATCGATAAGCAAAATAGCACAGATGTTTTGAGGCTTGGAGTAAGAGAAAGTGAAAGTCAAGATGCTGTACTAGGTTTCCTAAAAAATTGATTTGAATGGAAGTAAGATGTTTCACAAGTTGTGTTTGAGGGATGATGGTTGTTTTCTATGAAAATAGAAAGTCCTGTAGCTCAGTGGTTAGAGCACTCGACTCGCAAGGGAGAGATCTGGATTCGATTCCGGGCAGGGTGAAATGTTGGGCAAGTTTCCTTACTCAACACACCTCTTGCTCAACCAGCAGTAAGTAGGAACACGGTTGTTGGTCGTTTGGCGGATTGCCTTTCCGGGGATAATAATCCTTCAAAAAATATTAATAATTTGGTCACATTTGGGGTTTAGTTTAAAGATGTGCTTTTTTGCTGGAGACAGTTACGTTTTGCTGAATCTTAAAGTTTCAAGTGGAGTTTTATAACATATTGGTTAGAGCACTCGCCTCGCAAGTGAGAGGACGCGGGTTCAATTCTTGAGCAAGGCAAAACCTTAGGCAAGTTTACTTACTCCACACGCCTCTGTTTACCTAGTGTATGTAGGAATACGGTTGTTAGTTGACTAGCGTATCACTTTCGCTAATAAACCCTCCAAAAAAATAATAATAATTTCGTCACTCAATCCAAGACTGTTTATGGGACACTGCTGTGCGTAATTGGCTGCCACATTTCACCCATAAGTTATACAGTCAATCCCCTTTACAATATATTCCAAGATGCACTTTGAGATGTCTCAATGACGTAATAAGGTGCCCTATCAAATGCATGGATCATTAAGCGCCCTGGGTCGCTATATAAATGCAAGTTGTTGTTTTAGAATGCAAAAGGTTTAGAAATCAGTTTTACACTAAGGACAATTATGACACTCTGGAGTATGATAATTTAAATTATCCCAGGAGAATATAATAAGGGAATCAGTTTGCGGTTATTGTAAAGCAGAAATTTGGAGAAAGGACTTGGTGGTGAGTTGATGATGGGGGTGGGACGGGGAAATTAGGAGAGTTCTGTTTACACAGTTGAAATGCTCTTCCAAATGCAGTAGTTGAAACAATGGAATTATTGTAGTAATTTAGGGAAAAGGCAGATGAATTGAATCCAGCACAGACATGATGGTCTGAATGGCTTAATTCTGTACTACTTTTTTATGGTTCTATAGAAGCACGGGATAAATAAGAGCCTTTTGCTTGTTTATTATTGCACATTAAGATTTCCCGCTACTTGTCCAGGTAGAACCACCTCGTCCATTAGGGCTTTGGCTTGCAGGGTTAACAGGAGCTGAATGGGAGGATTTCCTAGAGTCTGTTCTCCCAAGGCCTGCCAATGATGAGCCAGGCTGACTGTTCTGTCATCAGCAGTGCCCTGGAACGCTGCAGACCCACCTCGCTCAGGAACCAGACCACCGAGACTGCGACAGAGGGCTGGCTCGATTCTGACATTTTCATGCGAAACATGTTACCTTGGAACCAGATCAGCTCCAAGGAGACCCCACTTACCTCTCCACCCTCACCTTCCTCCCCATCCCTCAGAAGATAGAATTCAAAATCCTCGTCCTCAGTTTCAAGGCCCTCCATGGCCTTGCCCCCTCCTACATCTCTGACCTTCTGCCCCCATCAACCTGTCCGCTCCCTCCACTGAGCAGGCTCTGGCCTGCTTCAGGTCTCCCACTCAACCCACCCTACGATCAGCGGCCAGGCTTTCAGCCTCTCTGCCCCCACTGTTTGGAACTCCATCCCCCAATCCCTTCGCCTTGCTCCTTCTCTTACCTCCTTCAAGTCATGACTCAAGATCCTCCTTTTTGACTGTGCCTTCAGCTACCCCCCTACCCCCTCTGTCCTCTCTCATCCCAACCCTGCTCCCCACGATCAGGTCCTCATGACTGACTGTTCAGCGTCTTTGGACGTCCTCCTTCTGTGAAAGGTGCTTTACAATTGTAATTTTGTTATTGAACATCAGAATGATAAAATTAGTTTTAACTTCCATTGTTTCCTTTTGATTTCAGATGATGGAAACTCAAGAGATCGACGAAGGCCTCTATTCCAGACAGCTGTAAGTACAGTGGAGTCCTGTAGCTCAGTGGTTAGAGCACTCGCTTTGCAAGCGAGAGACCTGAGTTCAATTCCAGGCAGAGGGCGAAACCTTGGGCAAGTTTCCTTACTCCACACAGAGCCTAATAATAATCCCTCCAAAACCAAAAACAATAATAAATTGGTCATATTCAATCTACGACTGTTTGTGGGACATTGCTGTGCGCAATTGGCTGCCGCGTTCGCCCACAAATATACAGTCAATTCACTTTACAGTGTGTTCTGTGAAGCGCTTTGGGACGTCCTCCCGACATGAAAAGCGCTATATCAAATGCAAGGATTATTATTATTATTATTACAGTTGGAACACTTTGAATATAAATATAATATAAATAAATAAGAGGGGAGGTAGAAGAAGGGGTAAACTGAGGTAAGAGGGGAAAAGAAAGGAACAACATGGATGTAGTGGGATTCCCAAGTGGGATTCTTCACTTTAATTCCCACAAGTCACAAGGAAATTTTATTGATCAGCCACAAGTGTGCAAAACTGGTAGCTGACTGCACTTTTCCATTTCCATAATATAATCATCGAATCTTACAGCACAGAAGGAGGCCAATTGGCCCATCGTGCCTGTGCCAGCTCTTTGAAACAGCTACCGACTTGTCCCACTGCCCTGCTCTTTGACCATAGCCTTGCAAATTTTTGCTTTTCAAGTATATATCCAATTCCTTTTTGGAAGTTATTATTGAACAACACACAACATCACATTTGTTCAGCACCTGTCACGTCAGAAGGATGTTCCAAGATGCTGGATAGTCAGGGATTTGGACCCGAGCAAGGGATGGGATCAGAGCAGGGACGGCCGGGGTAAGAGGGTGATCAAAGGTACGATTGAAGAGGAGGGCCTTGAGACATGCCTTGAAGGAGGCAAGGGAGGGAGCGAGGTGAAGGGACTGTGGGATGGAATTTCAGAGGGTGGGGGCAGAGAAGCTGAAGGCCCGACCGCCGATGGTGGGGCGGGCCAGGCGGGGGACATGGAGCAGGCCAGAGCCTCTTGAGTGGAGGAAGCGGACAGGTTGATATGGCATTAGTAGTTAACATTAGTAGTAAGGAGCAAGGCCATGGAGGCTGTGACCACCTGTCTTGTTTCATACCACTGAGGCAGATTGTAGACGATTTGCATACATGCTTCTATAATGTTTCAATCCATTCCACATTGATGGTAATCAAGTGGCTTTATACAGTTACTAGGAAGGTTGTAACGCCATAAACATATATGTTCTTACTTTCACTGGCAGAATAAGGTAAAATGTGTAATAAATGTAGAGTAATGGAGGCTGGCATTGAATTGTGGTGATTTCATTAATTGTGAGCAAAAGCTCGCGGGTTTTATTAATCTTTGCAGAAGCTTGTGATTTTCCTAAATTTATTACAACATGTTTATTGGTCTCACATCTTTAGTGTTTTAAAGACATTTTCATACTTAGAGCGTTTGAATATTTTTAAAGTTATTTTGCAGCACCTGAAAGGAATGTGGTATTGTCTGTGTAAATGAGAGACTACCAAAAGCAACAGTGATGTAGAAACCAAGGAAAATGGAGAGTAGCGAGGAAGTGATCAAGTTGAGGAGGTTCATATTTGTTTGCTGGTATAATGGCCATCAAAGTCATGTGCACTCGGAGGCTTATGTGTGATAACACTGTGCTGAAGTTGATGGTAACAAATTCATTGAGTAGGATCCCTAATGATTTCTGAACAATAACAGTAACTGTATCTTACCGGATGAAATCTAATGGCAAGCTTCAGATGGTAAGGCCTCCAGAACAAAGCTAACGTAGATTGGTTTATGATACCCACTGATTTGGGTCCTACATTGTGACTTTGAAATTGCTCCTTGCTATCTTTTCGTTGTTTACTCTTTAGTAAATAGTAATGAACTATTTACTGGTCATTTTTGTTTGTTCAGTAGGGTAGCCAGGCTTGATCAACGTCTGGCAGCTATTATCGTCAGAGAAGCAGCAGACAGGTTTCATGGGAGTGATACTTCTCATTGTGTTCCCTTTGTAAGCATAATATAGGCAGAAGGAATGGAAAAGTTAAGGGGAGCTGCTTCAAGGTTAGAGTCTATTTTACATATTGAATAATGGTATATAATCTTTGTGTTTGATTACACCTTATCAAGTTGTTGAGACGTCTCAAAGCACTTCACAGGATATACTGTGAAGTGGATTGACTGTATTTTGTGAGCCAAAAACAGCAGCAAAATTGCATATAGCAGTGTCCGACAAACAGCCATGGAGTGAGTGACCAATTTTATTTGGGGTGATTGTTGACCAGGACACCGGAAGAGAATCCCTACTCTTTTCAGATAGTGCCAATGGATCTTTAATGTCCACTTGAACAGGCAGACAGGACTTTGGTTTAATGTCTCATCCAAAGGATGACACTTCCATGAATGCTACACACCCCAGCACTGCATTGGAGTGTCAGCTTAGACTGTGAGATACCAAGTCCCAATGTGGGGCTTGAACCCACAATCCTCTGACTCGGAGGCAGGGTGGTACCAATATGCCAGGCTAGCTGGGGAGGGACTTGGAAACATAACAGAAGAGAATGATATAAACCTCAAGAGCAAAACAAGGATGGAGCTTCAACCTTATCAAATTTTTTTTGCCTCAGTCCAGAGGTGCAGAGCTCAATTATAGTGGCCCAACTGTGATCACCTCACTTCCAGGTCTCCATGGTTCTGTTTCACCCTAGGTAGTGGCTTTACATAATGAATCATTGGGAGCAGGAAGCTGAGTAATGTTTTGTTCTATGTATTGAATGCCTTGAACTTCATTGTTATGAAACTCCATACTTAAAAATGAGCAGCATTTCTCTTAATTTGTAAAATAACAGGTTCAAGCCCCACATCAGGACTTGATTTTCTAATCTAAGCTAGATGAGAACTGCAATGTCCTTCAGATGAGATGTTAAACCAAGGTCCTGCCTGTCTATCCCCAGATAAAGGGATCATTTACTTCATGGCTGTTTGTGGGTCATTTCTATGTGCAAACTGACTGACCCACTCATCTACCAAATGCCCTCATTTTATATAAATTGGGGTGAGACCTTTTGACAATGTGTTTAGGAGTCTTATCAATACAATGATTGTTAATTATTACGAACAACGAGTTAATTCTGCACTTGACTGTGATGTTTAACCTCAGTATTGTGCATTGTTCTTTACCTTTCCTTGAGGCCAATTCACAAGTGCAGAGAGAAAGAATACATGGAACACAAGCCTTTCAGTGAATGCTCTGTTCTTCTGAACAGCCAGTCCCAGTGCTGACTCAGCACAGGTTATAAAAGATGTTGCTAATCAATAAGTAAATAGCTGTTCATGAAAAATGCATAGACTACAAGATGGGGATGCTGATTGTAAATGCTCGAAGGCATTCATTCTGTTTGATTCCTTATCCATTTTCAGTGAGCACTTCCATATTTTCACAAGGCATCTGAGAGGAATTTTGGTGGGATGGAAGAACTTAGGCGAAATTCTGAAGTACTATATATCCTTGAATTTTGAGTTGATATTTCTTGCTTGCTCCTGCCTGTCACTGTCTGCCTGCTCTGAAGATACGGGGAGGCAACTTAGATCATATTCGAGGCTTCTGTTTGTCAGGATTTTAAAAAATTCATTTTTCGGGGTTAGTCTTAGTTTATTTTTAGCAATTTTTGAGTTCTAAAAATTGGCCGTTTTCTGGGTTTTTCCACTTTTAATGGAAACTTTAGACTCGCCTGCATGCACAGGGGAGAGACAGGCGCTCTCGTGCATACACAGTGATGTCAGAGCAAGAGCCATTTACAGGTTTTTGCGGTGTTTATTGGATAAACACCATTTTTTCTGTAACTGGGTGTTTTACTGGAGGGGACGGGGGCTGTTAAAAGCGAAAATCAGAGGCCCTAATTACACTAGGATTTAATGCATGATTTATGTCAATGACTGTGTTTTACATAATGATTTATTTTTAAGTATAGTAACTATTATGTAAGTTGTGTGCAAATTGGCTGCTGTGTTTGTTTACAATCATCACTATATTACAGTCAAATCCTGTGAAGCACTTTTGAATCATCCTCCCAACTACAAAGATTATTATACAAATACACTTGAATTTGGCAAAGTAAATTAATCCAAGATACTATGAACAAGTTAAATTAAAGAGATAAGAAAGGAAAGTATCTTATTTGCATTGATCTCATTGTATATAGTAACCTAATCTAGCTGAGAAATGTCCTAAGAATTTATGAATGCTTGTTTGACCTTGCCACATTGAGTAATGTGCAACCAGTTAATTATGGCTGTGGTTGTAGGTTGAGAATATTATTTTCTTTAGATTTCAGTTCAGAGATTCCTGTTCCAAAGAAAATAATAGTCTCATCCTACAACCATTGGCATATGTGGGATTACTAAATCATTAATTTAAATACTAATGCAGTATATCAAGACAACCAGAGATAGCTGCACAAATGTTATACTAATTATCCGAAAGCAAATTTGCCTTCCAATTGTGGACGTTCAAAACAGACGTGTCTTGTAAGTAATTGCAATGGTCATAAAGTTCAGCCGTCCACACAGCCATAGATTTGTCAATTATTATACCAGTGCAATTGAGTAAAAGGAAAAACGTGATTGCTGAATTGCCACATCAATTTCAGTGTTCTAAAGGGAGAAGGAACCTGAACATTTACTTTTAGCGCTCTCTCTTTGTGTTCTCTCTTTCAAGTGCACCAAGACACAGCCCCGAGTGAAGGGCCTATATAAATGCAAGTTATTGTATGTGGAGGTTGAAAGCCTTATTTCTGGTCCTCAATTTGGTTAGTCGGGTCCACTGTGATGTGTGGGAGACATCCGCAAGGACAAGCAACTGAGTAACTGCATCACTAACCAATGGATGGATGTTTCTATTTGCACTCGGCCACTGTCTCCAAAGTGCTAAGAATACCACTTCTTGCCACTTCAATTAAACTGCAAGACTGACATTACTGAAGATACAGCTGCTGATGGTGACAGTGCTAGGTATTAGTACTGCACTGCTGGACCGAGCCAGCTTTGACCTACAGTGATTTTATGAGGGGGAAAATAAGCTAGGAATACGCCTTCTGAAGCAGTTTCTCAAGTCTGACTGTCACCAATGTAAGATGGACTGCAGCTTACTCTAGTTTGACTGTGCAACATTGAGCAATGTGGAAACATTAATTATGTCACAAATATTGACAGTGCAAATTGGAAAACAAATCTGAACCAGTCTCCATTGTGATGAGATTCTTTCACCCCCTTATAGAATCTCCTTATTTACTGCATCAAAACCTTTCATAATTTTGAACATCTCTATTAAATCTCCCCTTAAGCTTCTCTGCTCTAAGAATCCTTTGCACCCTCTCCAAATGTGTGGTACCCGGAATTGGACTTCTTCCAAATCTGGCAGTATTCTGTCCAATTACCGCTACCAACTCTTTGGTCCATGAATCCTTGATGTCCAATATTTCAAGACATTATTATTGGTTTGATTGTGCGGAGGTACTTTAAGAAGTTGAGTAGAAGTTGAAATGCAATCCAATACCTTCATGCAATTGATCTCCTTTCCTCTTAGCCACCAATTATATGTTGTGGAGGGAATAAAATACTGATTTGCCTTTTCTTTGCTTGTGGACCTGTCCTGCAGATATGTGCTGGGCCTTGATGCCATGAAACGAATGAAGACCTCGAATGTGTTGATCTCTGGGATGGGTGGTCTTGGTGTGGAGATCGCAAAGAACGTTATTCTCGCGGGAGTGAAATCTGTCACAATTCACGATGACAGAGAGGCTGAGTGGAGCGACCTCTCTTCCCAGGTAGGCTTGATGTCTCTGTCAGCCTGAATTCATGCACTGCAATCTGCTTCAGGCCTAATGTTTTTCAGTGGGTAACTCAGAATCCTATGAAGTAAACCTTTTGTTAGACAAAGATCAGAGATTTGAGCCTATCCAGGGTTTATTTGGGATCAACATTTTCCAGTTCAAATTGTGAGATTTTGGTGCAATAGAATGGGACATTTTGCCAATCGTGTAAATTTAGTGACACATTACTCCCCTCCCTATTACTATTCACTTTTGTAGTTTAGCAGCAAATGTTACAAGATTACAGGAGGTACTCGCTTCCAAGTCATTCATGAATAATATAAACAGCTGAAGACCCCGAACACAACATCTGGTCACTGCTCCAGTTGTTTCCTCAATTAATTCCCATAGATTTGTTGGGCATAACTACTGAATCCATGTTGACTACTCCTTATTGAGTCTGCTTTTATTATATATGTGGAGTCCTGTAGCTCAGTGGTTAGACCGCTTGCCTCGCAAGCGAGAGACCTGGGTTTGATTCCCGGCAGAGCAAAATGTTGGGCACGTTTCCTTACTCGACATGCCTCTGTTTACCTAGCAGTAAGTAGTAACCCGGTTGTTAATCAATTGGTGGATCGCTTTTCCAGGGGTTAATAATTCCTTCAAAAAAAAAAAAAAAATCGGTCACTTCAATCCACGACTGTTTATGGGACACTGCTGTGCCCAATTGGCTGCCGTGTTTCACCAACAAAATATACAGTCAATTCACTTTATGGTATATTCTGTGAAGCGCTTTGAGACGTCTCAAATGTGTGATAAGGCTCTATATCGAATGCAAGGATTATTATTATTTATTATATATAGTGAAAGCAGCTGTTAGAATACTCAATGATTCCTTTCAGGGGTTAAAAATCCCTAAAAAAAAATCATAATTTGATCACTCAAATGTTTGCGGGACACTGCAGTGCCTAAGTGGCTTCCTCGTTTCACCCATAAAAAACAATTAATTCACTTTACAATATATTCTGTGAAGCACTTTGAGACAGCTCAACAACATGTTAAGGCGCTATATCAAATGCAAGGATTATTATTATTATTAATCGGCATTCCAGTGTATGCAAGCGGTTCTCTCTCTCTCTCTCTGTCTCTCTGTCTCACACATTCAATTTTCACTCCTTGCACAGATCTCAATATCGAAATGCACGAAAGTGGGATAGGGAATTTAACATCCAGACTGCCAAGTAGATGCAGCGGTTTATCTCTGATCACATTAGGGAGTTTACCTTAACTTAGTGAGGCCTGACTTAACAAAGTTACTCACAACAATCAACCACTGGACATACAGAGGTTGTTCATTGTTTGTGTTTTAATAATAATAATCCTTGCATTTGATGTAGCACTTTTCACATCTAGAAGTCTCAAAGCGCTTCACAGAATTTACTGTATAGTGAATTGACTGCATATTTGTGGATGAAACTCGGCAGCCATTTGCGCACAGCAGTGTCCCCACAAACAGTCGTGGATTGAAGTGCCCAATTTATTATTGTTTTTTTTGAGGGACTATTATTAGGCGTGTGGAGTAAGGAAACTCACCCAAGGTTTCACCCTGCCAGGAATCAAACCCAGGTCTCTCGCTTGCAAAGCGAGTGCTCTAACCACTGAGCTACAGGACTCCACTTTTTAGGTCGTTTATGAAAGTTATATAACTCACCAGTGTGGTTGTGTGTGTTAGCAAGAACCTATTGAAAAAAACAAAAGAAATTGCATTTATATAGCATTTTTGCACAATGAATATCCCAAAGCACTTTACAGAGACACCTCACAAACTGTATAGTATAGAATTCACTGCTGCTGTGCCCATATTGCCCAACACAGATGCTGAGGCCAATTTTAGAGCCTCCACCTGTTACAACAACAACATCTTGCATTTATAGAGTGCCCTTCACGTGGGGCAGCATCTCGGAACCCTTAACAGCGTCGGAGCCTGACACCCAGTCGAAGAGGAAGGTCTTCATTCAGTATCTAAAAGAGGGGAAGGAGGGGGCAAAGTGAAGGAATTGAGGGAGAGAGTTCAGAGCTTCCGGATGTAGTGCCTGAAAGCACGCCCACCAATGGTGGAGCAGAGGGGACAAATGGGGAGGAAAGGTAGTGAGGTACAAGGACGTGAAGGAATTTGTAGACAAGTGAAAGTATTATTAACTGATTAATCGCCAAGTGGAATCCCTCTGCAGGCTACATTAAAAGGTAGTAAAGTGGTATATTCAGCCACTTTCCCTGCCAGGTTAGGCTCCCAGTCAGCTGTGTGAAGCGCTTTGAGATACCCTCCTGTCATGACAAATTCTGTATAACTGTAAATAGTTGTAAGAAATAGGTGTAAAAATTTCGTTTCTCTCATTCCTTTTCAGTTTTACTTGACCGAGGAAGATATTGGGAAGAATCGGGCAGAAGTATCTGTGTCATGCCTGGCAGACCTGAACAGTTATGTTCCTGTCCGCTCCTACGTGGAGAAGCTGAAAGAAGATTTCTTATTGAATTTTCAGGTATAGTATCATTTTGAGTAAAAGGTGAGGTTTAAGTAGTTATTAATGCTGAGAAGCATTAGAAGTGACAGCTGGAAATGAACTGCGTACATCATGGAATGTACGCAGAGCCTTGGGACGACCTCCAGACGTGAAAGGCGCTATACAAATATAATTTACTTTACAGTAAATCCCTTGAAACACTTTAAGACATCTCAACAACGTGATAAAGTGTGATATCAAATCCAAGGATTATTTTTTTACCTTCATCCCTGCTCTATGCTGCAGGGATTAGTTAGATGTTTGGATGGCAAAATAGTTAATCTCCCGACACACCAGCACCTTTTATTTTTCTCTTGCTGTCACACTCATAACTTTGTCACTTCCTTAGGCCTGATTGTCCAATTAGTGTCAGTCCATTGATAATGTCATGTTAAGTATTTGCGTTTCATTAAATCACAACAACTTAGAGTAAAAGCTCTATCCCGTCACATGGGACTCACAGGTTACAAACCACTCGTACTTTCCATTTCTTAGCATTTTAAGATTAGTTTCTTCTCACACTTTGCTATGGTGCCATCAGTAATTCTTAAACCACTGTGCACTCACCTCCAGTTCAGTCCATGTGCAGACAGCCTGCCACTGAATGGAAGAGATGACTGTATCAGTGGCAACACTAAGCATTTGTGATACTAATTAAATTTGACGAGGCAATCAAGAGCAACAAACTCGGACAGATAATGGATGCTAATGTTAGATGTGCGATCAGAGTGAGTCAGTGGGTCGTGGTCTCCTTAGAGCTGAACTGGCTCCAAATTGACGTGCCTGACAAATGAATGTCGGAATCGAGCCAGCTCTCCGTGGAGGTCTCGTTATTCCGGTTCCTGAGCCAGGCAGGTCTGCAGTATTCCAGGGACAACACAGCCAGCCTGGCTCATAGGTGGGACCTGGAAAGGCAGACCGGTCACTATCTCATCCTGTCTCAGCTTCAGTTAACACTGCAAGCCAAAGGCCTAACGGGCAGGGTGATCCTAGCTGGCCAAGCAATGGGAAAGCTTGCCAGACAGCAATATCAATGGCAAGCCATGCAATTTTAGCTGGTTAGACTCCAGCAATACTCCCAACACACTCTGCGGTCCCCAAACCTTAGCTATTGCCAACCTGCACTTAATACTTATTGGAATTCGGTAAGCAGGATGCACCCCTCCAGGGAGAGAGTGTGCATTCCATTCCAACAATCTATGTCTGCCGTGGATTGAATGCCGTGGCTAAATAACTATTTTTTTGGAGCGATTTTTATCCCCGGAAAATGATCCTCCAATCGACTAACACCTGGGGTCCTACCTACTGCTAGGTAAACAGAGGCATGTGGAGTAAGGAAACTTGCCTAAAGTTTCATCCCTCCCGAGAATCAAACCCAGGCCCTCTCGCTTGTGAGGCAAGTGCTCTAACCACTACACTATGGGACTGCCCCTGTGTCATGATCCATGGGAAACTCTTAACAAGAAGCCATAAAGAGACACTGCATCTATTCGGTGTTGTTCAAGGGACAGTGCATCAATCAACCCAGTTAGGAAACTGGACTGAATCTATCCATGTCAATTTCAAACCAAATTCTCCTTCCAGGTGGTTGTGCTCACAAACTCGTCTCTGGATGAACAAACACATATTGGACAATTTTGTCACGTGAACGGCATCAGATTCATTGTGGCGGACACTAAGGGCTTGTTTGGGTGAGTTGTATTGTGTGTGGAGGCATTTGTTGATGGCTGCCAATTTGTGCTGGGACCAATACTGGGTCGTAGCAGAGCAGGCGTTTTGCTCGGAAGGATGAGATCAAATTTATCTTTCCAATGTAGCTGGATGGTGCTTTGTGGAGATGCACTGTGATCCAAAACACAGCTTTGCGAGGTTAATAGCCTACTGTTAAACTTTATATAATACCTAAATTAAATCTCTGATTTGGGGCCTTGAAGCCAATTGTAGCCCATTCCTACTCCAGCTAAAACCTGTTAACAGGACAGATCAGAGACTCAACCCAGGATTTTCCTTGTGTACATGAGCAGTGCGGTTACCTACTCGGACATTGTGTTGATAGGATGTGTTGAATAATTCACAATGTATAAGCTGCTTTGGGACCAAATGAATAATTTGTTGTGATTTATTTGACAGCCAAGTGTTCTGTGACTTTGGTGAAGAGTTTATCGTGATTGAGCAGGATAATGCAGAGCCCACTCACGCTGAAGTGTCATGGATCACCAAGGTAATACTGCATTCTCAACACTCACAGCTAATAGAGATACTTACTACAATCATTCTTTTATATGTAGAGGTGCTCATTCCAAAGTCAGGCTACATAGAGTGGCTAATTCAATATCAGGTCATGTTAAGTTGCTCATTTTAATATCTCGCGATGTGCAGATGCTGATTTTACTATCGTTTTAATAGATTGTTCCCCACAACCTCAGGATTAGCCTATGCTTCCTTCTTCCCTTCTCTCTGTGCTTCTGCTGACTGAAGGGACAGGTAAGCCCATTCCCAGGCAGTCTTGAATCACTTTTGTTTTGGTCAGCCGGGTGTTTGACACACAGACAAACCCATCACCGGACTTAAGACTATCCAAGCCAAACAGAGTTCCATCCATCCCACATTCACATTTTTCTGTGTATAACAATGGAATCCATGAGAAACGTATCTGGCTTGCCTAATCCCGAAAAATATTAAGCTCAGGCTGGCAAGAGCCAAAGTTTGGAGATCCCAGAATGTTGGGATAATGCTGGTGTCTAACCAGCTAAGACCCCATAGCGTTTTAGGACACTCTAACAAGCTTTCCCATTGCTTGTCCGGCTAGGACCATCCTATCCGTTAGGGCCTTGGCTTGAGTGATTAGCAGGAGCTGTGTGGGAAGAATCCCTGCTCCTGCCCTTCCAGGCTGTCATCAGCAGTGCCCTGGAGTACTGTAGACACCCCCGGCTCAGGAACTGGATTATTGAGATCGCCACAGAGAGATTCTGATCTTCTGTTGCCAAGCATGTCAACTTGGAGCCAGTTTAGATCCAAGGAGACCCGCTTATCTCCCATGGAGGATAGTCATTAGTTGGTCATTTGACATCAGACAAGTGCAAGTCAGGCTACCTAAAGATACTCATTCTAATAGGCTAATAGAAGTACTCATTCCAAAATCAGGCTATACAGCAAAACTCCCATAAGTCGCATCAGTTGGGACCATAACATTTAATATCACTTAACTGAAATCCGAGTTGCAGGCAAACTGTATAAGTTGTAGAAAATCCAATTTAATCAATCAGCACTGTGCATGGGTAATTAATTTGCGGCCGGTAAGTGTGCTTGCGGAGACGGGTCAAGACTACATTTCCTGCGATTCAATGCGTCTTGACCCATTGAGTACTCACTTACTGGTAAGCAATGGAATCACATTGAATCGCACGACTCAATGCAGCAGGTAAGTGCAGGAATAACAGAGAATAGGGGAGCAGCGTTCCTAGTTAGGAGATGTTTTGTTTCTAAAATATAACTGGTGCGAAGACACCTAAGTGTTGATGATAGGAAACTGAACGGGACTCCGATGCTTGTGCAACTTAGATAATTACACGATTTATTAAGATAAGACTTATGTGAGTTTCACCGTAGCATGCATAGTGAATCTCTCTGGGCATCTTAAGTCATGTAGAGGTGTTCACTGCTAATAATAATCCTTGCACTTGATATAGAGCCTTATCACGTCTTCAAGATGTCTCAAAGAGTTTCACAGAATATACTGTAAAGTGAATTGACTGTATATTTTGTGGGCGAAATAATAATAATAAGGTGCTCTTTACTAGTACACAGCTGTATGCTGTGTTAATAGTCGTCTATCTTAATATGAACAGAAATTTTGGAAGTATTATTGGAGTGCGTATAGGTTATGGTGAGAAAAGTGGCTGTTATCTCTCTTCATTATAAGTGACAACCTCAATCTCCATATTTTAAAAGGGAGAAAAAGAATAAAGCATAAGGAGAAAAGCTCTGCATTGATTTGAGTAAAATAAACAAACAAACCCAATAGGCTGACTGTCGTACACTTCTTGTTATGATCCTATGTTATTGTATCCTTTTCTGCTAGTACCACCTAAGAGTTGATATTAATTGCTTAGTGAATTAGCAGCTCAAACACTAACACTTAATGCCTACATGAATAACTCCAAGGATTATTTATAATAATTTATATTTTTGTTTTGACTTTTGTGAAGGAGAATCCAGGGATTGTGACCTGTTTGGAAGAAGGTCATGGTTTTTTTCCTGAAACTTACGTGACCTTCTCCAAGGTTCAGGGCATGACGGAGCTAAATAACTGTGAGCCCATTGAAATCAATTTCCTTGGTAAGTAACTGTTACCCAAGCTAAAGTCCAATAACTTAGTACAGACTGACAATGTACTTGACTTGAGCTCCAAGAGGCTACCCCACATGAAGAGTGCTATATAAATGCAAGTTGTTGTTGTTCACAAGCATGCTTCAGTTTCACATTGGGCCACTGGTTTATCAACTGTGGCTTTAGGGAGCTCTACTTCATCTTTAACTCCTTGAGAGGTGGTAAGCTCCTCGAAGCTAAGATGGCTCCTAAGTAACTTGCTTATCATTGGAATCAAGTGATGTTGTGGTCTTAGTAGTCCAGTTTCTGATCAGCGGTCTGCAGTACCCTGAGGCACCTAAATTATTAGTTTGTAAACCTAAAGAGGCAGACCAGTCATTGGGGCAGCGATTCTTCCCACTGGACACCTATTAACCCTATAAGATGGAGCCCTAAACAGATAGGGTGGTCCCCGCTGGTCCAGCAGCAGAAAGCTTGTCAGGCAGTGCTCTCTCAATGGCAAGCTGTTGCGATTTTAGTGGGTTAGACTCCAGCCGTACCCCAATGAACATTGTGGAGTCCCCAAGCTTTGACTCTCACCTACCTGTGACTATTCCTCTCTGAAATGAGGTAAGCAGAGTGTGTCCCTCCAGGGAGAGAGTACTCCATTCAAAATGCAGAGAAATTCCCATACATATGTGGAACACTCACTCCACTTTGGATGCTCCTAAGCATGGAGATGGGTTTCTGCCTAAGTCAGATACTTGGCAATCCCCCCCAAAATGTTTTGAGTCAACTATAATGTTATCCAGCTAATATTGTTATTTAGTTCATATTGTTTTCATAGCTTAATGAGTTTTTCGTCAGCCTTCAATTTACCTACAATGGTTACTGATTTCCACTCGGTGGTGCTGTAGGGCTATTTATTGGCTACTAATCTCAGTGATGCCAGCTCCTGGCAGATGGAAATAGTCCAGCAAAACCTTTCGTTTTTGGTCAGCCGGGTGTCTTAAGCATGGTGATAGGTTTCCACATGCATCAGAGATCCAAACCCAACTGAGATTAACATGCATCCCACCTACAACATGGAATGGATTGCGTACTCGCGCCCTGGACGGACGCAATCTGTTTACCTAATTCCTGAAAGCGTTAGGTGCAGGTTGGCAATAGCCAGAGTGTGCATTGGGCTACTGATGGAGTCTAACCAGCTAAAACCACATAGCTTGCCACTTGATGGACGGTAGGTAAACTTGGACAGCAATAAAAGCAGAAAATTGATATCCATAGCACATCAATCAACATTTTAAACCAAGATGGGATAAGTTTCAGATATAATCAGAACATGATCAGAACTGTCATCGATAATTTCAGTAATGTTAAGATTATATTGCATAGTTTCAGAAATCCGTTATTCCATTATCTTATTAATTGTTTATTCTTGCTGTTTAAAATTAAGGAAGGATTTGATTAGGTGCATATTATTGGGCTATTTCCCCTTGTTTCTGGGTGCTAAACAAGAGGGGGGTACAATACAACATTTTTATAGCGCCTTTCACGTTGGAAGGACATCCCAAGACGCTGGGTAAATATAAGATAGCCATCAGCAGATCTAAAAGGAAGTTTAGAAGAAACTTCTTTCCACAGAGGGGATGAGAATGTGCAACTCACTGTTTGAAGCTACGGTTGAAGCGGAAAGCATGAACATATTTTAGAGGAAGCTTACTATATGCATGAGAGAGGAAGGAATAGAGGGGTATGGGAGAGGCTCATGTGAGGTATAAACACCAGCAATGGAGGAAGTGAGACAAAATAATTAAGGTATAAAACAGCTGTGGACTAAATGCATGTTTCCGTGCTGTAATGTTCTATTCTGATAGAAAAGTAATTATAACTTGTTCATAACAAACAATTATTTTATCATCCCATTTATCATCCCCTTATGGTTGATTCACCTCCTCCATGCCCACCCCGAACACACACCAGCTCCAAGCGTCTGTTCCAAGTTATAAATGACGTTTCACGCCATGAGATACCTAGAGTGACTTGTTGTGCAGCCAAACATAGCAGCTAATCTATGCCAGCACACAACAACAACAACAAGATTTCATTTATAGAGCGCCTTTCACGTCGGGAGGACGTGCCAAGGCGCTGTACAGTTGGGTCAGGACCCGAGCATTGTGGGGAAATGGTCAGGGTGAGGGGAGGGAAGGGAGGGAGCGAGGAGGGGGTAGAGTGTCGAGAGGGGAGCTGAAGGCACAGTCAAAGAGAAAGGTCTTGAGACCGGCCTTGAAGGAGGAAAGGGAGGAAGCGGCGAAGGCACTGGGGGATAGATTTCGATACACCCACAAACAGCAAACATTAGATGTCAATCTTTGTGGTAAATTTGGATGGGGGAGAAGTATTGGCCAAGATACAGAATGAGCTCACTGCTTCTCGAATCGTGAACAGGAACTTAACATCTATTGAATCTATAGGCTTGCTTCAGGGCCTTTGCCAAGGTTAGTGTAAATAATAATAATAATAATCCTTGCGTTTGATTTAACAAATTATTACGTCATTGAAACACCTCAAAGCGCTTCACTGACTATATTATAAAGTGGATTGACTGTGTATTTTGTGGACGAAACATGGCAACCAATTGCACACAAGAACAACAAATTACTTTTGTATAATGCCTTTCACGTCGGGAGGATGTCCCAAGACACTGGACAATCACGGATTTGGACTTGAGCAGGGGATTGGTATCAGGAGGGGTGGAGGGCAGGTATAACAATGTCCTTGTGTGGAATGGAGTATGCTTACCTCATCTCGGAAAGTACTAGATGCAGAATGGCAAGATCCAGTGTAGTCCTGTAGCTCAGTGGTTAGAGCTCTTGTCTCACAAGAGAGAGACCTGAGTTCAATTCTCGGCAGGACAAAATGCTGGGCAACGTTCCTTACTCCACACTCCTCTGTTTACCTAGCAGTCAGTAGAACCCGGTTATTAGTCGATTGGCGGATCGCTATTCCGGGGGAAATAATTCCTTCAAAAAAAAATAATAATTTGGTCACTGAATCCACATCTGTTTGTGGGACACTGCTGAGCAGAATTGGCTGCCGCGTCTCGCTCATAATATATACAGTCAATTCACTTTACAGTATATTCTGTGAAGCGCTTTGAGACATCTCAAAGACGTGATAAGGCCCTATAATCATATGCAAGGATTATTATTATTATTATCCACTACATGGAGAGCCCAGAGTGTGCGTTTGAAAAACAAGTGTTTCTTTTCCATGCGGCATGAGTTTTTTTTTTGCACCACAAACCCCGATTCAGAAATAGAACATTTTATTGTAACTTTTATTTTTTTTGGAAGAATGATGTTCTTGATGATGGATGCCAGCAGTTGGTTTCCCGCATTCACTGCACCACTTGACTGGCCACTTTCTTGTGTGTATTTTAGATCGTTACTCCTTCGCCATCTGTGACACCAGTTGCTTCGGTGACTACGAGAAAGGTGGGATTGTGACAGAAGTCAAGATGTCAAAGAAACTTGCCTTTGTAAGTACCTTGAGTTTGCACTCTGGACATCTGTGATAGTCGTTCAGCCACCAGCATAGCGTCTGAACATAGTGGAACTTGCTGCAATTATCAAGTCATGAGAAAGGCTGAAATCAAGTGCTTGGATCACCTGGTCTGCGGTTTGAAAGGACAGTAACTAAACTAGAGCTGTAATGAAGTTTGGTAAGGCACATGTATGTGGTGATATAGTCAAGTATGTAACATAGCACAGGAGGATTAATAAAGAGGTGTTTTGTCTATAGGCCCATACATGGCTTAGAATGTTTAATTTGCGTATCCAATGCACTTTCCCTACCTCTTGTCTTCTCAATCACAGAAACCTATAGCGGAGGCACTGAAAGAGCCTAGATACCAAATATCAGATTATGGTAAAACGGAGAGGCACGGAACCCTGCACATTGCTTTCCAGGCTCTCCACAGGTTTGTGAAGGAATGTGGCAGACTCCCCAAAGCCAGGTCAACGGTAAGATTTCTGTTACTTGCTAGTATTTGGGAAATGAGCAGTGTTTTGTTTAGACCCTTTCTCATGCTCATTATCAGGCAATTAAAGTAAAGTATGGATCTCCCCTAATGGGCTAGTAGATAGTTAGACCCATTGTAGCACTGCATACAGAGCAGAAAGTAACAGCTGCAGTTTTGGTCAGATAAGACATCTGACACACACAGACACCCATTGCCATATTGAAGACTATCCAAATCAGACTGAGTTCCACATATCCACGACAATTATACATGGAAATTTCTCCTCGTCTGGAAAGGGGTATGCTTGCCTCATCTTGGAAATTATTAGATGCAGGATGGCAAGACCCAATAATAATAATAAACTTTGCATTTGATATAACGCCTTATCATGTGGTTGAGATATCTCAAAGCACTTCACAGTATGTATTATAAAGTGAATTGTCTGTGCATGTTGTTGGGCAAAATATGCATAGGCAGCCCAGACTGCGTGTTCAAATACTGCTGGAGTTTAACCAGCTAAAACCATATAGCTTGCACTGTGTGACAGGCTAGGACCACCTACCAGTGACAGCTTTAGTTTGGGGGGATAACAGGAGTCAAAATCCTGCCGAACCGGCAGGATGGCTGGTCTGTCATTCACAGTTGCCTTGAAGAACTGCCACCCAGATCTGTCCAGCTCAGGAACCAGACTGCTGGGGCTTGTAAGGTCAACTAAATTCCAATATTCCATTACCGGACGTGTCTCTTTGGAAACAGCTTAGCCCCAAGGAGGGACCGCTTACCTCAACCCCCCTCCCCCAGAAGCATGGTAACTCACGGAAACCCATAGCGTAGCGCCCTCACCTCGCCTTTGGTAAGTTTTCTTATTCCACATGCCTCTGATTACTTAGCAGTAAGTAGGAACCCAGTTGTTAGTCGATTGGTGGATCCCTTTCCTCCCTCAAGAAAAATACATTTGGTCACTCAATCCACAAATGTTTATGGGGCACTGCCCTGCACAATTGGCTGCTAAGTTTCACCCCAAAAAAACAGTCAATCCACTTGACTATCTATTCTGTGAAGCACTTTGAGACGTCTCAATGACTTGATAAGGCTCTATATCAAATGCAAGGATTATTATTAACTAGCCAGTTATAATACAAGTAGGACAGCTTTTGGGAGCGGTGCAATTGGGCTCAACACATTGAGTTATAGTAGGGGGTGGGGTGTGGAAATATCAAGCAATGTTCACTCACTTGCTCACTGTCTAGTGACTTGACTGGTGAACGTCGGGTCAGAACAGGATGGGACTCAGCCGTGATGTCATCCACTATTGAATAGTCATTCGAACACACTCCGTCTTGGCTCATACATGAAGAATGGGCACTTGGAGGGCAGCCAGTGGCTGTGGAGATAAAAAGCCATAGACCAGTGAACTCCCTGTTGTGTGGAAATCCCTGGGATCCAATTAAGGATCTCCGCACAGTGTAGCCATAATTTCAAGCCTGCTGTAGAGGAATTAAACCTGCTGTTCCTCATTCTATGGTAACCGGGTTTGGTGAATTTTCACCTCGTAATTTTGAATTTGTAGCACAGAGCAGTGTGGGGTTTGGCGGGATGCCCCTGGACCAGCTACAAGTTTCACAAACAAAAAAGGAGAAGCAGAGCAGCGGAAGTTTTACTCTGAATTTTTTTTAGGTCAATTGGGTGACGAACACATGCAGAAACCCATCGCTGTGCTTAATGTTTTCCAAACCACAGTTTCACAAGCGTATGCCACATACACTTAGAGAATTTCCCTGTGTCTGGAATGGAATGCCCACTCTCCCCTGGAGAGACGCACTCTGCTTACCTAATTCCGGAAAGTATTAGTGCTGATTGACAAGGCTTGGGGACTCCAGAGTGTGTGTTGGGATGACTGCTGGAGTTTAGCCAGTTCACCCATTCTGTGCACAGGTTCAGTTTTGCAGCAATATTATTCTAACTCTTAAATGAAATGCATTACTCATTTCCTTCCCAGGCTGATGCTGAGCGCTTGGTAGCGATTGCAAAGAGATTGAGTGAAGACGTTCCATCGATCGTTGAAGATGAGCCACTGAATGAGGACTTGGTTAGAAAGTTATCCTACGTCGCTGCTGGCAACCTGAGTCCAGTCAATGCATTCATTGGGGGTATAGCTGCACAGGAAGTGATGAAGGTAAAAGGGATTGAAGCCAGTTCTCTCAATAGAGACTCAGCGATGTTGAGCTACAAAGCAATTATAACAGCACAAAACAGCAACGGAGAGCTGTACAGCTCACTGAATAAACTGTCTGAGCCGTCAAGGGAGCTTATGTATCATGTATTAATTTCTGATGCAAAACCTTTTATGTGCCTGCAGGCCTGTACAGCGAAGTTCATTCCCCTGAATCAATGGCTGTACTTTGATGCCCTTGAGTGTCTGCCTGAAGAAAACGAAGACATCCTTTTAACTGAAGAAACCTGCCAGCCCGTACGTGCTTTTTACAATCCAATTATACTGAATCCAGACTATAATGACCTTATATCCAGGCACTGTGGGGCTCATTTGGCGATGACTACTTTATCTTGTTTTAATGATGGCTGGTGCTATGAATTATGCGGTGGGATGCTGCTGAAATTTATTTGCAATCTATCCATCAAGAATAAGCAATTAGTTGAAAAGGTCAGTAAATTAGCTGATAAACTAATTGTTAATTGGGTGGGGAAATGATAAGTCACAAAGCTGGTCACTGAACTGATCAGGTTTAGTTTGTGATAGACGCTGAACAATGGTTGGGTATTTTCAAATTCCTGAACAAGCTTTTGACTATCTTCTGGTCTGCGGGGCGTTGGGGGAAATAAGGTAAGCGGGGTTTCTTTGTCTCCTTGCTAATGTGAGTGCTAAGGGCACAGAGCTGAGTTAACTCTCTAAGGTGGACATGGTGAGTGGCGTCCTGTAGTGAATTGGTTAGAGCAGAGCACTCGCCTCGCAAGTGCGAGGGGAAATCTTTGTGGAGTCCTGTAGCTCAGTGGTTAGAGCACTCGCCTTGCATGCGAGAGACCTGAGTTCAATTCCAGGCAGAGGGCGAAACCTTGGGCAAGTTTCCTTACTCCACACACCTAATAATAATCCCTCCAAAAACCAAAAACAATAATAAATTGGTCATTTTCAATCTACGACTGTTTGTGGGACACTGCTGTGCGCAATTGGCTGCCGCGTTCGCCCACAAATATACAGTCAATTCACTTTACAGTGTGTTCTGCGAAGCGCTTTGGGATGTCCTCCTGACATGAAAATCGCTATATCAAATGCAAGGATTATTATTATTTTAGGCTAGTTTCCTCATTCCACACACCTGTTTACCTGGAAGTAAATGGGAACCCGGCTGTTCAATTGCCGGATCGCTTTCTGCAGGTAATAATTCCTTCAAATAATAAAAAGAAGAATTTGGTCACTCAATCCAAAATTGTTTGTGGGACAGTGCTGTGTGCAATTGGCTGCCACATTTCACCTACAAAATACATAGTCAATTCACCTTATATGTAACTCTGTGAAGCGCTTTGAGACGTCTCAATGACATGATAAAGCACTGTATCAAATGCAAGGGTTATTATTGTCTGCCTGAGGCAGTCAGGACCACAGTATTCCAGAGTACAGTTGAGAGTTTGCCAACCTGCCGGGCGCAACGGAACCATCCAGTTAACTGATGAAATTTACATTGAGTTCATTGGTGACACTTGATTGCTGCTCTCTGTGTATCATTACGTATTTAAATATTCTGTAATTCTCCCCTGGATTTATTTCCACTCCTGTGTGGCAACAGTGTGTGCTTATTATAATGATTAGGACATATGATTAAGCATGTGCAAAAGGGGTGATTCATTTGAGTGGCTTTCTTATGTATATTGAATACCTTTTCTTCTACCCACCTCCTCTCCACCACCACCGCACAGTGAACCTAGCCTTGTATTTGGCTGCTTGCAATTGAGTTCCTTTATCTCAGACTAATATTGATTTGTTTGTTGTGTCTTCTGTGCAGAAAGGCTGTCGTTACGATGGGCAAATTGCAGTCTTTGGCGCGGATGTTCAAGAGAGGCTGAAGACGCAGAAGTATTTCCTGGTAGGTGAAGGCTTCGGTGCCCATTGTGTTTATTGAGATAAAGAATGTCAGGGCTGGGAAAGGAAACTCACTTGCTGATCCCTCCTCCTACTCTCAGCCACTCTGCTCCACTCTCAGGAACACCAGCCCAGACTCCCACCCACTTGTACCTTCATTTTGTTCAAGGTCCGTCTCGAGACCTACCTCTTTGTTGACTGCGTTTCTGGTCGTCTTTACCCTCCCCACCCCTGTCGGATCCCCAACCCCCCGCTAGGATTGTTAAGTGTCCTGGGACATCCTCCGCCTTCAAATGCTCTGTATGAATGTCAATTTGTGTTGTATTGAACCTGACAGTACCTCAAGCCCAAATTCCCTGAATATCTCCTTAGCACCAGTGACGTTTCCATTTCCCACACTCTCGACAGAGTGACTCTCAGTTAGTATTGAGTTCTGGGCAGTTTTCTGTACTGTGTGAGTTAGTAAGCTGCTTTTTGGTTCCGTGCATCCCACTTGGACATGAAAATTCCAAAGATATTTATTAAAATTGAATGCGCACTTTCTCCCTGGAGGGGCAAATCCTACTTACCTAATTCCAGGTATTATTAGGCACAGGTTGGCAAAAGCCAAGGCTTGAGGATCCCAGAGTGTGTTTTGGGATGCTGATGGGATACTACAGCTAAAACCACATAGCTTGCCATTGAGAGCACTTCCTGGCAAGTTTTCCCGCTAGGACCACTGCACCCGTTTGGGCTTTGGCTTGCAGGATTGATAAGAGCTAAGTGGAATGACTCGCTGCCCCCGGTGAGTGGTATCCCCTTCCGAGACCTGCACCTGAGTCCGGTTGACTGAGCTGACATCCGCAGTGCGTTGGAATACTGCAGACCCACCTTGCTCAGGAACTGGACTACCGAGACGGCTACAGTTCTGACACTCTGTTGTCAAACATGTCACCTTGAAGCTAGTTCAGTTCAAGAGAAACTCTGCTTAGCTCCCACTCCCTAGCCTCTCCCACTTATATTCCCTCCCTTGCCTGTTATCTGCTATTACCCTGTTTTCTCAATTCCATACCTTCACCGTGCCATGCTATCAGCCTGACTCAGTTTATCACTCTTGTCTTTTAGTCAGAAGGTTGTGGGCTCGAGCTCTGCGTTGAGACTTTGAGTTCATAGTCTAGGCTGATACTTCAATGCATTGTTGGGAGAGTGCTGTACACTCAGAGGTGCCATACTTTGGATGAGTCATTAAACCTCAGAATTGAGGTCTATTCTGCTTGCTCAGATGGCTGATAAAGATCCCATGGAAAAGGGAAGTGAGTTTCTCCCTATGTCCTGGCCAACAGTCATCCAGATAATATTGTTATTCTCTTCATGTCTGTTTGCGGGACATTGTTATTGGTAAATTGGCCACTGCGTTTGCCTTACAAAATAGTCACTACGCTTTTGTAAAAATCCTTTGAGATGTTTCGACAATATGATTTGATGCCAAATCAAATGCAAAGAATATTATTATTGTAGCTGAGAAATAGCTGGTCCTTAGAGATGTAGTATAATGTTGCTCTGTGCCCAGGTGGGGGCTGGTGCCATTGGATGTGAACTACTGAAGAACTTTGCCCTGATTGGTCTGGGAGCAGGGGAAGGCGGTGGGATTATAGTGACCGACATGGACACCATTGAGAGATCCAATCTCAATCGCCAATTCCTCTTCAGAAACAAAGACGTCTCGGTGAGTCAAAAGAAACTGCTTTCTTTTCATTTAATAAATAACTACTTTTTCATTTTTAAAGTTATTTAATTAGTCTATTCATTACCGAAACATCATAAATGTAACCTCAACAAATGGGGCTCCCAACCTATAACTTTACTCTGATCTGAATGACAGGAACTGAGCATGTGTTAGGCATGGGCTGAGGGAGAGGGGAATTTGTAACAGAAATGGTAGAGTTGATGGAGGCCAAATCTAATCAATATATAATTATACTATAATCAATAGAATGAAGAGGGGGGAAGTAGTTGCTCCATACTGACAGGAGATCCTTTACGAACGTTGCAGAGTTTGCAGGTTAAACAGCATCGTCTGTACCAGAGTTACCCTATCCTGCAAATGATGGAGATATTTTTTTCAACTTATTTATAGATTTTGTTTCGCCAACAGTTTTTTTTGAGTTACGCTTATAATCCACTAGTTTGAGTATCTCCAACAGAACCGAGAAACCTTCTCAGATCAAATCCAGCAAATTTCCTTCCTCTCCCATCCCCATTTGAGCCCGAAGCACTCCAGGACGCTACCTCACGTGAAGGGCACCATTTCAATGCAAGTTGTTGTCATCGTCAGTTGCCCTGCACAGAGTGAAAGTGCCACCAGGTGGCACTAGTGCTCCATAGCCGAATTGTGAAGAAAGTGTCCAATTCACCTGGAAAGATATGGTGCAGGATTCATATGTACTGGAAAAAATACAGTGAATAGTCCTGCGTTACGTGATGGAATCGAACAGGCCCAAATGAACAGACCTTAAACTGATGCTGGTTGAAAATGACACAGTGATTGAATAACCAATTTGTATCCCAAGCATTAAAATAAGGGCATATTTTTTGCTTTCTCGTATACCTTCTCGCTTGTATCCACTTTGTCCTGACTGTAGAGATCACAGAAGAATTGTGATTTGTGCTCAGTTTACTGTAGCTTCAGGGCTATTAAATCGTGGCTAACACTGTGCTGTGAGCAGCAGAGAAATCAACAGCATCAATTACAGTGAACCTTTGAAGTCTGTACTAGAGTATCAAGTCTATAATAACACATCATTCTGCAGTGTTTTCGTTAAGCTTTAAGGAATTTGAGAGTTGTTTTGCTTTTTTTTGATGTGGTCACTTCAAGTGGGGGAAAATCCCATTTGAGCCGAACATACACTTATCAACGAGAAAAATGTCTTACTTTTTTAATATTTTTTAAAAATCATTTTGGAAAGCAAATGAACTTTGAACATAATGGGGTCAGTGTAGATGCCAGATTAACTAATGCATTGTACTAGATAGATTATAAAACATGCTGTTGTGTTTCTGGAGAATTTTTTTCCTCTTTGCTTCTCCAGATACGACACTATTTCCCACAGTCCCTTCGCCTCGACACCCCTCCCTTCACCTTGCGCCCTCCCTTGCCTGCTTCAAGGCCTGTCTCAAGACCCTCCTCTTCAACTGAACCGTCAGTTACCCCGCTACCCCCACCTTCCCTGCCCTCCAGCACTCCTGCCCCCAACCCCCAGCTCAGGTGCAAATCCATGACTGTCCAGCACCTTGGGACGCCCTCCTGACATAAAGGACGCTATACAAATGTAATTTGTTGTTGTTATTGTCCTTTTGTTGGGATGTGGAATCCACCACAGTGCTGTTAACAGTCTATTTGACCTCAGAAAGAAAGAATCACAGCTAAAATTAGCTCATTTGCACACACCATAATCAAGCCAGACACCTGTGTGGCTCAGTGATTCATTGAATAAAGTCACTGAGTTACTGGGAGCTTATAAATCCCGTTATTTTCCTTTGTAGAACCCTACATCTTGAGTGTTTCAGATAATGGGAAGTGTTAATTACAAAGAGTGTGTTGTCTCCATTTCCTATTACAGCATCAGCTTTTTTTTAAATTAGTTCATTTTCTTATACAGTGTATAGTTTGGGACACAACATGTCAAGCGACTGCTAGAATGGTGGAAGGTGAACTAGATGGACCTTGGTCTTCCTTCGCCTATCAAATTCTTATCCTGATCCCAACCACCTTTCTTGGCAACCTGTTCATCATTAATTGTCCTCTGTGTAAAGAAATATTTCCCTTATGTCCTTAGATTGCCCCTCGCAACTCTAAATCTATGCCTTGTTCTACTGTTTCAAGCATCCAAAAGTATTGTCCCAAGTTTACTTTTTCAATTCCATTTACAATGCTATAAAGCTCTATAACCTCTGAAATATCTTCTTTCAAGACTAGCTTGTCACTCGTCATAGCTTATTCCTCTGATACTGGGAATCATTCTCATAGCTCCTAGCACTGTGTCAAAGGTCTGGGCAGCCCCTGCATGTGATACTCTGGGTGTGGGATAGCCAGAGGATGGTATAGCTTACGTATGCCATCTTCTCAACTTCTCCAAGAGCTGACTTTGTGAATCATTCTTAGGCTGGACCTGATTATTTTGGAGCATTAATGTGTCCTGCTGGGTAAATTAAATTTTAATTAAATGAATGAAATCCAGCCTAGGTTAATGGAATGAAAGTCTCCTTTCTGCTGGTTGTAAGGATCCAATGTGAAATGTGCTGGGGAAGTCTCGATGTTTGCAATAAGTGGGAGACTATAGGGTGTTGCTGCATTGCTGAGTCAGGTTAAAGAGAGCTTTTTCCACCCCCATCAAGCCTGTTGCCTGATCTGGTAGTGTTTCATCCTGTCTACATGTAGAGAATTGGGGGTGGGGGGGAAAGAGAACATTTCAAATTATTTTGCCTCAATCGTAAATTACACAAGTCCTTTGAAGCTGTGTGAAATGTTTTGATGCCATGTTAAGACACTATGCAATTCACCAAATGGAATATTATTATTAATTATAATAATAATCCTTGCATTTTATATAGTGCCTTATCACATCTTCGAGACGTCTCAAAGCACTTCACAGAATATTGACTGAATATTTTTTTGTGGACGAAACGCGGCAGCCAATTGTACACAGCAGAGTCCCACAAATAGTAGCCAAATTATTATTTATTTATTTTTGACGGGATTATTATTCCCTGAAAAGCAAATCACCAATTGTCTAACAGCCGGGTTCCTACTTACTGCTAGGTAAACAGAGGCGTGTGGATTAAGGAAACTTGCGTTGGGAGATTTACTTTATCAATACACTTTAGGACTCAAATGGAAGCAAAATAGAGAGAGAGACTGGTTATTTTTATTTTTAATTTAATTTTAATTTAGTCTAACGTAACATTGTTTTCACATTTTTATAGGGCTCTTGTAATCTTGAGAGTTGTTTCAACTACACCCAGTAATACCTTGAATGTGTTTGTGTGTTCCCTTACCTCGTACATCAAGTTGTGAATAATTCCCTGTGGTCTCAATCTAGTCTGTGTGGAGTGAAGGAAAGGCTTTGCGTCTCTTTGATAGAGCCTTGTGTCTGGGGCCCTCATTAACTGTGTGGGAGCCATGGGCTGTCTCACCAGCAGAGCAAGGCCTGATAGCGAGTGTGTTTGTAACCAGAGATTCTGTTAATTTGAACAAGGATGTAAAGGCATTACAAGATAGTATTATTAGCTGAGGTAATCGACCATTGGAGTCACGATCCCATGAGGCCAGGCCAAGAGGATTTGTCATTGCAACTGGAGGGAAATATTAACCCTTGTGAGTTAGTTCATCCTCATTCACTTATTCTAGCCTTGATTCCATTATAAAATGTCGATTTTTCAACAATAACAATAAATTACATTTGCATAGTACCATTCACGTCGTGAGGACATTGCAAAATGCTGGACAGTCGAGGGTTTGCACCCAAGCTGAAATCAGGAGCGGTGAAGAGGGAATGGGATGGGAAGATAATAATAATAATCCTTGCATTTGATATAGCGCTTTTCACGTTAGGAGGACGTCCCAAAGCGCTTCACAGAACACACTGTAAAGTGAATTGACTGTATATTTGTGGGCGAACGCGGCAGCCAATTGCGCACAGCAATGTCCCACAAACAGTCGTAGATTGAAAATGACCAATTTATTATTGTTTTTGGTTTTGGAGGGATTATTATTAGATGTATGGAGTAAGGAAACTTGCCCAAGGTTTCGCCCTTTGCCTGGAATTGAACTCAGGTCTCTCACTTGCAAAGCGAGTGCTTTAACCACTGAGCTACAGGACTCCACGATGCCATCGATGTCCAAGGTGCCATCAAAGAGGAAGGTCTTGAGTCAGGCCTTGAAGGAGGCAAGGGAGGGGGAAAGTGGAGAGGCTACAGTATAGCGTTCCAGAGGGTGGGGACAGAAAGGCTGAAGGTCCGACCTCCAATGGTGGAGCAGGTAGAGCGGGGGATATGGAGAAGGCCAGTCCCACCGAGGGGTGGGAGATTCATGGATAACAGGAGTTTTAGTTGTGCCTTTTGTGAGTATAATATTTGTCCTCTCCCCCCCCCCCCCCCCCCCCAACCCTTGAGACTTGTTGATACACAGTTCCACAGGCACTCACTGCTCTCTGGTACCACAGGAAATATGTGAGCCATACCAAGCGACTCAGCCATGGAGCAGACATGTAGTGTATGTGTGTGCGTGTGGGGGCGGGGGTAGGTGGGGGGAGTCACTGGATAAGTGTCGGGAGTGGGAACTCCAGTTGATTTTCTGTTTCACCCACCCATTGCATTCTCAGCTGTACTTAATAATAATAATACTTGCATTTGATATGGTGACTTAACATGTCATTGAGATGTCTCAAAGCGCTTCACAGAATATACTGTTAAGTGTATTGACTGTATATTTTGTGGAAAAACCGCAGCAGCCAATTGTGCACAGCAGCGTCCCACAAACAGTCATGGATTGAGAGACCAAATTAATATTATTTATTTATTTTGGAGGGATTATTAACCCCGGCAAGCGATCAGCCAATTGACTAATAAAGGGGTTCCTACTGACTGCTGGGTAAACAGGACATGTGGAATAAGGAAACTTGTCTAAGGGAATGAAACCCAGATCCTCTCACTTGTGAGGTGAGTGAG